CACACGGCTTCAGGAAGTGGCTCTGAGTTTTTATGAGATCCAAGGTTGTTTTAAGGGAGTCTGCTTGGCATTGGGAGTCTGTGCAAGGTTGGATCCCTAAAGAAACTAATATCTATATATGTGAAGATGTAACACAGCCTGCATAAATCTGTATAGTCACAAATATGTACACATAAACTAAACTAATGTATCATTTTATATGAATTGCACTCACTGCAAGTATTTTTTTTCTTATTGTTTTTGATGGCTGTTCCACTCTAAAGCCTAAAGATGACATACCTAACACAATGTGACGCCTGTCATGTGAAATACATGCAATGGATTAGTGTTATATGATGACCACCATATGTGTAAGGATTACGATGCTGATGCTGTGCACCATTCACCAGCTGTGACATTATTGTGACTCACTGAGGAGTAAAAACGAGCTGAAATACAGGCTACAGCCCCTCTGGCTGCTCTCAAGGTCATATCTTCACAGTCTTTGAAAAGTCCACCATTGTTATAATCCCACTTTACCTTGAGCCATAAAATACTGTATAGCCCTATTTGCTCAACCAGTTTTTTTTTTATGCACACTGCTGGATTCAAGACACATGCATCAATAAATTAGAATATAATCAAAAGGATTAGATGTGTGTTTTAAGCTTCCCATTGTTTTTTATTATGTCTTTTTTGGTAAAAGAAAAAACAGTTTCTCTGAAAGCTTAAACAACCTTTTGTATGCGTTGTTGATCAGGCAAAGTAAAACCATGATCTGAATTGCTTATTTTTAAAGGTCAGGCATACTTGCCTTCTCTTTTCAAGTTTCTCTGTGAATTCAATTAGCAACCATATGTTATTATTTTTGTTAAATATCTGCTATAGGAAATCTCCATTTTAAACAACCAGCAGTTTATATTTAGCTCTAATATGCAGAAAACCATGAAACGTTTCATAAAGATGAAGTGCAAATTTCCTTCATAGGAAAAAAAACACAACATATCATTTCCAAGCAAATGAACAGAAAAGTAGGTTTGAAAAACATAACTGTCTGTATTTTAATGTCATTCCGTTGTAAAAACCTAATTATGCTTCTAAGAATGGTATGCATTATTCTACTTCATTAGTTGTTAAAACACATTTTAGGCCCCTATTAAGAGTCATTGCAGAGTAAATGTAGAGCCATTGTAAAGTGCTCTTAATTTTCATTCAAGGCTCCTGCACAGTTTGGACTTGATAAAGTTCAGTGAACCAACAACAGCAGCACCTAAAAAATAGGACTTCAAAATAATGAGTAAAAGTCCAAATCTTTTTTCTCTTAGCCAGGTTAGACACTGCTAATAACCATAGGAGTTGTAGCCCATGTTGAGCATAAGCTCTTAAAGCAGCCTCTCCAGCTGCAGCACACATGTTGTGAATCTTTTCAAAACTCATTAATGCTCTTTGTTTTACAATACTAAGCTACAGTTATCCTTGTTGGTGGTGCAGTTTTTGTTTCTTACAAACAACTTTTCATTAATATGATTGGATTCAGAACTTTTTAGCAATGCTCCTTCGTGACTCAATTCAAAGTTCCCCAGTTTAGGTCCTCACATACAGTTCCCTAATAGCTCCTATGTTCTAATTTTTAGAGAAGCTGAATTTTAGCTGATCAAACTTCTTCTGTAATGACTCTTAAAATAACTTTTGACCACTGAAATACATAAATTAACTAAATTAACCTTTTGATAATCTTCTAATTTATTGAAAAGCATGTGTAAATACTCCAGTTAGTGTTTCCAGTCTGGTTATGAACACTTCAACTTAAAATTTATTGTCAATATTATATATTTACTGTATGAGCCCTCTATATTATCTGTCCTTAAATGTGCTATCTGAATTGCTGCTGTGTGGGTGAGTGTATTAATGGTTTAAAGCTAATGGAAATAAGAAAAAGAGAAGCTGTCTTTAAAAATAAGATGTATTTATATGACCACTTTTTTGCAAGGAATGGTGTTGTATTTGTGAGTTTGCGTAAGGAAACAAAGCATGGGATTTTAATGGGAGGGTATGGAGCCTATTTATTACTCTATGTATTGTACTGTAATGTCTGTCTGGAGGGAACTAAAAACCTCAGCCATTTGAGTTGAACCAGTAAAAGAAATTAGTAATGGTTTTTGATATGGGGCACCAATTGGTAGGAGCGGCAGGGTGCCATTCAAACACAAACCACCTCTTAGAGGATATATGTTGAGGATATGAGTCTGCTTTAGCTCTGTGAGGTCGTGGAAGAGGTCCGTTTAATCTATAATGCATCGCTAACGAGCGTTACCTCCAGTGAGTGAAGCCACCTAAAGCAAAGCCTTAACATTTGGTTCAAATGTTTGGTGCTTTTTGTTTAATATATTCTAACCTAGCTCCTGTGGCAATAAGGGCTTTTTACCCCAAATATGTTTATTCTTAGGCTTTTCACACAAGATGTTTCAGACAAAAAAAATTAAACATATATTTATTACTTCAGGGTCGTGGTGTAAAGGGTTGCAACAAAAAAGATATGTTATTAGAAATTTAAGAATTCCTACAATTTCCAGTTCCCATTTCATGCCATTTCAATGAGTAAATGAAGCATTTAACATTTCATAAGCCTAAAAAATGATATAACGTAAATAATCCTCAACTCAAACAAGTTTCAAGTAACTTAAATTGATCAATTTGATGTCATAGGCCATAGTTTTGGAGCAACCTGAGGGGATCTGTGTTGATAAGATTGCAGATTTAATGTGAGAACTTCACCCTGCAGCTGCTGAAATGTGACCAGCTTGTGGAGTAAAAAGGAACTGGAATTAAATGTCAACAGTATCTGATCCCAAATCTGTCTTTTGAGGGCAACTTCATCAAAGGGCTCCTGTTGTCAGCCGCAGGCGGCCAAAGCTGGGCCCGTCATCCTGCTCTGGTTATTATCATCATTACTGTGAATCAATCATTGTTCTTGTTGGCGGGGGGAAAAAAAGAAAGAGAGAGATGTGCGTGTTGTTTTTTTTTTATTTATAAATGGCTTTACAAAAATCATGCTTTAATAAATTATTGTAAACTGATTTGTTGGAGTCTCATTCGGGATAATTTTAAGATAAGAAAAAGAGAGGGGAGGAAGTTTCAGAATGTTTTTACTCTGCAGACAAAACCTGATATGACATGTTAGGTACAGAACTAGAACATCTCATACTTTAGCCTTGTAGAAAATCTTTATCCAGATACAAACAGCAGCAGTTTGTGCTCCTGATTAATAAAACATGAAGCTAACAGACAATTCATTAAGGAAAAGGGTACTTTATTGGGATTTTAAGTGGTAGACCAACACAAATTTGTGCATAGTTGTAAAAAGGGAGGAAATAGTGAAACATCCTTACGCTTTAATTACAGTTTTGCAAAGCTATGAACTAGTAGCAAAGCTCAGTCAGAAAGGATCTGTTTTTTGTTCTATCCACTGAATCTTCGTTGAATTTGAGTTTGAACTTTGGTCATTTGAAACCAACAATATTCTCAGATTTAAATAATTTAATTGAAAATGAACTGGCAGACCAGTCTAATTGTTTTTGCAGCAACCTTTCAGTATCACCGTGCATTTAGATTCCTCCAATCACCTCATCAGCTCAGGGACTTCCTATCCATGATAGAGAACAGGATCTGAAGCATTTGACTCCAAAACTGAATAGTAATCTGATCGCCATCTTCTGCTTGTTTACTACAGGGCTTGTTGTGAGCTGCAAACTAGATTTCCTTTAAAATCTTACCGACACTTCTGTATATTGCTCATTGTAGAGTTTGTAACTAAGCATCCTGTTGATAGATTCTCCCACCTTAGCTGTGAATCTCTGCAATTCTTTTGATTAATAACCCTTCTTCTCCCTTTTAGATTAACACTCATATCTTGGTAAGTTTGCCATACTATTTCTATTTTAAGGTGACTAATTACTGATGAATCCATCCATTGTCTGAACACCAAGAACTGAGTGAACCCAAGCAAGAACGAGAAGAACTAACCACTTAAAATAATTTTAGAATTTCAGTAGATAAAAAAAAGTCATAAAAAAGTAAGTCACATATGCCATCAAAACATGGCTGGAAATGCAAGCAGTGATCAGCATCATGACGAGGTGAAACAAAATGACTTTTAGGACATGCAAAGTCCTTGCAAGACACCAAGCTGGGATTGGTCACCAACAGTGGTTGGGATACTATTCTACTCCTTATTCCTGGCTTAAACTTCTTCACATCTTTCTCTCGAGCCTGTATTTTGTGTTCCTTGATCCATGCTATTTACTCACTAAAGCCTCATAGAAAACCTGCTGCGGAGAACATTTAGATTTTTTTTGCCAATTTAATTAAACACAGATTGAGTCTAATTAGCTACTAATTGGCTTTTTAGGGTTACGTGACTTTATCCCTTAGCAAAAAGCAGTTTATTCAAGTGTAGCTACTAAAAGTACACTAATTTCATACTTAAAATCAGGCAGTGCACTTAGAGTTTACTTATTCTAAACTATATTTCATATACTTAACAATAATATAGTCAAGTCTACTTGACTATACTATTGTTTACTTTATTGTTTACTAAAGTATACTTTAAGTATACTTTAGTAAACTTAAAAATGTCCCAATTTAGTTTGAAGTAGTATTACTTTAGTTCGTTTGTTCGGTATACTTTATAAACTTATACTTAAGTATTCTTAATAGAATTTACTTCAAGTATACTACTTTTTGCTAAGGGATAGGAATCTGGGTAAAGAAGGATTAACAAAATACAGCTTATGATTTTTTATTTTTGTTTCATGTCTAAAAATAAATTAGCCTAAGTATATTTTTCTTTAAAAAAAAAAAGATTCATAGGTTAATTTTCCTCCTCGATAATTATGCTCTAATTTTATTGTTGTTAAATTCTTGTCCATTTTTCTTTTCCTACCGACTTACTTTGAGTGTTTATTGAATAAATACTCCACCTTCCCTTTTGTCTGCGCTGCGTCACCGTGCGTCACAGCGCTGTTATGTTTCCTTCTCCGCTTTTCTAGTTTCTCCTGTCTTCCAGGCGCAGCCAGCCCGTTCTCGACTTCTCTAATGTGTTGGAAATCTTTTGGAATATAAAGCTCACACATATCAGAAAGTTGGAAAAGTGTGGATAATCTGCGTCGTTGAAGCGGCTGGAAGATGAAGTGTTTGCGGATTTTCCTCCCAGCTCTGCTTCTTATCGCCGGTTTGGCAACAATTCTGGCTGATTCCACACCTGAGCACGGTAGGAACACAGACGTCCGACAACCTACTGATTAACCTCAAATTTACTATAATTTAAGAACAGTCACTTTGATTTATTTATTTTTTTTTGTTTGTTTTGTTATTCCTTTAGATGCCCTCAGTAGTTATATTTTGGAAATATTTTTAAATGTTTTTTACTCAAAAAAAATTATTAATAATCTAGTCAATTAAAATTCTAGACAATTAAATCTAGTCAATTACATTTCCCATAATTTTCTCACAAAATCAAGTTAATTTTGTGCCACATAAAGAAAACAAAGCAGTGGTTTTGTTTTTTTCCATCTTCCAAATAAAACCGATCTATTCATTTGTTTCATTTAAGCTTTATTTAGCTTAATAAAGACATCCGTTTTTTTTTTAAAACATTAGTTTTATAGATACCTGGCTACACCTTTCTGAAGCCAGTCTGTTTACTCTGCTGTCTCCATAGAAAATGTCCCTGGAAGATTAACACTGGTTACAAATATTACCCTGAGAATAATTACAGGCCTCATATAATCCCCCTCTAAAGTTTTCTGCTAATCAAGGGAATATCAGAGCTGGTTTGACTTCTCCTTTTGATCTAAAAGGGTTTAAGCTTTGAAAAGTAAAATCCTGTTTCACTAATTAAACTTTTTTTTTTTTCCCTTTCCACAGTGTGTGAGAGAAAAAATGGAACGAGCTGTGAGGAGTGTCTAAGAAATGTGACTGTGAGTCCAGATTCCTGTTTAGACAATCTAAATCTGGCTCTATGCTGTGTTTTTTTTATTTTATTTTTTGCCTAGTTGACAAATACGTGCGTCTAAGGTGGGGGTATTTTATCTGCTGGCTTGTCTTCCTTCAAACCTGTTGGACTGGTTTAAGGAGTAACTGATCCCTTCCCAACTTCCCCCTCCCATTCTGTGCGTGATTGTTATGCAGCTGAATGTGCAACTGACCTAAATAGTTTCAGATTTGTTGGTTGTTGGAGTAAAGGATCTGTGTATGTTTGTTTGCAGTGCCTGTGGTGCATCAAGACAAAGCAATGTTTAACATATCCGGTGCAGACCATCCTTCCTCCACATTCCCTCTGCCCACTAGATGATGCCCGCTGGGGGCTCTGCTGGAGTAAGAAACACACGCTCACAGATTATATCTACAGAAATGGGAAGCTGTGTAGCTAACTTTCAAGAAGTAATTTATATTACTGCACTGATCTATAGTTTTAGAATATTTTATTTTGAAATACAAACTTCAGAAGATTAAGTCCTTTAATGTAAAATTGCAAGTCAGGATTACTTTGCACTGCTGAATAGATGCAAAAAGGCCCATTTTGTGTGAAATGTTTATTTTAATGAATCATATTTTAACATTTTAACAAAATTCTATTAACAGGTCAGTACCAATGAGTACGAGGTTATTTTATACGTTAGTTTCAAACCCAAGGATTTTTCTTAACTAAGTGTAGGAGTGACCTTATTTATCTCTAGCTTTATGAACTGTGGATGATTATTTATGCTCAACCTCTACTATGAACAAGTTCAAAGTTCAGCTTTCACTTTTAAAACCTTTGTCTAAAGTTTAAACTATATGGTTAATATCACTTTGAGCTTTTGCGCATATTAACATGACCAAATCATCACTAAAGCATCTTTTGTGTTAGTTGTTAAAGGGGAAAATTAATTAGAATTTTCAATGTGTGGTTTTGTTTTTGTGGTCAATGCATTAAGCTGTGGCTTACTTTATATCAGCTTTACCTGCATAATCTCTTTTCTTGCCAACAACAGACTGCAAGGAAGGCACAACTGATTTTGATGGGCATGGGCCTTCAGCTTGTTTAGTATGTTTAAAGCAAAGCAAAGTGAAAGGTGCTGAAATCAAAGAGAGTTTTATGGTGAAAGTTTGCATATTGCTCCTTTAAAGACCACTCCTAAAATATATTTAAAATTCCGGTCAATGTCTGAAAATTTCAAATGTGTGATTAAACAGCAGAAACCCCCCTGTCTAATAGAAGGGTTTAATAGAGAGACACTGGTCTCTATCATACCTTTTTGATTCACCTTTAAACTAAAGTGTCCTTCATCTTTTCAACTAAAACTTTAGGTCACATAAGCATTTATCTGTCACATATCAAAATAAGATCATTTTCCTTAAACATTTGACAACAGATGACCCACATTTGACACATTTGTTATATGCATTTTGGCATACTTTATTTTGATACTCCTTGGTTTTGAAATGCTTCTTTAATTCTCCCTTTTCTCCCTATGCTAATAATCTCTAGACAGTTTTACATTATCTTGCAGGGATGTTTGAAAATAAAAAAAGGCCTGTTGTCTGCGGTGAAGTTTTGCTGGGTCCATGTTAGTGGTTTAAAGTGATGTTTCAGCAGTAATTCAAATGCAAACATGCTTCTGTACATACCTACTGTAAGGGGTATGTTGAGTTAGTCTTTAAAGGTTATTTATGGGTCTGGCATGTAATGGAATGCCTATTTAGAATCTGTCTTCAAAATATTGACAGAATGTTTGATAAAAAAAAAAAAAAGTGGTTTTGAGTTAAATGCAGATTCAAATCTAAAATAGGTTGTTTATATTTCATTTTTTCCCCTGGGTTAATATTGGTTGGCTAAACAGTAGAAAAGGCTCACTGCCGCTCCATGTCTTAGCTCTCTATGGATAATTGATCTCACTGAGGCTGACCAGTGTACCAAACACCTAACGGCTTTTAACCCTCTAAAGATAGTTGGCAGTCAATGACTGTTTTTCACCTGTATATTTTTTTTATTTTTTTTTAGGACATAATGTTCCACTTTAAGTCTACTTAATTCTCCCATAGGGGTTCTATTTATCAAATGTCTTTTACAGACAAGCAGTTAAACTTTAATAAATTGTTTATATAGGTAATTTTCAAAAAGGGGGATAACATAGATAACATTTTAACATAAAGCCAAGCTAGTAGGACCCTGTGCCCTATCAACATTTTTTGAGGATCTGAAACCTGTAATGGTGACAAAAATTAGGAACAAAACTTTTTTTTTTAAAGGTCATTTTTACATTTTAATGTGCATTTTCCCAGAAACAGAATGGAGATGCTGCAATGGGAAATGGAACTTTGATTGTAAAGTTGATGGTTCTGCCTGAATACTGTAGCATATCATTTCAGATAACTGTGTTCTATGTGGAGAAAAGCTAATATAAACTTAATCTAGGTTTTTCACTACTTAAACAGAAAATACCGTGTTGTCTTTCTGTAACAATTAACATTCCACTTTGGGATTAATAAAGTATTTTTGAATGGACACAGCCATGGAGGTCTTCTTATAAAGGTTTGTTTGGAATTTGGTTTATACATCCAAAAGGTTTCACAATTTAAAAAAACTGGTATTTAATTACTATGTTAATAGTTGTTAATTTTAGTTGTTTTTAACCAAAGTCAGTGATGCTCAAGGTGATGGTAAAATGTGAAATTGCCCCTTAGCCTTTTTATTTCAGAACATGAAGCCAACTTCATCTTCACTCTAAATCAGTGGTGTCTGAAGTTTAAGAGGAAATCTGTAATTTATTAGTTTTGTTCAATATTGTAGTTTATTATGGATGTAAATATTCCACAGCTTTAACTGGGAAACTTTTCATACAGAAAAAAACGGCACATTAGGAATTCATCAAAAGCCAACTAATACCATCTTTTTGCAGTAAAAATGCAGCCACATCCCTGTTACCAATCATTTAGTCTGACCACATATTGCGCCTTGCAGCCTTGTGTGTTTTTGCTCAACTTCCTACCATTGTTGCTGACTTCAAAGCGTTGGGCGTATAACTTGCGGCACTCACCTGTAGGGGGATTTCCTCAGCCCTGAACTGTGTTTGGCTCTTAATGCATTCTGCCAAAATGCATTAGGTGCTTAAACCACAAAGGTGTGCTCTGACCTCACAATGCAATTATCTGCATTAAATTCTGCTGATGAGACTGACCCCTGAGTATGGTCAAACGTCTTTGCTCTTTCTTCACATGTGAACTGAGCCGCCACCCTTTTTAATTTGTTACCCCCCACTATATTAGTCCTCACAGTGTTTTGAGGTTTAATGCAAACCTCTGAGCTGGTGCAGAGACATCATGTTGGTGCGATGACATCCCAACTTTTGCTCTCAGGACAAGTGTTGATTACAGAAGGGATCCTAAAGAAGCTAAAGAGCAATGATGCAGTGTCATCACCTTTAATGGTTGTGCCTTCCTGTTTTTTAGAGAACTAGAATTGTTTTCTTTTTTAATTAATAAATAATTCACTTTGGGGAAAAATGTGTTTTATTTGTCCAGCTTTCTATATTGTAGTTTCTTGCCTTAAAACATGACAATAAGGTTTCTAAAAGCTTAAACACCAGAAATCCATGGTGAAAGTTGTTAACTAACTAAAGTGTATGCAAGTGTTAATAGTATATGGATTAATTAAGGAGACTCATACATAACTGGGCTATATATCCTTGTATTTAGAGAGTTTTACTGTAAAATTAAAATGATTGAAAGCTATTTAGAGTATTAAAAACATTTCTGAAATGGCTATTTTAGGAAAAGGCTATCTTTGAGATCACTTAAATAAAATGCAGGTAGGTGACATTGTTGGTGTTGTTTTTTAAAATCTGTTTCAAATTTAAAGATTTGTAACATTTAAATGTTTTTTTTTTGCAGTGAACTTCCAGATATTGATAATCACGCTGTCTGTGCTCGGTGCGGTTCTCATCATTGCTTTCATGGTCTGCCTGTTCTGTTGCTGCAAGTGCGAGAACTTTGGGTAAGTAAATACAGGCTTCATGTGTCCCTGGAAGGGAAGCCATTGTTTTGCTTTTTTTTTTTTCATTTAGCCATGTCAAAAGATTTCAGACACACACACAGACATCTCTGTCTTTAACCATGTCAAAACATGCACCGTGTGTGTGTGCGTGTGTAGACCTTCCAGTTACATATTGGGTTTTGTGGAAGTTTTGTTTCAGATCCCTTTTGACACTATTGTTTCTGCTTCCACCTCTGCTTTATCGTTTTTGGCCTTGCTGTGGATTATGGGAAATTTGTAGATTTTCTTGTGACATGATTTAATCTTTGTCCAACAATAATCTCGTGTCTGTGTGTCAGATCCGGTCGATTTGAGGCCAAGATGATGAGACAAGCCAATAAAAATAAAACCAAGCAGGAGGAAAGGTGAGAATTGATGACAGGAAATGTGATTAAATGTATTCTTGTTCTTTTTATCTCCCAGACATAAGCAATGCCTTGCAGAAGTATCCATTCCATCTTGTATTTTTATACATCAATATCATGATTGTGTTCTGCATAAAATTGGCATTTCATCATATTTAATCACTTTAAAGTTTATTGCTGCAACAATATAAAATCTGGGGATATAGAAAAGTATTTTATATTCTGTTTTTAACATACAAGGTTTAAATATCATGCAGTTTTACATTTGGGATATGTGTGTATTCAGCAAAATATAAGAGCCCTATTTTACCATTATATATGCTTTCTGCCTTATGACAAGAATCATGGTGGAAGCTGTTTCTTTGCTAGTCATGATCTGTATCAGGTTTCTTGCATAACGCTGTGGAGATGAGGAGCAAAAAATGCAAATGTTGTGCTGTAATCAGCCCAAACTGGTTTTCATGCCACGTGACTCCTTAAACTGCTGGGTAGGCTGAAGAATGACCTGAATGGCAGTTTTTGGCTCATGGAGGGATGTTCTGTCTTTACAGGAGAGCAGAGATGAAGCAGAGACATCAGGAGATCAGGCAGAAATATGGTGAGCTTTTCTATCCTAATCACAACAGAATTATCAGCAGACACTGCTTTCTGCAACCCCTTTTGTCAAAAGGATGGTTCTTGGTGTTTTAAAAAATTTTTTTGTACATTTGACAAGATTCTGACTATTCTAGCTAGAACAATGTGTCTAGATCATGCAGAGTCTTTGAATCTCTGTTGCACTTTTCTCTCTTCTGCTTTTGATCAGATTTAGACCATGGAATTGATCTTTGTATAGAATCTCCTGCTCATGTTGCCAAAGAGTATAAATGTTCATCAGACATTTAAATTAGAAGCCTGCCCATAGCATCACAGGTCCTCTACCAAAGTGATCCCCGGCTGTGTATCATTTGGAACTGGGCCGCACAAAAAGAAAAAATAACTTCCATTATGATTCTATAGGGTGTTTTTATAAAAAAAAAAAAATGACTGGATACTCACTGTAAGTAGTTAATAGGCTGTTTTCATGCGCTTTGTTTTAGCGGTAACTTATTTTTAAAGGCATGTTTAATGTTACCATAGCGACCAGAGAGCACTATAATGACAGACTGATAGATAAATATTGTCTGACATACCAGACCGTGGTCCAGAAAAGGTCTTGGGCCACTGCACTGCCATGTCTTAACTAACAAACACATCGAGCTCCACATATAAAATCCTAGAGGAGTTTGACAAACTCAACTTTTTACATTTGAGATGATAAAATCACTCTGTGAAAACACTAAGAATTCTCTCAGAATTCCTCCTAAAAATGAGCTTGATACGAAAATGGGATGTTTGTTATTTTGAAGATTTAGTTACTTTTTTTTTTTTTTTTTTTTAAACCTTAGTCTTGAAGATGGAGTTCCTGATCCAGTGTCTTGACCCAGATTGAATTTACTCTCCATTTCTAATAATTAATTAAACTTTATTGATCTCACATTGGAGAAGTTTATCCCTGCATTTTGGCCCATCCCCTCAGGAAGCAGTGGGCTGCCATTGTGCAGCAGTGTGGGGTTAAGGGCCTTTCTCAGGAACCAAGGGCGTAGGTTTGATTTCAACTTTGGTAGGGACACTATTCTTCAGTTTCATTGGTCCTTTGCAAAAATATGCATGCTGTTTTTTATGCTTAATGTGAGCTTCAGGGCTCATTTTGTTTAAAGAGAACAGCAGCATTTCTTGCTACATTAATACAAATCTTATAAGCACTACATGCACTAGATGCTGTTTATCAATATTTAAAGCATCACTGGCTCTGATGAATGTGGAATTAGGACTTTTTCCACTTTGAAAAGGATTGCATTTAAATTTACCTGCGACTAGGACAGTGTCTGTTTAACCAAATATAGTCTATAATATGTGGATTTATCCTGTGTTTTCTTCTGAAGATAGAGAATTGTGCAGAGGTAAAACCCACTCTTATTTTTTTTAACTAATATGCTCTCTCTGGATCATGCAAAATAATACATTCAAGGGACGGCAAATAAATGTATTGTATTTACATGTGCACTGGAACTATAAGAGGAGCTGACACTGAGCATTTAAAATATTAATATTAGAAGTTGTACATCTGGGCTGTAGTTACTCTGTGTAGCTAATTTCATGTATTTTATCTATGGCTGAAACAATTAATCATATTAACAAATTATTTAAATAATCGTGAACTATGTAATTGATTAATCGTTAACTGGAGTATAGGGCCACTAAAATGTGCCTTTAGCCGACAGAGCGACCCACTTAGAGGAGGAATTATACCAAGATTGTAAAAAATATGTAAACATTTTGCATTTAAGAAGTAAAAAAAAAAAGTTTTTGTCTGTCAATATTCTCCATCCAGAACTCCTCCAAAGGAAACGTTTAAACGTTTCTGTTTCACCTGGTTTCATTTCATAAAAGATCTTCTTTAAGGAGCCTTTGGCTATCTGATTAAAAGATAAACTAAAAGAAATCCTAACGTTGTTAACTTACATTTCTCAAGTTCCACAAATCAAAAAACTCTCTCCTGCTTCTTTACAGAACTCCAATCAGAAGCTTTTGCCTGTTTTATCGTAGATAATATAGTTTTTAATTTGGACTAGTTTCGTAGCCCAATATTCATTTATTTTAGCGTCTTTTTTTTTTCGCGCTCCAAGCACCCGCGCGCGCGCACATACAGTCTAGAAAACACGCAATCAGAAAGAGAGAAGGCGGAACTTAAGGCACAATAATCAGAGTTAAACCGCGCAGCACAGTTGAAGCGCTGCTATGTGAAAGGGACAGGAAAGAGCAGGCAGCTGCAGCTACCAGGCAGAGAAGCTGCGAGAGGAAAAGAAGCGGCTGCTGTATAGTAAATTATAAACATGTTGTTTACATCCAATTATTGGTAGGGACAAATAGGTCCGTCCTAAATTTTGGTAGGGACATGTCCCTATGGTCCCTATACAAACCTACGCCCATGTCAGGAACCCAGAGTGGATGCTGTGGTGATTGAACCGGGTACTTGCAACCTTCTCAGAGCACAAGCGCACTGCTCTAACCACTAAGCCAAGCACTCCCCTTCAACTATATTTAGTTGACAGGAAAAATAAAAATTGATTGAACGCCAAATAGTAGTTCACTCTAATTTACTCAAAGTCTATAAGTAATTAAAAGTTAATCATGAATGAAATGCTGATTAAACCCATTAAAACTATATGGGTGCAATAGAATAGAAAACCCCTTTATTGTCCCACAATGGGGAAATTGTGGTGTTACAGCAGCAGCAAAAGGTTATAGTAGAAGTGGACTGAATGTGGACCTTAGAAAAATGTATAAAAATAACAGTGAGACAGTTAAGAAAATAGAAAAATATTATACTGTACAATGTTTTTTTACAATCTTAATACGTTGTATCTGTAGTATAAATAATCAATAAACAGCTGTGGACATTTTTTTAATAATGGGTATGTGAAAAATGGCAACACCAGAGATGTGCAAAAAAATGAGAGCAGCATGTTATTTAATCAACAGAAACTGTGCAAAAATCAGCATGGATGTAACAACTTATTAAGGTTGTTGGTAACAGTGATGGTTATGGAGGAAGGATCTGTGATTATGCCCCCTGGTGCATTTAGGGTGCATTAAAATTAAAAGTAAAAGATTAAGAAATAATCAGCCTGATTCATTTAAAATTTCTTAACTCAGCAAATGCTCACAAAATGCTTAGAAATGTTAAGATTAATTCTCCTTTTTATTCTATTAAATGAATTCAAGCAAATGTCTTATTTTTTATTTAAAAAAAACACTGAACTCAATTTTTTTTATTTTTTTTGTAGGACTGAATGGGCCAAACCCATATGCAAGATTTTCCTGAGATCCACATGCGGAAGTTTTTAAGCAAAAAGCACAGCTCCTGATTTGTAGCTTTGTCTATCTGCAGTGAATCCAATATCTGATGGAAACTTAAACGATGAAATTTTAAAGAAGTTTTCCGTAGGCAGCCTGCCTTTTGATGATCAAATCTGTTCACTGAAATTGGATACATGGCTGCAACGGGAAGCCAGGAAAGGTTTTTTTTGTTTGTTTGTTTTTTTTTTCTCTGGTTCCTAATACTATTATTATTGTTATTTATTAGTACATAGTGAAATTGTTTAAAATCAAAGTTATTTTAGATTTTAAAGGTAAATTTCTTCTGCCTAAGAAAACCTGTAGGTTCACAGTTTCAGTTGCTGCTGATTTTGAAATGATAATTAAAGTTTCTTTTTAATGACTTTTCTGGTTATCTCTGTTATATCTTACAGCCATAATGATTATAATATTGCTTGTTCCTGTGGGAATTTTTACAACAATTCATAACTAAAGTGGTGTGAAACTGATTCGTTTTAGTTCATAATCATAACTATTTCTGCATAGTATTTTACTGAGGTTTATGTATCATTAATTTACAATTCTATTAAATAAAATATTTTAGACTGCTTTTTGTCTCCTTTCTCACTGAATGTGCTTCTTAAACCTAGTAGTTTGTTAAAGAAAGGCGTTTTTTTTTTAACGAAAGTTGCAGATCCACTAACTTTGATGTTTATTTTTTTAACTCTGGGAAAACCATCTGGGTTCTTTTCTATTTCATTATTCTTGAAAACCTTGACTTACACAGAGTTACACAAATGTAGCGAACAGAAAAAATATAAATGATTATGCAGAAATCCCTAATGTATTAAAACTGATGCAAATAAATGATTTAATTTAACTTGTACAAACTGTATTTTTTTATATAATTTCTCAGAAATTTCAATTAAAACTATTATAATAAAAAAAAAGTCAATTTCTGTCAGTAATTTAAGGGTCCAGGCTTTAAAGGGTTAAATATTCATTTTTATGTTCACAAATATGTGCCACTGTTACTTTTCTTGCACCTTCAAATACAAAGTGCTTTAAATATGAAATTATTACATACTGTTCAATAAATAAGTGTTTTTAATTATCATTATCAATTATCATTTTCATTTGACTGTGCTTTACTGGATACATCCATGTTTGTCAAAGTACACTACTGCCACCTACTGGTTTGTGACGTCACAGTGCGGTATCGGCTGTTGAGCAAGTCCTAATGCTATATCTGGTGTTTGAGAAAACCCATTGATTAGTCCTTGCTGACTGGACTTTTAAGGAAGGCGAATGTAACATTGCAATTTTTTTTATGAATTTTTAAATTCAAGATTGACCAAGAAATTTATATTTGTACAGCTGTTAAACAAATTAGGACACCTTATTAGCTTTGCCATTATATTCAAATTCAGGGGCCTTCAATGTTTTCCAGGCCAAGGACCCCCAAACTGATGGCGAGATGGAGCGGGGACCCCCTAATTATATATATTGTATGAAATTGTGTTATCAGAAAGAGCTACTGTGTGTCACTGAATGTGTGCATTGATGACTGAAAGACATCTTCTGCCCCCACTTATCCGTTTACTACTGTGTGTTGAATTCATGTTAATGTGTATTTAAAGACATTTCGATTGGTGGAAAAAATTGCTGGGGGGAATTTAAAAACAGTCTAATGAAATAAAACTTTCGCGACCCCCATGCAGTACCTCTGTGGACCCCCTAGGGGACATGGACCCCCTGTTGAAGACCCCGTTCTGATTGATCTCAATAAATTGTACTTAACTTACAATTAAATAAAAAAGTAAGATGCTTTTTGATGAGTAAGATGCTTTTTGTTACCTTTTTTTTGTTACCTTTTCTCAGTTTCTTACATCTGCCACGAGGCTCAAAGCCCATTTCCTGTCCCTATGCAGTATTTTAATGAGATTTGATCTGCCCAGGACTTACCACTTCTTAATAAAAAAGGTATTACATTCCTAAAGAAGCTTATCAGTTATGTAAATCTTTGAGTGTTGCATGACATGCATTGCCTGCAACAAGGAAATGAGTAGCATCATTTACTTAGCCTTAAACAACTAAATTTTGTTTTGTACAGCTTTCAGACAGCAACTGAAGCGTAGCAATGAAGTGAACATTTATATTTCATAAAGTGCGGCAGTGATCAAATGTAAACAGTGTGGGAGAAAAAAACATGGTGCAAAAATGCATTAATATGGAACTTCAGAGCATTTCAAGACAAATATGTATGGTGCAAATATGCCGTATTTTTAGGTTGGTAATAGTGTAAAGCAGAGTCTGACTTGACCAAGTTTTTTCAACAGTTCAGCTATCTGGCAGTGGGGAAAAAGCTGTTGCAGAATCTGCTGGAAACTTGGATCGAATGCTTCGAAGCCTCTTCCCAGAGGGCAGCTAAGAGAACAGTCCATGGTGGGGGTGTGAGGGCTCATTTATGATGTTATAGGTTCTCGACATGCAGTGCTGGGATGAAATGGTTTTTATGGAGGGAAGAGGAGCCCAGATGATCTTCTCCGCTGTTCTTAATACTCTTCTTACCTTCCAGTCTGAGGCGCTGCAGCCTCCACACAGTACAGTGAGACAGCTGGTCAGAATGGGCATCCTCATCCTCCTCAGGAGGTACAAGTGCTTCTGTGCCCTTTTGACCAGCGAGGTGGTGTTTACCTACATTTTTTCTGTGAAGGCAGTCCTTTCTGTGGGATTGAGGTGTGGAATATTAATAATAATTGGAATTTATTGATCTCACATTGGAGAAATGAACCTCTGCATTTAACCCATCCCCTTGGGGAGCAGTCAACTCAATGGGGCATCGCTTAAGAAAAAATGTATTACACTATACACAAATATTTAATTTAAAAGAAACTAGAGATACATCAGGAGTGACGTTTCAACTGTGTTAACAGTAAAAGATGCACTTTGGGGGTCTCAAAAAGCTCAGTTTTTTTTTTTTTTGGGCGCGTGATCGAACTTTCTGTATGTGTGCGCGCCCCGAATCCGCGCTCCCGAGATGAAATGACCACGTGACTTCCCCAGCCAATGGTTTACTCCTAACATCGGTCTAAAGAGCGCGTACCCGCAATCGACGAGAACAGTGAGCAGAAGGCGGCAGGAAGACGACAAAAGCCCGGCGTCGGTCTGTTCTGTAAACCCTAACACAAAAAAACAACCGAGATGTCAGAGGAAAAGCCAAAGGTAAGAGGCGGAGGCTTACAGCAGTTTACCGGCACTGGATGCTGAGTCGGGGCTGCTGCAGCAAAGAAAAATTCCTGTAAATGTGCAATCTAGAGGCCTTGGTTTGCACGTTTCTCCAAATTGGCGCAGTGTTAGTTTCGCAAAATGAATGGGAACCCGCACATCTAAACATAGACTCAGTAAGCACCTAAGCCGCTGTATCGTGGTGGAAAATTAATAAACATCCCGTTAACTTTCATATTTTATTTCAGAAGAAAATTGACTGCAGTAAATGTTTATATCTTTCCCTCCGAATCTCTTTTGTCGAAAGGGTCAGACGTTAACTCCGCAACGCCGCATAATGCCGCAGCTGCAGTTAGCGGCAAAATATCGCAACGGCTAATGACGCACCCGTTTAAATGCTAACGTTGGGCTGTTGTGTTTGGTTTGGCTTACATTTAGAAAGGTTCTGGTTGGATCAAACGCGCAACAAAACAAAGCAGTTAGCAACGTTAGCTTGAAGCTAAACTTCCAGTTGATCCCAAAGGACCGCCGGTGTGCTAACCTAGCCTCGAGCTAATTATGCTAACGTTAGCATCGAAAAACACACTCTGAGGCCTAATGTTTTTTCCCAGATACGGCGATGTTGACTCGTATTTTCTTTAATACAGACCCCTATTCATTTGTTTTTTTTATTTTATTGCTCGTAAATTCAACTAAATATTCTGTGGTAGAAGTGGTGATTAGGAAAATATATCGCTCAATAATTTATTTGGTGTCTTCCTTTATGCCACATAATTTACCACACTTCTGTTTCAGCAGCCTTTCAATTCTGATGGTTTAAAAATACAGAGAATATGTCCAATATTTGGTTCACCTGCTTTATTTTTATTACCAGAGCTGTTTCTGATGTTATGTTTTGTCTGCAGGAAGGAGTAAAGACTGAGAACGACCACATCAACCTCAAAGTTGCAGGACAGGATGGGTCAGTCGTCCAGTTCAAAATCAAACGACACACACCGCTCAGCAAACTAATGAAGGCATACTGCGAACGACAGGTAACCTGCAAGCCACGTTCGCTCTTATAATGCCCATTTGATACATCCTCGCAGTCAAACACGGTGGTGGTGGCAGCATCATCTTGTGCAAAGGCCTTTTTAGTGAGGGACTGGGAAGCTGGTTAGAGTTGATGGTGTAGCTAAATATTGGGGGGACTGGAAAAGACTTTGGACCAGGACAGACGGTCAGCATTGCAAAGATGTTTGCAGACAAACTCAAAGACTTGATAAAGTACTGATTTTTGGCTGATGCGTACAAATTACCTACCCTTACACTACCCTGAAGTTGAGTAGTTTTACAAGGTTCTGTTTTTGGAAAAAGACATTTAAATACCTTTGTTGGCATGTATGTGTTTTTCACTTGTTCATTCACTTATTGCTTTGTTCATCTACAGGGTCTTTCAATAAGGCAGATCAGGTTCAGGTTTGATGGCCAGCCAATCAATGAGACGGATACACCTGCACAGGTAAAACTGTCCAAGAACAGCACTTCGTTGGCTTTTTTTTGTAAGGTTTACAGGTTACAGCACATTTAAAACATGATTGTACTTGTTTCTTTTTATTGTTTTGGTTTTTTACTGTTGGATTAAATATGAGGTTTATCTTTGTACTTTTTTACAGCTGGAGATGGAGGATGAAGACACCATAGATGTTTTCCAGCAGCAGACTGGAGGATGCTGCTAAACCCTGGCATCCCCACCTACCCCACAGAAGGCCATGTTCAGACCATGCCCTCAACCACCTTCACCCTCTCTCCCTCCCCATTTGCTCCTGCCAGCTTATTGTTATGACTATTATTATTATTTTTCTCTTTTTAAAAGACATTCTTTGCCTGACGTGTCAGTGCTCTTCAGCTGTTTCTGTACTCTCTTAGTCAGGACTGAGCTTCAGTGTTCTCGGTCTTTGTGGATGACCAGTCAGGACCTTCTCTTCCTTTCTGGTGCTGCAGATTGTAATTGGACCAACGGCTCACCACAGAAACCGTAAAAGGCTCTGCTGGTTTTTTGTTTAGGGGTCACTGTCGGTGGGGCGCGAGAATATTTTGAAGTGGAAGCACCATCTGAACTCGACCTCCTCCTTTGCTTTTTTCTTTCTTTCTTTTTTTTTTTTTTTTTGAACATATGTATTTTAGGTGCTTCATTGTTTTGTACTTTTGCCTCCGGTTTTAAGATAATTTTTTTTCTTTCTGTATCGAAATATCCAAATGGTTGTTAAATTAGTTGTGAGGTTAAGAACAGTACTCCAAAGATCATCTGCTTCTCTTTCAATGTATGTTTAATTTCAAGGTTTAAACATTTTGAGGTGTTGGGTTAGATCATTAGCATTCTGCTCCCCAGCTTCTAATGGAGAACTGTCTGTTGTACAGATTGCCATTTGCTCAGGGGGTAAAATAATTCTGTACTGCTGAAATAGGTTTGGGTTTCGCCTTTTCTCAGTAATATGCGTCTTTATTTTTGCCTATAAAGCCGGTCATGATCAGTCCCTGTGATACAAGCAGCTCTTCTTGCAGCAGGAGTTGGGATTTCCTGAGTACTGTTCTCTTAAGTTCAGCAGCTTCCTATTTGAGAGGATGGACACTCAGCTAAAGCAGAAAATTGTAAGCACATGTCATTTTCTCTGACGTGTTTCCTGCTGAGCTGCTGTACTAAAGACAAAATATGCTCTGCAACGTAACAGAGAAGGTATCTCAGACGACCTCTTTGTTGTTCGAAGTGCAACATGCAACATACATTCATCGCTCTGTATCTGGAGAACAGGAAAGTCAGCCAGTGTTTTTTTTTGTTCGGGGATGAGCTCGGTTTAAAGAGTTGCTTATTTTTGATCCTTTTCTGGTCTGAAGCAAAATCTTTCATCCTAGAGCCAAATGAGTTGGAGCTTAAAAAAAAAATCTACAGTTGGAGCTTAAAAAAAAAATCTACAGAAAATCATGCTGGTTTGGGCGTCCTGTGGAACATTACGGTTGCTTTTGAGGTTTAAAGTTATCAGAAAAGGCAATAGTTTTAGTTTTGCTATAAATAAGCAGGTTTAGTCTCACTTTGAATAAGATTACTAAACAGCAAACCCCCTTTGTGTCCCTCAGCCTGTTAAAAAGCCATTTCCCTTTTATATTAAACTGTTCCCATCTTATTCAGCTGTATTTTTGTATGCGTCCTTTTTATCGGTGGACTAAATGGCACTATCCATTTATTTTAAAATACATATTGGCAATCTGTTATTTAAACTCCTAATTTCCATGTTTAAGTTCACAAATAACTCCTGAACATCCATCTCTCCTCATTGAATGGTGCGTTAGAGAAGTGGTAAGTAATTCATTGTGCACAGATTATTTACTGGCAATGATTGTGAATTTAGCTTCCATCACAGATATAAGAGCACATTTTATCTGTACCTACAAATCGGCTTTCCAATTTTCTTTGCATTTTACCAACTGGGTTTATCTGGACAGAAATCTTTTTGGCGACTGGCTGAACTACACTGTTATGGATGAAGAATGGGGTCCAGGTCTCGTCTTGTTTGTTTCTCTACTGATTTGTACATTATTTGTGGTCTTTTACTACTGTATACAATAAATATAGTTTGGTACTCAGAAATGTTGTTAGTTTCATGTTTATTTAACCCAAAAACAATTTTTTTCTTAGGTAAAAACACTCTCCTACCGAATCTTTTCTTTGATGATTAAAGTCTTTAAAAATTGGCAGCAAATCTATTTTTCAATAATACTCTTAACTGCTTATGTTACCCACTGACGTACAAATGTGAAATGACCACCAGATGGCAGCACTGAATTACTACAAAACTCATTGGGTAAACTACTCTTAAGGAACTTCCCAAAATGAATTAGTAACTTCATACTTTGACCAATTTTATTGCATGTAAATACAAAAAAATATGACTATATAAAATGCACAATAGCCATAACAGTTATGCACATTTTATGATTATTGTTAAAGTTAAATGAAGTTTTTTTTTTTTTTTTTCTGGTAATTTTTAACTTCCACAATATGAGCCCCCATTTCTAAAGTCTCAACACAATCTTACAGTTTCATGATTATATTAAATGATTTGATTTTTGAATAATCTAAGACTTTATAGCACTCATTCATGCACCTATAAAATACTAATTAAATACAATTGTACACAATGGAACAGAGGGGTGCTGTAGTTCACAAAGCCTGGGATGATTTAAGGAAAAGATAAAAACGTGATTAACGTTACATTGTTTTAACAAAGTCAAATTGGGTTCTTTGTTTCCAGAGTCTATATATAGAATCCCAGATCTCTGATAAAGGGACTGGTCTAATTAATCTGAACTGAATCAGTGATAAGATCATAGCGCCGTTGGATGAGTCAAACCAGTAATAAGGAAACTCATAAGATATTGGCAGCGCGCATCGACTTTTCTCTACCTTAACAGGATTTTACCACCCACCCGTGTCTCCCAGGAAGAAAGATTGTTCAATGGATACAGATCATACAGTTGGCTGTTATTTTAATGTAAATGAAGATGAGAGGCAGAATGCATTTGCCTTGTTAATTTGCTGGTTGAAGGCTGAGAGGATGGGGTTTCAAAGGTTTAATATAACCTCTAATATAGTCAGAGATAAATAATCTTTCATCAAGTTTCCATGACTGTTATTTTATCAAACCTCTGAGATCTCCATAGAGCAGCTATAGTTGTCATTTACTACATATAGGATCTCTGAAGGGCTTTGTTTGCACCAGCTTTTATCTAGGGGACCTGGAGTAAATGGGGATGGAATATGAACAAATACTTTTCTCACTCTTATCATTAAAACAACCCCAAAAAAAATATTCTGATATTTACATTTGTGCACTTTTTTGTTAATTTATCACAAAAATACACATTCATCAAAGCTTCCAGCTGTAAGGAAATTTGAAAAAGATCAAGGGGTGTGAATATTTTTTTTTTTACAAGGCACTGTATCTTTCTCTCATAGGTTATGACCTAAAACACACAGCTCATATGCATTCATACATCAGTTCAAAGATGGCACTCTGGTGTTCATGTTCTTTTGCTTTACTTTAAGACTGAATCTATTGACTTTTGACTGACATTTTGCATCTGTTTGCACACAGAAGTTGTGTGTGCCTCCCCCCCTGATCTGTCTGTCAGCGTCCTGTAAGCATAAACATATAAATACAGCCAGGCAGCACACCCCTCTGGCGGTCTATGTTTCCAAATTTGTGGTCGAGGGAGGATGAGTGACATGCCGGTTAGTGATTTGCATGGCTCCGGTGTTTAAAAGGAGCTGCAGGTGCAGGATTCCCTTCACAGAGGAGTGGATTTGGTTCAGCACACACAGGGACCTTTCATGCTGCATCAGTACATCTGATCAAGTTGATATAAGACTTCAAGTTTGAACATATTCTTTCTTACTGGGATCAAGATGAAGGAGGCATGGTTTTCTTTCATGAATCATTGAAGGTAAAGAAAGAGCAAGGGAGAAAAAACAGACTGGAAATTACCTCGAACATGGAGACATTCCTGTTAGCAGGCAACTGAGGCAGACCGCGTTCATAATGTCGATGAACATATTCCTGCTGCTCCTTATCTGGGCTTTCAGGGTCACAGAGACAACGACAGACATCTGGAGACAGTGCACAGGTGAGAAGCTATTTAATTTAATGTATTCTGTTTCATTCTACAATCTAGAGGTGTCACTTCATCTCAGGTCAACACAAGTGATCCAGTTAATGATTACCCAGTGGATTGTTTATGGCTCCATCTAAAAGCTGGGAAGGCCCTGCAGCTAAAATTCTTTTGGATAATTCCAACTGTCTGCGTCTGCTCATGGGGAGTGCTTGTGTGCATATGTGTAGGGGTGGGAGAGTGTTTTTAACATTCACAAACAAGTAAGGACTTTTACATTTCTACAAACATTAGGATATTATGGTTTACAGCTGAATATTCCAGTGACACCTCACCAACCTCTCATGATTTTTCTTCTCTAAATCTGCCTTTTAGATCTAGTTGTTTATTAGTAACAACTCATAGAAATCACTGCATAGAAATGTACAGTTTCTAGACCTTAATTCAATTTTAAACCTAACTTTAAAATTTCTTGGTAAATCACACCCCCAAACCACTAAGTCTTTAATTGGGTTATGTGATAGATCAACAAAGTTGTACATAACTGTTGCACTAATAACAATAAGAAGAAAAATAAAAGTGACCCAAAACTTGTCCATATTTTACAAGTCTCAGTATTTTATTTATTTATTATATTTATTTTAAGTGGAGTGGATTAACACTGATTGAGGTTCCAAGAAACAAATAAACAAGCAACAACAAATATATAAAAATAGAATAAAAACAGTTATCTTAAAGCTAATATAAAAATAGTTTGATCCTGGAAAAGGTTTCATTTTAAAATACACAAATTGTAGGAACTATGTGAATGGAATTAAAGGGTAGATGAATGCAGTTCAATACATACAGCCCAGGAGAAAAAAAATATATAATAGAGAAACATTTGGTTCAACTTTAATCATAAATAAATAAATCAGAGGATTACAAACAATTTCTGAGCTCTTTTTTGTTTGGATCTCTTCAGATTATTAAAACAACAATAACAAAAAAAAAAAACTTCTATTATTTTATGTTTGTTGTTTTCCAGCTATTTATTGCATACCATTCACAGCCATTGTGGCCTATTGTCTGTTTCCCTCAGAATTAGTTCCCTTGGATCTTCTGTCTTTTGTCCTTGAGAGGGACACATCCAGAGTTGTCCCTGGGGTGCGTTTGAAGCAGTCAGCTGGACTGAGGGGGGTCCAGTTTCTCAGCCCGGATACATCTATGAGCTTCCTTGCCTCCCAGCTCCTGGTGAACTGTGACCTTTTCCCCAAAGAGTTCTCCATTGTTGTTACAGTAAAAGTACACCGCATTGCACCCAAGGTAAGCATCTGTCACACTGGCTAAGGTACTCTCGTAAGGTTTTCATAGATACCATGGCGATGCAGCAGAATCTTTTTTTATTCAGGTAATAAAAAAGTCAAAATGTCAGTTTTGGTCAAAAATGTTCTGAAGTAGAAATATCTTCAAAGAGTTAAATGTTAATTTTGATCAAAACCAAAATTCTTATTATAGTGTATTTATTCTCTTTGTTGTAGAGAGATGAGTACATATTTTCTCTGATGGGACCAAAACATGTGGAGAGCCCTGCACAGGAGAGGGATGATGTATTGGAAAATAAAAATGAGAAATTTATTTCGGAAGATGAGCGGCAGCCCAATAGAAAGAAGAAAACCGAAAGTGATGGGAAACCAGGAGAGATCCTTCTTGGCCTGAAATTATCCCAGAATGGCCTGACCTTTATTTTTAAAAGTCACGGGAAAACAGCAGAGCACTGGAGCTTACAAGGTCTGCATCTATCTCCAAACCAGTGGCACACACTGGTTGTAGTTATTGGCCCTAAACACATGAAGCTGACAGTGGACTGCGGCTCACCATTGGAAATGTAAGCACAGCTTTCTTTGTTCTTGCTTTTTTCCTCACCCTGTTTACCCATAGGACACTGATATCTGACCACAACAAAATGGTCTTACTTCTTCAAATGTATCTGCACCTTAAAGTCACACCTTTGCACCCTGACAGTGAATGATGGATGCTGAAATACAGTGGAGTACAATCTCTGAAGCTCTAAGAACACAGTTCATGTCTCATGTTCTTGTTTCTTTACTCCAAAATGCAAGTATTACTTTAGCCGGAAGCAATAAAGTTAATTTATACACCAAAAATAGCTAACGGTGCCCTTCAAAGGTTTTAACCTTCTTTTTTTTCCATTACATGGAAAGAAATTATGTAAAAAAAACTTTTTTTTTGATTGATTGATTGATTGACTTTATTGATCTCACTGTGGAGAAATTTACTCATTACATTAGTTCAAATAGTCAAAGAAAAAAAAAAGAAGGTGCCAAAGGAAGAAAAAATAAAGATTAAAGAAAAACTTCAGTTTATTTGTTAGGATTCATGGCGATTGACTGCCACAGAGCAGCAAATATTTCTGAAGTGTATTAAAAAAAAAGAGGAAACACAGTTTTCTGTTTTTGACAAATAAAAATGTGCATTCAGCTCCCCTACATCACAATAACATAAACAAAATCCGGTCCAACATTTTTCTAAATTCTAAATCAGTATTTTATTTCACTTAAGTACTATTTAGTAGCTTTTTTTTATTAATTATTACTGTTTTCCATTTTGTATTATTTGAATTATTAGTGTGAATATATCATTTTCTTTACTGGGAGGGTATGTTAACCTTCAAGCAAAACAGTATGCATGTGTATGCATAATGCATTTACAAGGTTTCTTCAGAAAGAGAATAGCTCAATAGCAGGAATGAGTGGCCCAAGACTCGCCCTGCAGACTCCGGGGCCTATAGAGGCGACCAGAGTTCCATAAAAGACCAAGATGGTGGAATCTAAACAAAATCTCGAGCATTGAGTTTTTCATGGAGCACAGTTCATTCTGTCACCCGGAAATTATTATAAAAGGAGTGTGACAAAGCTGTGAAAATTTGTAATAAGGCATTCCAATCAATTGACACCACAATTAAACTTTTTGGTCTAAATATAGGGACACATAAAGGAGGGAGCATAATACTTTGGGAATCCTTTTTTTCAGTGGGGACAGGAAATCGGGTTAAGCAAATAAAAAGGTAGCTAAATGTTGGACAATCCTAACAGAATTTCTGCTGTAGGCTGCAACAGACCTGCTACTAGGAAGGAGAACAACCTCCTACGTAACAGCCAACAAAAAGATTTAGCTGCGCAGGTATTATAATGAGCCAAGGAAAGCCCAGACCTTATCAGAAAAAATAACCTTTTGATAGACAACAACCTTTATATTTAACCAGTCATCCAACCAATCAGAGCTTTAGCCATTTTGAATAGAAGAATTTTATTTAACAGTCTCTCAGTGGAAAAGTGTTAAACATTGCTGTAAAAGGCTTGAAACCAAAGACTTTTTCATAAAACACTTTAAGATGGAATTAAGATGCTTTTCGCAGTCTATATCTATTTTGTATCGCCAGTTTAAATCTTGAAAGATCACAGCTGTGAGGTATATCTGTATCAGTTTACTAAATAAATATTCTGTGTCTGCGTTCCACAGTTTTCAGATTTTAACATGTTGTAATATTTTGAAAACCTTAACCTTTGCTTTGCACTTTCCACAGATGCTCTATATGTGAAGTTAATCACACAAAATCCCAGTAAAATCCATTAAAATGTGTAAAATATGACCATATGTAAAAAAACAAAAACCCAAGGGTTTTGAATACCAGGGTAAAGCGGTATTGGCCCTTTAGGTTAAGATTGTCTTTTATTACAGTGTTCCCTCGAGGCCTTTCCTCTCAGATCTCAGCATTCAGGGATCCAGATTCCACATTGGCAGTCGGGGGAGATGGAAGGGCTTGTTTTCAGTAAGTTGACTTTAAAACTATGATGCATTTTTAAGGAAATTTGATACCATCCCAAACGCTTGTAGATGAATATCTCATCTGTTGCCACATGTTCAGGGCCTGATGCGACAACTGGTTCTCGTGCCAAACACGGATGCCTCCCGTCAGATCTGCCCGTCTTCTGACCCCCAGCTTACAGCTCTGTCAGTTCCCCCTCTGCTCTTAGACCTGCCTGTCAGAAAGAGGCAGAATGACAGACATACAACTTCCTCTGGTAATTTGTACATTGACTTCACAAGGAATGCATCTTGGAGAGTTCGCTCTGATTGCTCTGCCCTAAATCCGATCCTTCAGGAACTGCAGGACGACTGTTGGTGGGTTTGGAGAAGCCATGCTCTACGTTGCTGCAAGGCCAGCTGTGGTTTAATCCTCTCAAAAAAGGACTTTATATCTGTGATGGATCAGTGTGGATCACTGTGTTGGAGGGTATGCATCCAAATTCTAAAAACAAGCAAGTTTCTCTTCTTATGATATATAGCAAAATCACTTTTCTTTAAACACCAACAGACCATAAAAGACTGGACTATGTTTTGGAGCATCAGGACCTTATCACCAGCTCTGAGACTCATGATGTGGAGGTACTTCTCCAACTTTACTTTTTTAATGCTGCGTTGTTGCCTGGTTTAAAACTAATTTTCTTGTTTTTTCTCATTTTCAGGTGTTTCAGATCCAGGGCGTGGGTCTTATGGCTGCTATGGCTCACAGATCCTCAGCCTCTGGTTCAGCTGTGTATCTCTGGACCCAATTGGGTTTCAAGCTCTACCAGAACATCAGCACTTATGGAGCTCTGGCTTGGAAACATTTCCAAATAGGAAAGAAGGTATAAACCGATGGAAAAATCACATCTATTTATTTCTCACTAAATTTTTGAAATCGCACCCTGAACTGGAGCTTTGATTACCTCTAATTTGTTGTTTATTCCTAGGCTTATCTTGTGGTGTCAAACTCTGGGACTGAAAAAAACAAATCTTTAGAGAAAGAGTCTGAATCGGACTCTTCTGTGATTTATAAATGGAGCAGAAGAAGAAAACAGTTTGTGAAGTTCCAGACCCTGCAGACCTACTGCGCTCGAGACTGGGAGGCTTTTAACATTAATGACCAGACATATCTTGCTGTGGCCAATCACAGAAAGGGTAATATATTACAGTCCTACTCATGCTTTTGCTCTTCTATATTCAATTTGTTTAATAATGATGATTTGTGCAAATACAAAAATAAGTTTTTAAAATATTTATCCCCTTGTTGAATTGTGGTTAAACTATGATTAACCATATTTCCATTTACTATCTTGGAGAATCAGTTAAATATTAAAACCAAACCTATGTGTAAATATTAAGCAGCTGAAAAGATCGAAAAAAGTAACAGATGCTTAATTTAAAGGAATTAAGATAAGAGACACAACCTTGACATCTATCATGTGGTCAAAAAATGACCCATATATATATACCTAAGAGCTTGACGTGTCTCAGTTAAGGTTCTGAATCCACTGTAGGAAAAAGCAGAAACTGGATAATAACATATTTTCAGATAAAAACCACAACTGTTTAAGAACTCAAAGGCCTTTCTTACATTTGTGAAAACACATCTTGAGAATCTCCAAGACTTTATGATCTGTCAGTGGAATATTTAGACAAGGTTATGTGTGGCATAAAACTCAGAAATACTTTCAGTCCAAAAGCAACCTGCTGACAGTCGAGCATGGTAGTGGTAGTGGGGTGGTCTGGGATTGATTTGCTACATTATGGCTGTGTCCGAAGTAACGTCTGCCAGAAGCCCTAAATCCCTCAATCACTATATAGAACAGGGATTATATAGTGGACTATATAGTTAACTTACTGTTTGGACATATGATCACTACTTTCTGCTCCACGTTGGTCACGTGATTCTGCCTCCTTGCATCGTGCCTGCACCATCTTTATTTGTCACCTCTGTCGCTAACCAACAGCGGGTCGCTGTGACAACAAATCCACTAACACTTTGCAAGGAGAGCTCTCGGAAAGCATTCTGAGATACATCTGCTTGTGACCGTGGATGAGCACTACTTTTTGAGATGCATTGTGGGAAATTTTGAGTCTTTTCATCCACTAGGCGTTCGGACACAGCCTATATCTCTCTTGGAGCACAGATTAAATAGAATGTCCGGCTAACATGCCCTAATATTCAACAAACTGTTTATAATAAAAAAAACTCTGTAATGTGGCTTAATTAAAAGAATCTTGCAAAGCAATGGGGAACAATTCCTCCATAAAAAGACACATTGCCAGTTGTGACAAAATCTTGAAGGGACTTGGAACAACACGTTGTTTGAGAAAGATTTCTTCCATTTAAAGAATTCACTTAGGCAATATTTATCCATCTATCCATTATCTGACATGCCTGTCCCGAGTGGGGTTGCAAGGGGTGCTGGTGCCTATCTCCAGCAGTCAATGGGCGAGAGGCGGGGTACACCCTGGACAGGTCGCCAGTCCATTGCAGGGCAACACAGAGACACACAGAACAAACAACCATTCACACACACACTCACACCTAAGGAGAATTTAGACAAGTCAATTAACTTAACAGTCATGTTTTTGGACTGTGGAAGGAAGCCGGAGTACCCGGAGAGAACCCACGCATGCTCAGGGAGAACATGCAAACTCCATGCAGAAAGAACCCGGGCCGCGAATCGAACCCAGAACTGGCAATATTTATGTGATGTTAAATTAAGTTTAATAACCCATATTGGCACCATATTTCAGTGGCTCTTTTTTGTTTTGGAAATGCAGCTTGAATAAATAAATTATTTCTCTTACAATGTCTTTAAGGAAACAATAATCACACCATAAGCAGCGTGATTTATAAGTGGAACAGATCAACAAAGTCTTTTGAGGCCCACCAGACGCTGATCACTTTGGGAGCCTATGACTGGGAGTTCTTCAAAGTTGGACCGTACCATTTCCTAGTGGTGGCAAATGCTTTTGATGGAGTGTCCATGTCTGTGGACTCTGTAATCTATGTTTGGATCCATGGAAGATTCCAAGTGTTCCAGAGAATCAAGGTGTGTTTTAAGATCCCATTTACATCAAAATGGTACAAAGTGGACTTAAAATGGATTTTATTTGATTATAGTATCACTGCCAATCTACTCACTGTAACAGTTGATGGTAGCGTTTTGCTGGGGGTTGATTTCAGCTAATGAGATCTGTATCATTGTGATTATAAAGATCTAGCCAGGAAAAGAGAAAGGAAGGAAGGAAGGACAATGATCAAGATAGAGGTTGTGGTTTGGCATGCTTTGCCCTAGTGATGGAGGTGCTTTGTAACTGATATGAACTATTTTATCTGTATCTGGCTACATCTAAAGTGAGTGTGTTGACACATTAATTGCCATGCGACAAAACACAAAGAAATTTGTAATGAAGGGGAACTCCACAGGTGGGGAGGGGGTTCGAGAGAACCCCTCGGGGCTGGTTGCAATAAATCACCTGAAATCATCAAAGAAACATGAGAAGCTGGATTTCTGACAGCTGGCTTGGCTAATACCAGAGAAGACAGTAAATACATTTTTCAATAAGCATTAGCTCCTGTATTTCCTTTAGTTTTGTTATGATTAAACAACACTCACTGTTTTCTTGCCATGCAAATTGATTTAGCAATTATGTCAACTCAACTAGTTTGAGTCTACATTTAATAGGTTTTTTTTGTGTGTCACTGGACATATTTCCTTTAGGTGTAGCTACTCTTGTATTCACTCTAAGTCCAGCAATGTGCAGGCCAGTATCTAAACATAGCAGGAAATTTTTTTAATATGGGTTGCACCATTAATTATGATTTATACATCAGCGATATAAATACTGTAGGTTTTAGAGTAATAATGTTTTGTTGCTGCAGCTAGTCTATTTAAAATAAACATTTGTTTGCAAACTTAAAAAACCGTGCAAAAACTTTGGAAGAAACAAACTATGGGTTTTTGCATGGTCGAGAATGTTGTTTTTTAATAAAAGGCGTACATTTCTGATGTGGTAGCAGATTTTAACCTCGAAATTCACACTGAGTTTAGAAATCCAAAAAAGCAGATGAGCTCCATTCACAAAGTCAAATCTGGCAACTGGTAATGGTGGATTAATTTCTACATCTGATGGTTTGCATCCCTTTAAATCAGTATTGAAGAGTTCAACCTCTGTTAAGCAGAGTGTAATTTGGCAGTTAAGTACATTCCTGCTAGGTTGTTCTTATAAAGGTTAATTTGTCTCTCAGCAGAGTAATTAGCACATCACTCTGTGAGAGACTTGCAACTGGAACATGGTTGGGTTGGTTGTGGTGTCATGTCCAGATCCATTTATTAGCTAAATGGGATAACTCTGCTTCATACATATATCTCCTACTGGTTGTGATTCCTGCAATTTCTTGACAAAAAAACAAACCAATTGGTACTTAAACAATTTTAGATATGTTTTTTGGTTTTTACGGTTAAATTTGGCCACATTGCCCAAAACGCTTTTATTTTATTCTCTAAAGACTTTACACAATATTACAGCAACTTCTAATAGATTTTTAATTTTTATTATTTTTTCCCCTTTAAACAGCTGTTTACAACTTAAATCTTTGTTGACACTTCTACTTAAAAAAATGCAATCACAAACAAAAAAACATTCATATCCCTGTCAGATTTTGTTCTACCAACATCGTTCATCTCACCAGTGTGATTATTAATGTTGTTAATAACCAGAGTCCCGGTTTATCAAAAAGTAAATCTGTAAATTAATCTGAAGTTTAGAAGGAAGCCATTACAACCACAAAGGCTTGGAGCACATCACCAAAGAGAAATCATTAAAACACCAGCAGAAACATGCTAAGAGCTGGAAGGCAATTATAAGAAGCTCTTGATTGATGAACTATATATTTTTTTCCCCCACTGATTGTTAAGAGAGGTAGGCTGTATATAATTTCAAAATGACATTTTTTAATTAAAATGCAGGCCAAAGCAATTATTTGTATTCCACTACCTGACCACTTTTTATTCATCTTTTCAGGGATGTCTGTCTCTAGTCCTAGCAGGAATTAATCTTATTAAATGATACTAATTTTGAGTTTAAATCTACCAGGGGTTTGAACAATTTTGGACTTAATTGCACCCTATTAGAAGCTTTTTACTGACTGACTTTTTGCTACTGCAGACATTCTGCGCCACAGACTGGGAAATGTTCCAGATTGGCAGCAGAGTATTTCTGGTTGTAGCTAATGGTCAGAGACTGGAGGGCAATGGACCCGACCAGTACACCGTCAACTCAACCATCTATGAGCTCGACATGAGTGGACAGCTATTTGTTCGCTTCCAGGATATAGTTACCTACAGGTAATGAGACAAATCTGATACATGCACATGTACAAACACAGACTTTGAAATATTATTTGTGGTTAAAAATGTTTGCAGTCATTTCACTCTATCGACATTCCGTCTAACCATCTTTTTCCTACTGCAGTGCTTTGGATTGGGAGTTCTTCAGCCTCAGGGAAGAATATTTCTTGGTTGTTGCAAACTCATATAATGGAGAATCCTACTCTCTCAACAGCATTCTTTACAGGTATTCGGCTTGTCAACAAGTCCCCACCCAGTGTGATGTCTTTCGTCAATCCTTATTGCCATGGGGCACCTGTCATGAAACCATCTTAGAAGCAAACACTTACATATAGTGTGTACCTTTTTATTAAAAAAAGAAAACGCTTGCATTTTTTAAAATAAATGTATTATACCTCACAATAGATGTGCCATTTTTAAGGGCTTTTTTTGTCAGGTTACAATTAAAAACATCGGGTTATTTTATGGGAACTTCGTCTTAAACCTGATCACATATTGGCACATTAGATTAAATAGAACTAAATTAACATGTACTTCATATTTGGTATTTCTATTACATAGAAAATACACTAAAGTGTGTCGTTGCAACAGGACAACACTGAAATATAGTTTGAAGGGGTGTGAATAGTTTTGCAAAGCATAGTCAACAGTATTTTATTTTTTTTTATTTTTTTTTTTTATAGGTGGCAGGGATATGAAGGATTTGTTCCTGTTCACTGGCTCCCAACGATCGGATGCAGTGACTGGGAGTTTTTCAGCTCTAATGGAGAATCCTTTCTGATCTATTCCAGTGCCACAGAGCCTTTCTCCAAAGTTTTCAAGCTCAGAACCTACTAAAACAGAGTGCAAATGGCTTTGTGTTTTCAATTACTTTATGATGTATTGTGGTCATGTAAATGTTTTAATATATCTTTGTATATACTGGAGAGTTTATGTTTTATAGACACAATTTAATAAAAACTTTTATCATATCATCATTTTAACACATGATGTGGATTTATTCTTTAAATATTCTGGGAAACAGATAAAAGCTCAAGCCCTCAAATTATCATATTTCAATAACAGCGATTTTTAGTATGCCTTTTAATGTTATATTTGTACATTTTTTAAATTAATTTGATGTGTGTATCCCAATGTAGCACCTTTATGGCAGAAAGATATAGGAAAAAATATGCAGAAAAAAAAAATCTAATTGAAGTATTTCAACCACACATTTTTTAATTATTACCCTCACTCCCCTGCTGTTCTTAAATGTTTATGTTTTGTATTTTTTCATGGATTTGTCAATATAAATGTAAAAGATTATAAAATCGACAGAGGTAACTCATGTAATATGAGGATATCGTAGGGAAACGACTGTTCCAACACAACCTTTGTTTTATTTGGTGAGTCTTTTAACTGTGATCTTAAACTTTGCTGGACAGCAGCTTTTTATGGAGAACCATTTCTGCCATAATTAAAAATAAATACAGAAATAAATAAATGCTCCAAAAATAAATAAGCATTCAATTAATTGCCCGCAAAAAATACAATAAACAAATAAATGTAGATACAAATTAAATTATACAGTGAGACGTAATGTATATATCTCTTTTAAATAGCTAATTTCTTTTTTCATCTTTGTAATAATGACCTTATTTCATGGGCGTAGGTTTGCATAGGGACCATAGGGACATGTCCCTACCAACATTTTGAACCGACCTAATTGTCCCTACCAATAATTGGATGTGAGCAACATGTTTATAATTTACAGCAGTAGTTGTTGCAGCAGTGGCTTCTTTTCCTCTCGCAGCTCCTCTGCCTGGTCTCTCCTGTCCCTTTCACGCAGCAGCGCATGGAACTGTGCTGCGCTGTTTAACTCCACTCTCATTGGTTGTTCTGCCTTAGGTTCCGCCTTCTCTCTCTCTGATTGGCTGTTTTCTAGTCCGAGTGTGCTTGGAGCACAAAATTGAAAATGTATTCACACTAGAATGCCGCGGTTACTACAATTAATATTAGGCTACAAAACTAGTCCCAATAAAAAAAATTAATATCATGTACACTAAAAACAAAAACCTTTTTTTTCTTTTATAAAACGAAATATTCTGAGTCAGCCAGGAGTTCTGAGACTGCTGGAAAAATGGATAAATAAAGGCTGTAAGCCATCAACATTTCTGATTCTTAGCCACAGCCGACTGAAAAAGAAAATGTGAGGGTTTCCTTTTTACCGATATTTAGTATTACTGTTTTCATTTTTTGATGACTCTTTGAGGAAGTTCAGCTATAATTATTAGCGGGTGTTATTTCTCTTATAGAGGATAACAACAAGAAATGGTGCCTAAACATCTGCTGTTTATCGTTTAAAAGCATAATTAGGGTTCTACATAATAATAGTTCTATTTCATTGACTATTTCTACTTCTAGAAATAGGATAAAGACAAGAACAAACAGAGGCAGAATGTTAACATTGATTTTATCTTAAATAGATTTCCACACAGTCTATAAGTAAATTACTATAAAAATTAATGTCTGGTAAAAATGCTTGAATCTGGCTGTTTATTTTGGATATTATTAAATTACAGATAAGATAGTGTTATATTGTCTTTTATAATTGTTAATAGTGATTTTATATTTTAATACACTCAGGCTCATGCTCAGTGTTGTGTTTGTAGATGATGCCACTAAAACAGAAAATAGACATAAGGAGCTATTTAAACAGTCAGACAGTAGCAATATAGGACGATGATAAAAGGTTGTGTTACATTTAATCCTTTACTATTAAAAACGCACTTATACATTATATGATTATAGGAAACACAGATATGCAGTAATAAAGATCCAGGGCAGCTTGTAGGTAAGCAGCTGCCCTTCAGTGCTTCAGGTGATGTCTAAATAAACCAGGTGATACTAAAATATTTCCTCATGAGGAGTTCTGGATGGAGAATACTGACAGACAAAACATTTTTTTTAATCTTATATATATATATATATATATATATATATATATATATATATATATATATATATATATATATATATATATATATAGTATTTTTACAATTTTGGTATAATTACTGATCTAAGTGGGTTGCTCTGTCGGAGACAGGCACATTTTACATTTATATTATGTTTTAGAGTCTCTATTCTCCAGTTAATGATGAATCACTTACTAAATTAGTTGACGATTATTGAAATAATCAATTAATATGATTCATTTGTTGAGCCCCAGATAAAATACATGAAATGGGCTACACAGAGTAACTAAAGCCCAGATGTTCAACTTTTATAGTGAAGTTAATATTTTAATGAATGTATTATTTTGCTTAATACAGAGAGAGCATAGTAGGTAAAAAGAGTGGGGTTTAACTCTGCACAATTCTATATCTTTAAAAGAAAATACTGTATTTACCTTATCTCTTAGTCGTTCAAATGAAACCATTTTCAAAGTGGAAAACAGTCCTAATTCATTCTTCAGAGCCGCTGATACTTCAAACATTGATAAACAGCATCTAGTGAGTGAAGTGCTTATACAATTTTATTAATGTAGCAAAATGATGCTTTTCTCTTTAAACAATGAATTCCTCTCATCAGTACTGATGCTCATGTCAAACATAAAAAAGGGCATGCATATTTCATAGCACCAATGACACCCAACCAATAGTGTCCCTACCAAAGTTCAAATCAAACCTACGCCCTTGCCTTATTTATTTATTGTCCGTTATAATCTTCAACTTTTTTTTTTTATTACTTATTTCTTTATTTCTTTATTTATGTGCATGTTATAATATTTTTGTCTAGTTTATTCTTCCTTTGTATTTTTTTACCCTATTTATTTCATAAATAAATAAAGTTGAAGATTATAACAGACAATAAATAAATAAGGTCATTATTATTATATATTACAATATATTATATTATTATTACAAAGATGAAAAACAAAGAAGTTAAGTAAAAGAAATATATACATTTATGCCTCACTGTATAATTTAATTTCTCTCTACATTTATTTGTTTATTGTATTTTTGGGGGCCAATTAATTGTATGCTTATTTATTTTTGGACCATTTATTTCAATGAGGCTGTGAGGGCCTTCAAAGCCTTCTCTGCTGGCCTAAAATCTATCAGAAACACTAACATATATTCTCAACCTAAACTTTAATTTTCTTCTTTCCAGCTCCATTAATTTATTCAAAACAATTAATTCTCTTAATGTTGTAAAGTTTCTCTTGATTACTGAGCTGCTTCTTTTACATTTATGTGGTCTCTATATTTTTTGTCCAATCGGATTTCAGCCTTAGTGCATTGCTATCTCAATCAAATCTGCCCAGGGCCTTCAGAATCAGCAGTACTGGCTGATGTTACCTAACAATATTAGGGAGGAGCATTTTCTTCAACAGAAAACTCCCCAGTGCTGCCTGCTGCATCCTGACACTAAGTATAAAAGGATCATTCAAAAGCTGATAGCCATCAGATTTTATTTTAAACCAGTTTGAAATAATAGTTTATAAGTTGGAGCTTGGTTGTTTATGGCTTTATAGGTGAGAAGGGGGATTTTGAATTCTATTCTTGTCATATTTCCTGGCATGAGTGCTGGTTTGATTCAGGATTCAACACACCTGTAAGCTCTGCCCTGTTTCCACTCAGCCTCCATCAGATTTTCCCTCTTAACTAACTGTATAACCAGCTCTCAGACCAGTGACTAGTGCCAGATTATTACGAGTATTTCTGTAAACCTGCCTACCTGCCTGACCCCCATCGGACCTGTCTTAGTTTCTTTTGGATCTCTGACCTGTATTCTGTGTTGCAATTGCTGATTCTGGTGAATCTCTCCCAACCAGTGCCAGTTTCATTCCAATAAACTGTTTAAATGGCTCTTGCTCCGGTTAAATCTGGGTCTTCCATTATCTGGTCAATGTAATTCTGGATTTAACAGGAAGCCATTAAAAGGAAGCTAAAAATGGAGGAATATGTACAAATTTTATCAGAACTATAGCTGCAAAAGGAACAAATATAAAAGTCTTTGAATGCAAGTGAATTTTATTAAAGATTAAAATTAAGCTTTGGTCTCAGATAAGGAAAAGCATAACAGGAAGTGAAGCCTCCGCTATGGTAGGATTTTCTTCTTTTGTGTCAATTTCCAGATGATGTTGCACAGATTTCAATGGTCTGAAGCTTTTTCCACACCTCCTGCACATGTAGGGACTCTGGTGTGGATATGTAGATGACTTTTCGCCGGTTTGAATGAATAGATGGTAATTAAAATTTCCTTTCTGGCGGAATTGCTTCCCACACACATGGCAGAGGAAAGGCTTTTCGCCGGTGTGAATGAGTAGATGGCGATTCAAATCTCCTTTCTGGCGGAATTGCTTCCCACACTGATAGCAGACGAAAGGCTTTTCGCCAGTGTGAATGGCAAGATGGTAATTCAAATGTCCTTTCTGGCAGAATTGCTTCCCACACTGATAGCAGACGAAAGGCTTTTCGCCAGTGTGAATGAGTAGATGGCGATTCAAATCTCCTTTCTGGCGGAATTGCTTCCCACACTGATAGCAGACGAAAGGCTTTTCGCCAGTGTGAATGGCAAGATGGTAATTCAAATGTCCTTTCTGGCAGAATTGCTTCCCACACAGATGGCAGAGGAAAGGCTTTTCGTCGGTGTGGATAAGCAGGTGTCTTTTCAGACATTGAGATCTCTTAAAACCCTTTCCACAGTGGTCACAGCGATGTACTGATTCCTCAGAGATATTCAGCTGATCAAGGTCTCTCTTTTCCACATGCTGCTGACCTTCACAAAATTGTTCCACATTACTGATATCCATCTGTAAGAGAACAAAAACGAAAAATCCATCAATTATTTGGCACCACTGAATAAAGTGTAAACCCCTTTTGATGCCTAATGTGGACCAAAATTATGGTTCTTCATAAGAAAAGTTTAAACTCAGAATGACTTACTGGAGCTTGAGACATTGCTTGGATGTGTATGTCTTTCTTTTTTGACTATCCTGCTTAAAGAAGAACAATTTAGTTATTGCATACCGTATACATGATAAAGTCAACACATTATCTTCAATTTACAACTGTACCAGTACACAAAAAGCAGTTAAATAAGTTATTACACAAATAAACATATCATGAAAACCAACAGTTAGTTGCTATTTATAATAAATGTTTTTAATTAGTTTAATTTCCTCTACCTTGTGGTTCCCTAATTAAATATTTATAGCATCAGTCTCAAAAGAGAGAGTTTTCTTACCTTTAATGGTGTGAAGTTGGCTGCTTGCCTGCTATCTGTCTTTCTACGAATCAGAGATCTACACTTTTAAAAAATGCTTATTTTTTTAGTGTAAACAAGGGTTAAAAACAATCTGAAAAGTCCAGTATTTATAAAAAAAAAAAATAAAAATAGATAGCATTGCGTGTCCTCATACATTCTGGATATCCCACCTCATGACAGTGCACTGCCATTACAGAAGAGATAAACAACTGCATAGTAACGACCAGTGGCGGGCTGCGAGGGCCTTCAAAGCCTTCTAAACTTTAATTTTCTACTTTCCATCTCTATCAATTTATTCGAAAAATAATTAATTCTCTTAATTTGTTGCGTTTCACTTGATGACTGAGCTGCTTCTTTTACATTTATGTGGTCTCTATATTTTTTGTCCAATCGGATTTCAGCCTTAGTGCATTGCTATGTAAATCAGATCTGCCCAGGGCCTTCAGAATCAGCAGTACTGGCTGATGTTACCTAACAATATCAGTGAGGAACATTTTCTTCAACCAATAATATTTCCGATTTGGGGGCAGCTAGAGGACCCACACATTTGTCAGCATTTTCTGTCCTCTGATTGGTCAGTTAGAGCAAAAATATTTACAGCCAAGTTAAGCTAACGACAATCTGCATTTTAGATTTGCTCTTGTTAAAAGTTCTTCTGATCCTTAATGGAGATACAAAGACTTCCTGCACAAAGACAGGAAATAGGATTTTGTTTGTAAATAATCAGCACATCTTGTGAGTGTTATATATATTTTATTTTCACACTTAATCTCCATTTTATCTGGTATTTAGATGCATATTGAATTTGAACAGCTCCTGATGGTGTAAATGTGTCAGAGCTGTGGTTATGAGGTAGAGGATTGCGGTTCTCTTAACTGGGCTTCTTGCTTAATTGATCTTAGCGTTCTCGCTCACACTAATCTTTGTCTCAGTTATACCTGCGCTTGTTGCATTTCATATTTGAATACTATTGATCGTTTCTTTTGTTAAAATGTGAAAGTGGTGATATTAACCCCTTGACACCCATCATTGCAAATTGATATCCAAATGTGTGTGTGTATGTATATGTATACATATATATATATATATATATATATATATATATATATATATATATATATATATATATATATATATATATATATATATATATATATATATATATATATATATATATATATATATATATATATAAAAGAGGTGGGCATAGATACATTTTTTAAAATCTATGTTAATTTCACTGTTATCTTGGAATTAATCCAGATTAAAATGGGTAATTTGTTTTCTGCCAAAGGGATTCATTAATCAGAATCAGAATTACTTTATTTACTTTAATAATTCCTTGCGGGAAATAACATAAGAAAATGAATTAAATAAGGATAAGAATAAAATAGGATACGGGTAAGAATAAAATATGATAAGGATGATATGTGTGTGCTACCTAAATAATAAGTGAAAGTAAGTCTTTGAACAGGTTTCTCTAGTCAGATGGTGCATTAGACCAGGGGCTCATTTCCTGTTTCCAAAATGCATCATATAATACCACTGAACCAACATTTTCATAAAGTGTCCCACTTTACCCACATTCACCAAAGCAATCATCAAGAAGCAAAAATAATTTTGTAGTAATCATTCAAGGTGTCGTGGTAAAATGAAATTTAAAATTACATAACATTGCCTACCTAAAACAAAGGTGTGAAATTCCCAGCTTGCATCGATGAGGTGTGCAATAACACCAAGGTAGTTATGACAGATATCCAGTGGTCCACTGTCAGTACTAAACACGTCGCCTTGACCAACTTCTCATCTTTCGCAGCTTTCTCTGCGACATGCTGGGCATGTATGAGCACCTGTGGCCACCTGGAGAACGAGCTCGAGCCCATCATCTTCAACCACGCATGGCTTCCTTAAAAATAAATGTACTCTTAAGCAAACATGTTGGCTTTATAGCTGCATCCATGTTATCACGTCATGTTCAAAGTGTTAACAATAGGCTGATTTGTTCACGCCCCCAGATAGGCATCTGTGCTATGTATATATGGAGATCAAAGGATAAAAAGTATAAAGTTGAGGGGCACCCACTCAAGGCCTAGTTACCATATTCACCGCCCACGACTGATTTATTTATATCTGTATTTATTTTTAATTATGGCAGGATTGGTCCCCCATACACTTTTTGCCTTTGACTGCAATAAGTTTGAAACTAGATTTTGGCTTTTATCTTAATAATGCTTTGCATGTCAGAATGTCAAGAATACACTTTTAAGTTTTGCTTTACTTGTACTTACTTGTTTTTTTAAATTGTTTTGGTTAACATCGCTTTTTTTTGCTACATAAATCATTTTAACCACCAGCAAACAATTTAAGTTAATGATTCTAACTAAAGACTACAACATCCACAATGCTTCAGTTATATGAGCCTGTAGGGAATGTGGTATTTAAACCAAATGTTCTGTTTGAAAAAAAGAATAATAATAAAATTAAACACTATTCAATATTTTATTTTCTATCGTTGATTAAGAATATGTTAAGGTTAAGTATTCCAAACATATCCCTAATTTTCCTGTCAAGGGCGCATTTTGACCATGCGAGGTACTACAAGTACCACAATGCATCGCGGCTGGTTTCTCCCAGGAAGAATCATGGCCGCCTACTGTTCAGCTATGGTGTTTCTATTTACGTTTCGCCAGCTTTCTGTTTTGAGACTTACAGCAGGAGAAAGAGTATTTTTTGAAAGCCATATTTGAGGTTTATTTATAGTCATTGTTTGGATAAATCAAAGTGTCTTTTATTTACATTTTTTGTGTGTGTGTGACAGACTGATAGATTTGAGTCTTTTCACTTAGCTTATCAAAGCTGCTATTGATTTACTCAACCAGACACCCACAGCTTTCACACCGGGGTCTGGTCGCGATGTTTAGCCCCGTGAATTCCTCTTATTTTCGAGTCAGTCCGACTATTATCAACCGGGAGCTTGGCAAGACCAAGATGAGATAGCAAGAGTGTACAGCGGAGTGCTAACAGGCGTTTTACTGGGAGGAAACATCCACATCACAATTGGGAGTGAAATTAACCGAGAAATAAAACCCACATTGACATGTTTGGAAACCTTTTTGAGGAGGAAGAGGACGAAGGGTTCGCCTCGACCTCCAACAAAGGGAGCACTGCTAAAGGGGGCGAGGAGCCCCCGCCTCCACCCCGAGGAAGAAGCAATCTGTGCGGCATTAAAAATCAGGGAGGGACCTGCTACCTCAACTCTCTGCTCCAGACTCTGCTGTTCACCCCAGAGTTTAGAGGTACAGACAGCAGCAGCAGGTCAGCAGGAGACCATTCAGCTCCTTAATCTGTTTTTTTTTGTATTGTTTGTAGAGGAGCTGTTCAGTTTGGGACCAGAAGAATTGGGGCGTCTTGAGGACAAAGACAAACCAGGAGCCAAAGTAGGTGACTCAGTTTCTACCAGTGGTGGGCTGTGAGGGCCTTCAAAGCCTTCTCTGCTGGCCTAAAATCTATCAGAAACACTAATATTCTCAACCTAAACTTTAATTTTCTTCTTTCCAGCTCCATTAATGTATTCAACTTATTAATTCTCTTAATTTTGTAAAGTTTCTCTTGATTACTGAGCTGCTTCTTTTACATTTATGTGGTCTCTATATTTTTTGTCCAATCGGATTTAAGCCTTAGTGCATTGCTATGTCAATCAAATCTGCCCAGGGCCTTCAGAATCAGCAGTACTGGCTGATGTTATCTAACAATATTAGTGAGGAGCATTTTCTTCAACAGAAAACTGCACAGTGCTGCCTGCTGCATCCTGACACATGCTGCTGACCTTCACAAAATTGTTCCACATTACTGATATCCATCTGTAAGAGAACAAAAACGATAAATCCATCAATTATTTGGCACCACTGAATAAAGTGTAAACCCCTTTTGATGCCTAATGTGGACCAAAATTATGGTTCTTCATAAGAAAAGTTTAAACTCAGAATGACTCACTGGAGCTTGAGACATTGCGTGGATGTGTATGTCAGTGTTTTCTCTTTCTTTTTTGACTATCCTGCTTAAAAAAGAACAATTTAGTTATTGCATACCTTATGCATGATAAAGTCAACACATTATCTTCAATTTACAACTGTACCAGTACACAAAAAGCAGTTAAATAAGTTATTACACAAATAAACATATCATGAAAACCAACAGTTAGTTGCTATTTATAATAAATGTTTTTAATTAGTTTAATTTCCTCTACCTTGTGGTTCCCTAATTAAATATTTATAGCATCAGTCTCAAAAGAGAGAGTTTTCTTACCTTTAATGCTGTGAAGTTGGCTGCTTGCCTGCTATCTGTCTTTCTACGAATCAGAGATCTACACTTTTAAAAAATGCTTATTTTTTTAGTGTAAACAAGGGTTAAAAACAATCTGAAAAGTCCAGTATTTATAAAAAAAAAAAAAAAAAAGGATAGCGTTGCCTGTCCTCATACATTCTGGATATCCCACCTCATGACAGTGCACTGCCATTACAGAAGAGATAAACAACTGCATAGTAACGACCAGTGGCGGGCTGCGAGGGCCTTCAAAGCCTTCTAAACTTTCATTTTCTTCTTTCCAGCTCTATCAATTTATTCGAAAAACAATTAATTCTCTTAATTTTGTTGCGTTTCACTTGATGACTGAGTACTGGCTGATGTTACCTAACAATATTAGTGAGGAACATTTTCTTCAACCAATAATATTTCCGATTTGGGGGCAGCTAGAGGACCCACACATTTGTCAGCATTTTCTGTCCTCTGATTGGTCAGTTAGAGCAAAATATTTACAGCCAAGTTAAGCTAACGACAATCTGCATTTTAGATTTGCTCTTTAAAAGTTCTTCTGATCCTTAATGGAGATACAAAGACTTCCTGCACAAAGACAGGAAGAAGGATTTTGTTTGTAAATAATCAGCACATCTTGTGAGTGTTATATATATTTTATTTTCACACTTAATCTCCATTTTATCTGGTATTTAGATGCATATTGAATTTGAACGGCTCCTGATGGTGTAAATGTGTCAGAGCTGTGGTTATGAGGTAGAGGATTGCGGTTCTCTTAACTGGGCTTCTTGTTTAATTGATCTTAGCGTTCTCGCTCACACTAATCTTTGTCTCAGTTATACCTGCACTTGTTACATTTCATATTTGAATACTATTGATCGTTTCTTTTGTTAAAATGTGAAAATGGTGATATTAACCCCTTGACACCCATCATTGCAAATTGACATCAAAATGTGTGCGAATATATATATATATATATATATATATATATATATATATATATATACATACACAAGAGGTGGGCATAGATACATTTTTTAAAATCTAGATTAATCTCACTGTTATCTTGGAATTAATCTAGATTAAAATGGGTCATTTGTGTTTTGTTGAATCAGAATTACTTTATTTACCTTAATAATCCCTTGCGGGAAATACCATTAGAAAATGAATTAAATAAGGATAAGAATATAATAAGATAAGGGTAAGAAAAAAATATGATAAGGATGATATGTGTGTGCTACCTAAATAATAAGTGAAAGTAAGTCTTTGAACAGGAGCTCAAGGGATAAAAAGTAGATAAAGTTGAGGGGTGCCCACTGAAGGCCTAGTTACCATATGCACCGCCCACCACTGGTTTCTACCACACCTGTTATCACCTGTTAGACAGTCAACAATGAAGCAACACATTGCATTAAGCAATGCCGTAATTATCGGTCAGCAGAGACTACAGTTGCTTAGGGGCCCCGTCACTGACACCTGGTTGGCCCCCTACGCAGTTGTGGACTAGGACGTCTCTTTGCAGATGTAATGGTGCGAAAAATTCCTCTTAAACCCATCTGATACTAGTTTGACTGACCAGACCTTATTTATACCCCAACACATGACAGATTTCAACATGATGGTGAGCCGTTTAAACACGACACTAATAGCAAAGCAGACAGTGGTACTTTATTACTATGTTAATAACTGTGTATAGTTCATTAGACTGTTGGTAAAAATACACTCCTATAATATGTTTCAAACCGCAATAAAGACCTTAAAAGAACGATGTATTTGAGTATTTTATTTTTTACACTACGACTTGGAATCATGGGTAATCCAGAGTGTCAATTTAAACCATAACCTTTACATACAATATGTTAGCGAAGATGAATACCAAAAAGATTTACTTCAGCCAGACCTATAATTCCCTCTAACTTACGCAGAAGCGCCAAGAAAAAGAACAACCATGGCAGACGATGATGCGGAGAGCCGCTGGCAGCCCAAAAAAACTGTTACCCGGTTCAATCCCCACAGCCGGCACTCTGGGTCCCCGAGCAAGGCCCTTAACCCTACACTACTCCACGGGCGCTGCACAGTGGCAGCCCACTGCTCCCCAAAGAGGATGGGTTAATGCAGAGAGTTAATTTCTCCATTGTGAGATCAATAAAGTTCAATTTCTATTTCTATCATAGGAGAACCAACTGATTGGTTTCCTCAAATTATTACTCAGGCAGGCAGAGCAGCATGCATGAACTACAGGAAACTGAGGCTACAGGTGGCAAAGTATTGATTAGTCAATTTCAAGTTGGAAAAAAACTGCATGGCCCAATGAGTCTTGCTTTCAGCAGCATTAATCACATGTTTGGGGCAGAATTTGGCATGAAAAACAAATAGAAAGATTAGGGATGCACCAATAGAAGGTTTCTGGCCAGTTTCCCCCAATCTTTAAAAAGCCTGATTGAGATTTTGCCGAAATATGTTTTTTTTAACAGTCGTGTAATAGTGGAGGGGGTATTTTTATGGCACTTTGGCATCTTTAATAGTTATTAAATGCCTCAGCCTAACCAGGTAAAGCTGCTGACCTTATACATCCATTAATGACCACTGTGTATCTTCTGCTTTTTGCTTTCAGAGGGGTAATTCACCACAATCAAATGATCTAAGTTTAGTTTTTTTTTTCTATTATGTCAACTAATTCACTGTGCCCCAGTTTCCTTAAGAGTCATCAGCTCTAAATCTAATAGAAAGCCTCTGGGGATTTGGTGAGAAAGGGAATCTTGCATTAAGTTTGCAGCCGTTGATCAGTATGGACAAAAATCTCAGAGGATGTCTTGATGATGTTGGATTTAAAAATTCACTGCAGAATACTCATAATAACAGAAGGTTGGTCTTCCCTCCACTATTTTTAACTTGCAAGGTGAGCCATGTTTGAGAACAGGAGTGCTGATTTTTAAACGTCCGGAAGGTTAAGTTGGATAAATCAAGGTGAAGGTTTTTATATAAATTTGTTAAAATTTCAAAATAATTTTTTTTAAAACCAAGATTTACATTTTTAACTATTAAAATGGTTGCAGAAATCGATTTAACGTTTCTATTTTTTTGCATTGTATTGTAACACAGAACTATTTTTAAACTTTTTGTTCAAATCTAAAGCAGGCAACCAATTTAGAAGAAGCAAAGGATCAACAGTGTCCAGTAAAAATTTGGTTCAGTTTTCTAAGACCTTTTTAAAAAACAAAGACACGAGTGAAAGTGCAGTTCTCACAAGAGAAGGGGCTAATTTATTCCTTTGGATCCTGTTTTTTTTTTTAAGCTTCTATTGTTTTAATCTAGTACATGAACGTCTCAGTGTTGTTAAAATGAACTGTTTGTCCTAATTTAAAAAAAATAAAGTCTGTGACATATCTGTCCTGCAATTATCACCTTGTTTTAGATATTTTATGTCAAAAACCTCCCATGCTTTTTTTCTTCTTGCTTCTTACATGATTTGTTGCTTTTCTATTGTGTCCTGTTATAGCTGTGCGTGACAATTACAAAACTATAAGTACATATTCCAGACTAACGCCTGTTTAAGTTTTAACGTGTGCTTCATTTTTTCTTTTATTCCCTATAGGTCAGGGTGATTCCTCTGGAGCTCCAGCGATTGTTTGCCCGTCTGTTGCTAATAGACCATCAGAGCGCCTCCACCACTGACCTCACAGACAGCTTCGGCTGGAACAGCAGCGAGGTTAGTGATGGGAGGAAAAGGAGAGGCTCTAGTTACACTTCTTTAATTCAGTAATGGATTTTTATCCTGCAGTAACATCCTCCAGGACGTGCTTAAGAGCACAAAACGTGGTTGCACTATTTAATAGCAGTCAGCCCAAGTAACCTGACTGGAATTCCACTTCTTTCTGGAGGCCGTCCAGCTGCAAAATTACTACCCGAGGAAGGAGGACAAAACGTTACAGAGACACGAATTGCCATGGGGCATGTAAACCTAATTTTCCAGTGAGGGGGGGGGGGAGAAAAACTGCAGCAATGTGATTATACAAGCAGCTGTACTCCTTAAAACCACTAAGCTTCTGTGGGTTGGTAGCGATAAGCTACTAGTGATAGAGTAATAACCATAACTGTTGACAGGCTGTTCATAACACTCACATTTAAAAAATTGCTAATTAAAGATAGCTAATTGAATAAGAAAATGGAATCTGCTGTGGACGCTTCAGAGTTTGACATTACATTTTGCAAGTCTTGCGAACATTTTAGCTGGTTCCAGAAAATATTGATAGCCTCTGAGGATCCCAAACTGCTCTGACGTGCAACGTGTTGATCTTCTTTTGACGATATTTTTTGTAATCTGAATAGCAAACAAAATGGAAACAGTCATGCTTATGGGTCCAGTGAAGAAAAGTATTATATGGACATTCTTGACTTAAGCATCAAAGCATGAGTCTAGAAATCCTTGATGTATTTAGTACAGGAGGCTCTAGAAACGTCATAGTTTGTTTGAATGGGTGGTTAAGGTGAAGAGAATCTGTGTGTTTGTTGGAGGGAGGGATAGATTCTTTGTTCTACGGGTAAACCAAATCACATCCTTCTTATAGCTCATTTACAACCAACTCCTTTATCATGAATGTTTAGTCTGGTTTGATTTTCAGATCAATGAATTTGTCGGATAACTTAAAGCCTAACAATATAAAAGTGCTATTAAACTATGTCGGCCTTTTAAAGGTATCGCATATATGAGCCCAAAGGTGAGCTATGGAGTCACATTAAAGAACTAAAGACACTTACTTCAATGGATAGTTAAATTTAAGCACCTTAGAGCTGTAATTTAATCAGTTTAATTATTTTTTTTTACTCCGACAGCTTTTAAATAACCATATAAAGTCCAACATGTACCGCAGCTTGTTGAAACTTGTAGAAACTCACGGCCTCTCTCTATAAAGTAATCACTCTTTTGATAATGACTTGTCTTTGTAGTGCATTTTATATTTCATAATCTTTATTTCTTTTATCAAGAAGATTTTTTTTTTTTCATGAGAGAAATAAAGCACAAAAATATTGCAGCTGGATTTGGGTCCTTTAGTCAGACAAACAGTCTTACCAGCTGCAGTTGGTCTTTTTTTTGTTAAACTTTTACTAATTAATCAACATTTGACATAAAGGTTATAATCCCTTCTTGCTACATGCCCTTTATACTAATGCATAAAAGTCCTTTCATATGAATGTAATCATGAAATGTATTGAGATAAATGGTTTTTGTTTGTTTTTTGTGTGTGTTTATTTGGTCATTTTAATTGCTTTGCTGTGGCAGGACAGTGCAAGTATTTAACTTATTGATGAAGTGACCCATGATGAAATACTGGATCTGAATTTATTTTCAGCAATCAAGGCGATCTTTGCTCCTTTGAAGCTTAACATTTCTTTTCCTGTGACTTTAAGCGATCATGTTTTAATCTGTCCTTCACTGCTATAGAATAATGCTGCACTGCATTTTTATGAGCCTCAGACTTTTTTGTTTCTAAAAAAAAAAAAAAAAAAAAATGGGGCTGAAAAAGTATCACCAAGCATTTTGGGTTCCTTTTTTGGTGTTTTGCAGTTTGGCTTTGGTAGCTGTGTAAATTTGATGTGCTAGAAACACTATAATTCTTTTATCGATATGATATTTAATTCAATATAATCTGGGAATGTATTTTTTTTTTTAAATTACCATTTCGCCTCTTATATTGTTTTCGATAATCTATGGATGTATTTAACTCTTACAAGAAGGTAACTGTTTTTTTTTTAAGTATGTGAATAAAGAAAAGTCATATCCATAAGTATAGGGATAAAGAAAAGTATATGGATAAAGGAAAGTTTGCATTAGAAATGGAGGAAAGGAAGAACAACGTTTTTGTCTCCTCATCTGAACTGCCCTTCATGTTTTTTCAAGGGGACGAATCAGCATGATGTGCAGGAGCTCAACAAGATTTTGTTCAGTGCATTGGAGCACTCCCTTGTGGACACCAGCGGCAGTACATTGATCCAGCGCCTCTACCATGGTACCATTGTCAACAGCATCGTGTGTAAGGAGTGTGGAAACGTGAGCCAGAGGAAGGTATGTTGCTGGGCAGATATCCTTGTAGACTGGATGTCTGGAAACGGTCGTTTGGACCAGAATAATAAAGCTTAAAATGTATGTCAGCTCATTTGAATTTTTTTTTTTATTTAAATGTGATTTTCCTTCATTTGCAGGAGGACTTCCTGGATTTGACAGTGTGTGTTTGTGGCGTGTCCAGCCTGGAGGAGGCTCTGTGGAACATGTTTGTGGAGGAGGAGTTGTTTGAAGGAAACAACCTTTATCGTTGTGCTCAGTGCTCCAGGTTGGTCACTGCTGCCAAGGTTCGTATGCATTTAAGTTCCCTGAAAAAAACATCTTCTGCTCTCACTTCCATCAAAAACCAATTTTCTTTGGTGTTTCTCAGTCGGCCAAGCTGGAGCAGCTGCCCCCGTTTATCACCATGTCTTTGCTGCGATTCAGCTTTGACTTTGCCAAATGTGAACGATACAAGGAGACCGGACGCTACACCTTCCCGCTCACCATCAATCTGAGACCATTTTGTGAGCAGGTGCTGCAAAGATTTCAGTTGAACATTTGTTTTTAATTTAAACTACATTTTAAGAAAGTATTGATGATCAAAAATGTATTTATTGCAGTTCTTTTGAATAACTACAGCTTATAGCTACTGAAAACCTGACATTCAGTGTATGAGAAATATATTATGTAAGGAATTAAACAGAGAAAACAGAAACAAAAGTTCTGTTGTGGATGAAATAACCATGATTAGGATCAGCAGTCAGTCATTGTCAGAGGCCAAAAGGAGAATATAGATCAAATGTCACTGCTGAAAAGCTTGGGGTTTCTTAGTGCTTTATCCCAGCGTGTGTTTGGAAAGTATAGAGGAAGGAAAAAATATGGTTAAAAAAAATGCAACTCCAGCTTGAAGTGTTTAGAGGAAATAAAAACGGTGTATTGGTTGGCGGTGGAGGAAGCTGTCACACTTAGACTTAGACAAACTTTATTTTCATTTTGTATACACAGTGTATACAAAATGAAATTTCAATGCATACAGCTTTTCAACAGTGAATGAGCAGCTCACTGCAGTGAGATGAACATTTTAATTTATAGGGTGCAGCAATGATCAGAAGAATATGGTGCAAAAAGCAGTAGAAACATTGAGTTGAGTTCTGTTTAAAGGGATTGGAAAACTTCGCCATCTAGTGCAAATATGATGTTTACAAGTTTAATGCAGAGTCTCGATCTGTGACTTGATTAGAGTTTCAACAGTTCAACAGTCTGATGGCAGCGGAGAAATAAGCTGTTACAGAACCTGCTGGTCTTGCATCGAATGCTGCGATGCCTCTTCCCAGAGGGCAGCAGGGAGGACGGTCCATGCACACACCGGTGTTGATTTCCCTTCTTTGTGTTAAATCCCTCCTGAACCAGAGAGGACTTGAGAAGCATGTCTCTGGGGCTAAATAAGGTTCCGACTGGACTTTTAACTCGGAGGTCCAAAATCCAGATTTATTTGTATTTAATATGGGAATTAAGATTCTAGAAAAAGAACGGAGAAGCACAGAAATGCAGTTTGTTTTTGACCCGCTGTGTTTTCAAAGCAACCCTCCTACTGGAGATTTGAAAGGACTTTATGGAGATACTGATTTTATTTTCCAGCAGGACCTGTTAGCAGTCGGCATTGTAAGCATACGACTGCCTTCTTTATAGAAATATTAATGTGATCAGTAAACAAACTGGTCTTGACATCAGAGCCAACAGAAGAACTGAAGGGTGCATTTATTTATTTATTTTTTTGTTTTCTTACAGTCTGATGCAGAGGACTCTGATTTCACATATGAACTGTTTTCCGTGATTATCCATAAAGGAGGCTGCTATGGCGGCCATTACCATGTTTACATCAAAGATATCGATGAGCTTGGACTGTGGGAGCCTCCGGTGAGGAGAAGAAAAACGCAGATTTATTTTTATCCGAATGAGAAACTTGCTGATAGGTTTTAGTTTTCTTGTTTATTTTTTTGTGAATGTGTGCACCTGCCTAAAAACAGCCAATCTGTGTTTTTTGCAGGAAGATGACTGCAAACCAAAAGCTCAAAAGAAAATCGAGAAGGAAGTCAAGGAGTCATCTGAGCAAAACCTACAAGAAGACGACCCTTTGTCTATTATTACTGCGATCATTGCTCAGGTACACTTAGAGCTGTTCTCCTTCAGACTACTGCTGCATGAGGAAACCTTAGAATGTGTTGTAGAAGTGTTCTGAAATTATATTTATTACATTGCTTTATTGTTTTTTTTTTTTTTTGTAAACTTGTGCAGATTTTAGCCATAATCATATTATTAAGCCACACTAATATTGTTGTTCTCTAGGAGTCTTCAAAAAGTGTTTTATTGGATCAGCTGGGTCAAAAGCTTCTGGATAAAACTGGATCATCCTGGAGCAAAAGGTTTAGAAAACTTTACGGTCCAATTGGAAAGGTAATTTTTTTATATTTTCCACCTACTTTGAAAAAAAGCTACTTTTTATATTTAATCCTTTCTTTTATGTTTTTTTAGTTCCTGCAGTCTCACAGTGACGTTTTTATTTTGGTGTCCAATGGATCCCGGGTGGCACTGAAGGCAAACCCTCCAAGCCAAGTGACTGATACTTCTGCTTCTGCATCAGAGCAAACCGTGACCTCTGACCCTTCAGCAGCTTCAGACAGAGCCGCCTCTGATACGCAGCAGGAGGCAAATCAAACGCATAAAGCACAACCAGAGGTATTAAAAAATCAACCTGGCTTTAAACTCATTGAAATGTAAAAAATTGTAAATTTCAGAGGTCTTTTAGCTAATGATAACTAATGATGATGGTGTCCATGTTCATACCAGGAGTTAATAAATGTAGTAAAAAGTATGTGTACTTGTTTACATCTCTACAGCAATTAGGCAGTCTCAAATTAATTTAATGTAGTTGGACTACACAGGTTTTTTTTTTTTTATTGCTACAGATTACAGGCTTAGACCCATAAATGATGGAAGTGATGATGTTTCGACTCGCCTCTAAATGTTATTTTGTGTCAGAAAAGTGTTTTGTTTTGTTTATCATCTTCTACTTATCCGGAACTGGGTTGTTGGGGCGGCTGTCTCACCCCATCTCAGCAGACTTCCCTCTCCTCAGACACCTCCTCCAGCTCCTCCTGGAGAACCCTGAGGCACTCCCAGGCCAGCCAAGAGACAAAGTCCCTCCATTATGTCCTGGGTCATCCTCTAGGCCTCCTCCTGGTGGGAAGTGCCTGGACAACCTCCAGAGGAGGGCGTCCGGGCGGCATCTGAGAAAGATGTCAGAGAAGCGCCTTTACTCTGAGTCTCTTACGAATGTACAAACTGCTCACCCTATCTCTAAGGGAGAGCCCAGTCACCCTGCAGAGAAAGCTAATTTCAGCCGCTTGTATCCAAGATCTTGTTCTTTCGGCCATGATCCTGGTTTCATGAACGCAAACCGATTGGTAAATTGAGAGCTTTGCCTTTCTGCTCAACTCACTTTACCACATAAGGCCAGTGCAGAATCTGCGTTATGGCAGCAGCCGCAATGAACCATCTGTTGATCTCCTGCTCCAGTCTCCCCACCAAGATACTTGAACTCCTCCACTTGAGGCAGGAACTCTCCTCCAAACTGAAGTGGAGCCACCTTTTACCGGTGGAGAACCATCTCTGAGTCGTTGTCTGTGGATGATGCGTATCATTTAAAAACTTAAACAGCTGTCATAGACTTACTCTCCCTCTAGTGCTCTACATTTCTCCAGCTGAAAGGTTTTGCACAGTGCAGTCTTTGCTATTGGTAGTTTTGATTATTTTTAGTCCTGAGGATGAGAACTGACAAGGGGAAAACTTTTTCTACATAAACATTAATTTGGAGATTTTATTTAGTTTATTTACTTAAAACCTGTTTTTAAAATCTAGTCTGATTGAATGCGGTTGGACATTTTAAACAGAGCTGTCTGGACCAGAAAACTCATGGAAGAGAGATTTTAACCTTAATAAGGCTTTCCTGGTTAACTAAAAGCTAAATAAATAAATAAACTAGTTAGATAGTAAATTTTCTGCGAAACAGACGATTTATGTTTATTCTATTATTTTGACATATGTCTGGTGTCTGGCTGCAAAAGCAAAGAAATATCACACACCTACATGAATGTAGCCCACTGGAAACATGTGTCCCACATCTGGCGTTAGCAGGTTGTCTTGTGACTCACTCTGACTGTTTTCTCACGGTGCTTCCTCCCGTCTGTCAGCAGGGTAGCCACTGGTTTGACCTGAATGACTCGGCTGTGACTTCCATCAGGGAGTCGGACATCGAGAAGCAGTTCCAGGGCAAAGAGAGCGCCTACATGCTGTTCTACAGAAAAACACAGCTGCACAGGCCCGGCGAAGGTACAGGCTAACCTTTTTTCCTTTTTTTGCATCTTGTGTTTGGAACATTGCCTTTCTAAAATTCAATTCAATTCAATTCAGTTTATTTATATAGCGCCAAATTCACAACACATGTCATCTCAAGGCACTTTACAGTTCAACCAGATCATACAGTCAAATCGATACAAAGTTTTCTATCTAAGGAAAACCAGTTGATTGCATTGACTCATTGACTTAAATACAATCCCCCACACTAAGCATGCTTGTAGCGACAGTGGAGAGGAAAAACTCCCTTTTAACAGGAAGAAACCTCCAGCAGAACCAGGCTCAGTGTGAGCGGCCATCTGCCGAGGCCGACTGGGGTTCAAGGAGACAGAAGCAGAGATACAAAAAGCAGCTGTAAAAGGCGGCCCCGTCCAGGAAAAACAACTTGATAATAAAATAAAGATTTCATTTAACTATGGAGGAAGCTGTAATTTTCCTTTTTAAGTATATCGGTTTGATTTTTTTTTTTTTTCCAGCTCTAAACAATCCACGATATAAAGTTCCTACTCAGCTCATCCAGATGGCTCAGGATGAGAACCGGAGGCTGCAGCAGATGCGGTATGGAAACAAGCACACACGTGAAACATGTTACTCTGTTATTATATGTACAGCTGCTTAGTAGGATCTGACTCAGAGTCATTAAGGTTCAGTTGTGGCCAAGATTTCTAACCTGCTGATAGAAGGCAAGAGTAAACTACAACACCACCCAGAAAAAGTTGAAAATAAGTAGGGTTCACATCCGGAGCCCTCCACATCACCACTCCTGATAAATTTGTGAAAAGCATTTTTATTTTTTTTTATTTTATTCATTCATTAAAAGAAAACATGATAAAATCTGTGCAAGTGTTTTCAATAAAGTTATACTTATTCAACTCAGATATAACCATACAAAAATAAAAACACACCATGTTCACCGATATACGTAAAACTCTATAATCTAAATCTATATAAAAAACAAAAACTCTTCTTTTGATAAATGAAAATAAAGTTGATTAGAGTTTATGTGATTTCCTTTTTTTGTTGCTAGCATTAGAGAGAACCAAATGGTTCATTCTCAGTGTTAGATGAGGCTTTTTAAGCATCTTCGCCAGACGAGCTAGCAAGTGGGGGTGTTACCATTTTTATTTTCCAGTGAGGAGTTTGAAGCCGCCAACAACACAGTGGAGCTGCGTCTGCACCTGGCCCCTTTTTACAAAATGGTGGATGGAGTCCTGCAGCCAGTCGGCGAGGACCAAAGTGGAAGCATTAACCTGAGCTTCGACCGGAGGAAGACCGTCGGAGATCTGAGGATAACTATTTACCATGTATTGTGATTCCATTAGATATTTACCCATTGTGTGGAAATTCTTACTTACAAGAAGTTTAATGTTTTTGGTTTTTTTGGACAAAAATATAGAAGCAGGAATTGTGGGAAGGCGATATGGCGTTGACGGTAGCCAAGAGCCTACCTGCTGGTTTACACCTCTACAATACTCTGACAGGTTTGGGACTTATGGTTCAGTAGAAATTATAAAACAAAAAGCCTGAAGATAGAAACTAGAATCAGAAATACTTATTTTTTAATCATTCCTCTCTTGTTTTCTTCTTCAAAGATGACGGCGTTTCTCTCTACGGTGCAGGAATCCACACGAATACTGATCTGTTTGTCTGGAATGGGATGGAGGTAAGGGACGATAAACTAAAGGGGTCTATTTACTCAGCATTTTATGGAATTTCATTCCTTCTGTGCTTCCCGTCTCATTCAGGTTTGTGGCTCCGCAGTCCAAACTGGAGCTGAATGGGAACCTGTATTGCTCACTGTCGTCCGTCCGTTTCTGGGCGAAGATGTTGGGCAGGAAGTGCAAAATGGGGTGAAATGTGAAAAAAACGGAACAGGCTCTGAAAATGTCGGCCCAGGACTGAAAAGGGAAGCTAGGGGGTTTGCGGGGGGCGCAACTCTTGGGGAGGTGAGGGAGGCACTTGGGGAGCCGAGGGAGAGCCTACTGTGTCAGGAGCATAAAAGAGGAAAGGTGGGAGGTCAGGGGGCGGGGGAGGGAGGGGGTGCGAGCGGATGGAGGGTGTTCCCGCCCGATGACATGCAGCGGACTTTAAAGGAGCTGTCGCTGAAGGATGGAGATGCTCTGCTGGTGTTGGAGCCGCACTCATTCGACAGCAGGTGAGCTATGTCGCAGGCTCCAGGACTTTTTCCAGAATTCATCAGGGTTTATTCGGACATTATGTGATATAGAAAATGTTAGATAAAAAAAAAAACATTAATTTACTCCACTAATCTGGCCTTTTTCTGATTAGATGATAACAGAACTTACATTTTTGGCCTACATAAAGACCAACATCATTCTGAAAATTCCTTCTGCACAGTCTGCTTAGGTCTAAAGCATGGTGGTGGCTGCTTCATACTTTGGGGGTGTTTTTTCTTAATGGCAACAAGGGGTAATTTGATTGAACTATGCAAGGCCCCACTTCAGATTTTTATTTCTATAAAACTTTGTAAAAAGAACATATTCCCTTTTACTCAAGCTTTACAATCCTATTCTCGGCTGTGATTAGTGTGTTCACCCAAAATGGAGATGTGGTCACCGTGACTACGCCGTCAGACTGCCGCTGGCTCCAGGTGGAGTTCCGACCACTAATAAACGGAGACGAAGAGGAACTAAGGAAGACTGTAAAGGTTCCAGCCACAGGAAATATGGTCAGTAATTTATGTCTCTCCTTATTGAAGTTGTTTTTATTGTGTCATATTCTTCACCAAGTCTATTTCTTCTCTGTCTAATTTGTCTTGACACAGCTGCTATCTGAAGTGAAACAAAGAGCCATAGAGGAGCTGCAGCTGCTGGAAGAACCTTCAGGCAAGATGCTATTTTATTTGTAATTACAGTCCTGCAGCATTAGAGGTACACTTAAACAATAGAAAAACCCCAAAATAATTCAGTTTATGATTCGTACTTTATGTATTGCAAATAATATAGTGGACATTAAGCTATTTAACTTCAACTTAAAATCTGGAAGGTCTAATTTTTTTCATAGAAATTTCTTTTTTTTTTTTTTTGTTAAATATGGATTTCAAAGGTTTTTGACCCATTTGTATTTAAAAAAAAATCATAAGTATGTTTAAAACTTTTTTTTTTTACCAGTTGTCAGAAAATGTGCTTTTTCTGACTTAAAGTGTTAATCACACTTAGTGAAATTTTCTCATAACTACAGATTTTAATCTTTTTTTTTTTTTACTGGGATTTTAAAGACTATCAAAGGAATGCTAATGAAAAATTAGACATTGCTCATAAATGATCAGCTATGTCCGAATGTCCTCCCTAATTACTATGTAGTGCCCTATATAGTGATTTGGCCATTTTAGGTGAGTGTCCAAATGTCTAGTGGATGATAAAGTAGTGGACTCAAAATTTCTCACACTGCACCGTGAAAAGTAGTGATTATCCCTGGTCACTAGAGGAGCAGATATATTCCAGAATGCTTTGCGCAGAGAGCTCTCTTGTAAAAGCATCATGGGATTTGTTACCGGGATTTGTCGCTGCTGTCGGGTAGCGTCAGAGCCGACAAATAATAAAGATTGTGCATGCACCGTACGGCAAGGGGGAGTAATGTGACAAACGGGGAGCGAAAAGTAGTTATCATCTGTACGAACGGTCAATTTACTGAGTTAACTATAAGGTCCACTCTATATAGTCCCAGCTCTATATAATGATTGAGGGATTTAGGGGTTATGCGGGCGCTCAGACACAGCCAATGATATGTTTAGCAAGAATACACAAGCAGGTTGTGGCTTTAAGTTGGTAAAAAGAGTGCCCCAGTAGTGCCTGTAAGATATTTCTTAGAGTAGTACACACCCAGAAGGATGACATTTTGACACAAGTCAAGGAGGCTGTTGTCCTTTGGAGTTAGCCGGCTCCTGCTAAAAGCTTTCTATGACTCTCTATTGGCCTCAGTCCTCCTCTATGCTGTCGTATGCTGGGCCCCTGGCAGCGCAGAGTGTGACAGAAAGAGACTGAACCACCTGGTGAGGAGGGCCACTTCTGTGCTGGGCTGTGCTCTAGACTCTGTGGAGGAAGTTGCAGAGAAGAGGGTGTTGTCCAAGCTTAAATCAATCATGGACAAAACCTTTCAACCTCCGCACCAGAATGTAGAGGAGCTGAGCAGTTCCTTTAATAACGGACTTATACCCTGTGTGTAAAAAAGAGCACTACTGCAGGTCATTCATATACCTGTTGCCATCGGACTTAAATGTATGATCATTATCTGCCAAGCAGTGAAACATTTGAAGGTGTGTGACTTCTCATTTCCTCTGTGTTGCTGAGCAGGTTCGCCGTACTGTCTGAGGCAGGTGGACTGCTCTGGGAAACTCCTTCCTCCAGGTACTGTGTCATTTCTCAGTTGAAAGCCGCTTTATTTGGAAATCCCCCTCATTTTTACCGAATATCAATAGATGCTTCCTCTGAATCTGACCTCCTAAAAGTCTTTGATATTTACCTCTCGTAAATCTGTCTTTGATTCAGTCTCTTTTATTATAACTGAATGCATTCCGATTCATTGTGGTTTTCCTAACAGTATTCGAGGAGTTAAGTGTTCGGGATGCAGGCGTGCGACTCATGACCACGTTGACTCTCTGCCCGGGAAATGCCCCTAAGGAATCACAGGTGTGTTATCTCTTTCTTTTCCGTTAAAATGTTCTTTCCTTGCAGCTGCAGCGATGAAAACAGCAGATTGTTTTGTAGTTTGCTATATCGTAAAACAAATCAAGGAGTTGTGACAGTCTGTGGGCTGACTGAAGAGTAGAGAACTTACTTTCTGTGTTTTTCAGCTTTTCTTGCACTTTACTGTTGGTTCAGCCCCCTCTGCTGGCATGGAGATGGACATAATCGTAGAGAAGACATGCACCGTCAAAGAAGTGAGGACATTTAAAAACAAAATAGTTTTATATATGTAATCTAAGTAGAAACATTTCACAATTATCTTTGTGTTTTTTATGAAAACCTGAAATTCTGTTGTGGAGAATGTTTATTACTTGTTTTTGAATAAGGAGTGGCTTAGAGATAATGATCCAAGAATCCTAACCCAGGTGTTGAATATTTCAGGTTTTTATATGCTGAAAGATGTAATCATCATCTTGGTCACTATGGTTAGAAATTAAGATAATTTTCTCCCAGAACGAGCGTTCTTCTTCAAAAACCTGTTTGTTTTATTTCAGTGTCTTAAAGCTATGCTGGATGCTGTTGGGCTTGATGGTAAGTTTTTATCATTGTTTCTCTTTCTGTTTATTTTCACCATCTATATTTACTTAGATCATTTGTATCATTCCCACTGCTTCCGTGCTCTCAGTACCTGCTCAGCTGGTAATCTTGTTCTTTTCAGGTACCAGTTGGCACTTAAGGAGGCTAGATTGGTGTGAGGAAGTTGGAGAGCCACTAATGGATGAGGTGAATCAATGGGTTTTGTCGACAGTATGTCTATGTATGTAAGCGGATAGTTGGGTCCTGCCTACCCCAAATTTACACTTAGTCCCCTCTACTCTGCTCTGCGGCACTGAGAAACCCAGAGTAGCTCTATGGAGCATGAATAGATTGCATATCAAAAGCTAGTGAGCAATGTGAAAGTCGGACCAACATCAACTCCTTTTTAAAACGTTTAAAACTGCTTTACTTATCTTTATTTGGCATCCAGATATCTTGCTAGTTATGTTTTTAATAGGTGAACACTAGGGATAGACCAACATGTGAGTTAGCTAATGTTTTTCACCCATACTAGTGATCTTTGCACCCACCGGTATGTGCATGCGTTTAGCATGATATCTTTGCATTAAGCAGCCATGCCTTGAGATCCCACAAGGTGAATGCATTGCTGCTTTCTCCATTTGCTTTGTTTTTAAATTGTTAATACGTGTTTATTTTTGTTTAAATTGAGACTGTTGTAAAGTTTGCTACCATAGTGCCATTTCTATCACCTAAATGAGGGAAGAAAAATTAATATCTGCTTAAGAAATCAGCAAAACAAAATAAACTCTGTAGTAAATTAACTTAGTGCAGAGAAGCTATATTTGTTGGTTATTTTTCTGAATTTAATCCTGTTGTTTTTTATTACACAAGTTAATGTAGCCCAGTAGATGATCTATTGTTTGCAGTCGCTAATATACAAACATATATTTAAACTAGTGGTAGGCTGTTATCGGCGTTAACGTACTGTGTTAATAAACAAACATAGTAACATAAAAAAATATTGCCGTTAATCTATTCTCTCAGTTGGGTTGGGAGCTGGGTCTATACTAATCCAATCCACTTTATTTATATAGCACAATTTCAATAAACACAAGGTTTCCAAAGAGCTGCACAAAAAGATAAAATAAATAAAAGTAAATAAAATAAAAGCACTGCCCGCACAGGATAAAAATATGCATGTATATACATAAAATCAACGCTCTACATGGTGTCAAAAGCCAAAGAATGATGAAATAATGATGACTTTCACCTTGATAGTTTAGTGTGGATGTATATCTGGGGATGAGGACAAATTATTCTTCCAACCTGTGTAGGCGTACTGTGAAATTGCCACATTGAACTTGACGTGCTGACATGTATCCAGCTATAAAAACGCCGGTGCTGTGCTAAGAAATACCTGCCTGCTGAGAATTACCTTCCCTCCTGCACACTGACGAGAAAACGGATTGATATAAGAATGAAAAGGGAACTTTTAAACATGTTAATATTTTGACATTTCTTATGCATTGATGTCCTAAAATTTTGTTTTGTTAGACGGATAAATTCAATTGAATACAATTTTTACTTGTATGGAGGCATGTTTTAGTCGATGTGCTACAGTCAGTGTCCGATGAATATATTCTCTGCTGAGTGGATGGTATTTCTCGCTTCTGCTATCAACACCATTCTAAATTATTTCTGACAAAACATTATGTTTAAAAGTTCCTTATTTGTTCACATTTCAATCCGTTTTCTCATCAATGTGCGAGAGTTTAGGGCGAAGCACGCTCCCGCAACGTGAGGTTATTCTCGGCAGGCAGGAATTTCTCTGCATTTATCTGTCTACCAAAACTCTCAATTTTATTAATCCATGCATAAGAAATAGGAAAACCTTAAGAATGTGTTTAAAAGTTACCTTTTCGTTCATATTTCAATCCATTTTCTTAGTGTGCGAGAGGGGAGGTAATTCTCGGCATGTCAGCCTATTTAATTTCTAGAGCTAGAGTCATTATACATTTTAAAAAAACTCGGGATCTTCACATCACAAGAGACGCATTTAAACTCTGTTGCCCCAAAGTCGGATTTTTGGAGGCAAGTGGGACATCTATAATTGGACTTGGGAATCTATTTTTTGCAGCAAAAATAAAGTAACAAATGAGCAAAATATTTTTATAAAAATATTTATAACTTTGTCAAATCCTTAAATAAGAAGACGAAAATATGTGTGATTTTGCAAACAAAAAAAAGTAAACCTGTTATTTTAAATTCTGGAGGTAGCACACACACATCATGAATGCCTAGATTATTTCCAAGATTACAGTGAGATTAATCTAGATTTAAAAAATGAATCTATGCCCACCACTAATTTAAACACTGCAAAAAAGTAAAAAAAAAAAAAATAGTAAAACCAATTTACTGACCCTAATTTTTGAAGGTAAATAAAATGTTCTGCCAATGGAATGAAATTTTTACCCTTATAAAACAAGATAATTTGATATTATAAACTTGAAGCAAGAGAATGCAGTTGTTGTTTTTGTATTTTAAATGTAAATTGTCTTATTCCATTGGCAAAGTGTCTCAATTACCTGCTTATTTCAAGAAATCCACTTATTTTACAAAAAAAACTAAATTTTAAACTCCATCAGTGTAACAAGGTCTTAAATTAAATCTAGGTTTGATGGTGTAAGAAAGGAAACGAATGGTATCAAAAACAACAACTCAATGTATCCTTCATGTTTAAAAAAATAATAAAAATCTACTTCGATTTAGCAGGAATAGTTTGATTTTTTTCCGTTATAGATTGACTGTAATCCTTAAGATTGATATTAACGGCAGGCTTTTATTCCCAGGATGCTTCCCTGTCAGACCTCAAGATCAGCAATGGAGAAACGCTAGTTGTTACAGAAGGGCTTTTACCACCAAAGGTACCTGAAATTCTCCAGGGTTTGTCTTTGAGTTATAAAAAAATAATCATAGCTACCTTATAATTTTTTTTCTCCTCTCCCTCAGGGCTTTCTCAAACTTTCTGTGTGGCTTTTTATGGATCTGAGATCTAATTGCACAGAAGGCAGTCCTGCTGAGCAGCGGATGTGGGAAACGGATGCTACTGATGGATTTTGTGCTCCGTTACTGCATGGTGAAAACATGGTGGAGCTGAGAAACATTGGAAAGGTTGAGATATCCGATGATGCCATGCTGGAAGACTTAAAGACCCAGGTAAGGTTTTGTGGTCTGTGCGACTATACAGTGTTGGCAAAACAATTACAGAGCATTATAATATTATTATTATAGAAAACTTGATATCAAAATGTGCGAATTCCCCTTCTAATAGCCTTATTCTTTATATAGGGCAGAAACAATTAATCGTGAATAATCCATTATTAAAATTGTCAACTAATTTAGTAATCGATTAATCGTTAAATGGAGTATAGAGACTACAAAATATGCCTCTAGCTGACAGAGCGACCCACTTAGAGCAGTAATTATGTCAAAAATATAAAAAAATATATGTAATTTTGCATATTGCATTGCAATATATGCATATTTTGCATTTAGAATAGAAAACAACATTTTCGTTTGTCAATATGCTCTATCCAGAACTCCTCAAGTGGAAAAAGTTTTGGTTTTACCTGGTTTCCATCGACCCCGCTTGGGATTAGCGGGATCCATGGAAATATATGGGGTGCCTATATCCAGCTGTGTAAGGGCGAGAGTTGGGGTACGCCTGGACAGGTTACCATGCCATTGCAGGGCAACACAGAGACAAACAGGACAAACAACCATTCACACACACACTCACAACTAAGGACAATTTAGAGAAACCGATTAACCTTAAACCGCAGTAAAGAACCCACGCATGCTGAGGGAGAATATGCAAACTCCATGCAGAAAGAGCCAGGCATCGAACCCGGATGTTCTTGCTGCAAGGCGGCATTGCTACCCACTGTGTCACTGAGCAGCCCGGTTTCACCAGGTTTAATTCATAAAATATCTTCTTTAAGGAACGTTTAGCTATCTGATTATTAATCGAAAAAATTAACAGATTAATTGATTTGCAAAAAAATAATGGTTAATTGCAGCTCTAGCTCTATATTGGCGTCCAATCTGAGGAGTTGTATTAGAAAATGGAAACTTTCTTGACTTATCACCCAAATATAATATATAATATAATATACATTTCTGCTACCTTGAAAGGTTCCCCTCTGAGTAAAGTCCAGTATAGACTCCTCTAATCAGCGTCTTCCAACAGGTTAACATGGACAGGATTACGTTTTGCTTTCACACTGTAGGCTGTATAATATGAACCATTTTAATTGTGACCTGCTTCTTTCCTTTAGGTTTTGACGCTACCAGCACTCCAGGACGTATGTGTCCCGGTCACTAGTTTCCTGCGTGTTTGGCAGATGGACGGAGGGCGTCCAACACGTATACTTAGAGGACAACAAGTCACACTCAGGTCTAAAATCTTAATGCCCTCTTGTTGCCGAATGGTTTTGTTGGACGACAGCTGCCGATTGCTTTGAGTTGGACTTTTTCCTACATAGTTTGTTATCTTTGTGCTCAGGAAGCTGAAGTTGACCAGTGGGACAGATCTTTGTGTGCAGGGCCTACTCAAAGAGGAAGATCTTGGGTGAGTTTTGTTGATGGACTTGTTTTTTTTCCTCTATTGCTGCTTTATATTTATTTTCATTTCATTTCACAACTTAATTACTTTTATAAAAGCAGAATTCTCCCTTTTGTCTAGTTTAAAAATCATATTTTTGCTGATCTAAAGGCCAAAACAGGTGCTGCTGAATGTAAAGATGGGTGTTCCAGGAGAGAGGAGGTATTATCCTACAGAGGAGCTGGTTTGGGACACTTCCAAGGACTCTTCTCCTCGATCTCTGCGCACCAGTCTGGCTGCGCATTACGGCCTCTCTCCCGATTCTCTGCTGCTCGCCAAACATCAGCCTGAAAAACACACCTGGGAAGAAATCTCCAACTGGGTACTGTATGCATAATAGAAAAATATACATTCTGGGATTTTGTCTTTTTTGTGCACCTGAAAGAGCTGGGAAGGAACATTGCATTAGGGATGTTTGCTGTAACAGTAAGAGCTGATTGGCTATATGATGCATCTTTTTCCTTTCAGACTCAGCAGTTTTCTAAAAAGAAGAAAAAGAAAAAGGCAGAATCCCTTTTGGGGCCGCCATTTAACCTTAGAGATGGAGATGTAATTGGTATTAAGGTATCAATAAAACCCTTTATCTTTTAAACAGTCTTTCTGGTCTTCCTAAGATGGGTATTATATCTGGTCCTCCGTTTGTTTTTCCTCCCTCAGAACCTTTTGATTGACAATAACAGGGACTTCATCACAGAAGAGGATCAGCAAGGCCAGCAGAGGCTCAGGGAACAGGCAGAGCAACGCAGGAAAGGGTGGGACCTCTTTCTATATACAAGAAAATCTCAATTTCTCATCAAATAAAACATTTTCCTTACACTGGTTTATGAAATCACATAAAGATGTAACGAGTTTCCCATTCTGTGGTAATGAATCATTTCACTTTGTTTTTTGCCATCAGTACAGCTTACAGTATATCAGATCTGGTTTAAAATCTATAATGCATGCATTTGTACATTTCTGAAAGGACTAAAATGAATCCATTGTTATCTCTGTAACCATTATTTTGTTTGTGAAAACAACCAAAACAGCCTTATGGATCCTGGGAATCAAAGATGTACTGGAATGCGGTTTAAAAAAAGAAAACACTGCAGGAATTCAGTGCAAAATGTTTGTTTTTAGTTATTTAGCTTGTTTTGGTTAAATCTTGCACTTTTGCTTATTTTTCAGAGCGCAGGCTGCAGCCTCCAACGGTGCCGGGAAAAACAAACCCAGGAAGGTAGAGGTGCCGTTGTCCATCAGCGTTGGAGAGTTCAGATAGCATCCTCCTTTTTAATTGATTCGCAGACAAGTCGGGACGTCCTATGACATTACATCGTCCATATGAATTAAAATGCCACGTTGCTCTTGGACAATCTCCTGAATAAATCTGGTGCCAATACTTCCTCTGTATATATATATACTACACAAGACTGTTTTTTCACAAATAGTGTAACGATTACAAAAATGAATCCTAATACCTTCCTGGTTCTCATCCAGGTCATCCTTCAGAACACATATCCAATCTTTTGATTTTTGCACTGTTTTTCTGTAATATGCATTTTTTTATTGCAGTATTACTGCTTTTAGGTCTTTTTAATACATTTTTTTTCCAATAGTGTATCATTTGTTTATTGGAAGTCAATCAGGAGACTTATTTTCCTTTTTGTATTGATTTCATTTGGCTTTTTACAGATGAAATTAGACTCCTAAGACTTGATGAAAGATGAGCTTTTATTCAACTAAAATTTCAAAGTTTGTATAAACAATGAACTTTAAAAAAAAATCTCCTTTTTTGGATTAAATTTTGTTTCAATAAAGTTTAGAAATACATTTTCTTTTTGAAATCTAAATCTTTACATGATTAAGTTAAGCCCGCTTTTTAAACAGAAACCTGCCACTGTGCTGCACAAATAAAAACACGGCATCTTGAGAACAGTAACTGTTGGTGTGTTTGTTTCAGGGTAGATAACAGATGGGCCTTAATGTAAAGAAGCGATTTTACTGCTCTCTTCCCTACCTCATAATTCACCTCTTAAACTCCTCTTCTTCTACCTCTTTTAAACTGTTCTTCACCGTTTATCCTTACTCTAAACTGTTGCCCCGCTCCCTTCAATAAATGGTTTCTACTTTTTAAAGAGCTCAGCACCGGGTTAATGCCTCAGCTGGGGTTTTCTAGATCATTAATTGCCAAGTTCTACTTTTTCTCAAGAAATGAAGAATAACATGTGATCTAAGATTTCATTTAAGGAATAGTTAAGGCTTTATTTTGCATGCGCTATGTTTGAACTTCAGGGAAATGTTTTTCTGCTATACTTTTTAAAAAAATGTTTTTAGTTTTGCCTTCACCATTATCCATTTGTTTTCTTGGCTTTGAACCAATGGTAATTTTTCTTTTGTATTCCCTACATTGATTATTTTTATCACTGGTTGGATATTTGTTTGTTAGTGAGGATCGGTCTGCATTATTGTTGCAGTGCTTTTTGTAAAGTGACTGCTTTTAAAGAAAGTCCTTAATGAATAATAAAGTTATGAAAAAGAAAATGTCTTGTTTTCTTTGCAACGAGAGCCGATTTCTTTGAATTGCTCTAGAAGTATTTGTTTGCCCATGTTCAATTTTTCCCTGAGTTGCAATGACATTTGGCACAGGAGGACGATTCACAAACAGATGACACAACCTAACTGTTCGCCCTGCGGTATTTAACCTTGGAAGAATATTTAACAATGAATCAAAAGGAATCCAGGTTTCGTTGCAGCAAGGGTGTACCTTTGTGATGAAAGTTGGTGGGGACACTCTTAGGGCGCTGGCTGATGGACCTACAGTTACTCCACACAAATGCTTTGGGTTTGTATTTTCCAAAAATTAGCTCAAAGATATTTATTGAATTAATTGCTTTCCTATTGTTGGGAACACAAAAGACAAATAATACACTGATATTTATATTTATAAATGGACAATGTATATAAAAAAGAATGAATAACAGCCGATTCTGATGCAAACAGCAATATATCATGCCTCCCTAGTATGCACAAAATTACAGTTTCATTCATCCATCCAGAAAAATGTGGATTTATTGATGAATATTTTTCCTTTCAGCTACATTAGGGATTATCCTCCTTCAAAAGCAGCAAAATCAAATTTAGAAATTTCTCCCATATATTGCCAAAGTCTATGTATTGAAATTATTGGTGGGGACATGTCCACACCAGTCCTTCAGAAAGTTATGCCTTTATTATTATTTTTTCGTGGGGGGGGGGGGGGACTTTCTAAAAAAATTTAAACCAATAATATCTTAGACGTTAATAGTGAAACAATTTTTGGTGTCTCATCAATTAATTCCTTTTAACGGTGACCCACTTTAACTGTATTCATGGTGTCAACCTATTATTTTGCTCATGATCTTTTAAAGAGTTCCTAAAGCTTTACACTAACCAGGTCCCAAGGCCATTGTAAGAGAAACAGACCCACAGCATCACAGGTCCTCTACTATACTTGGCAGTAGGCAAGTTGGCCTATTTTTTTAAAAACCAATCGTTGCAGGTGTTAAAAGATATTTTATTTAAGACAAGTATTCTGTATGAAATATTTCTCTGTGTTCTGATGTTATTATCCCAGGCATTCATCTCATATTTATTTGTAGTTAGCTTGAAATTGTAGCAGAAATATATATTTAAGTTTTTAATTAAATAATTGTTATTTTACTTAGTGACTTTTGTACCGAGTTTTCGGGATATCAGCACTGTTTCCCACTCTCATTTGATAGTAGGTGGATTTATTGCAACACCATCGTGTTCTATTTTCTTCTAATAGCATGTTTTGTGAATACCAATCAAATTCCACGCTGCTTCTGTGTCAACCAATCAGCTCCTCGAGTTGTGAAATAGGCTCCGCCCTTTGACACAATACTAAAGTGACCCGCAGTCGCCCAGGGGATGCAGAGAACCGCTGAGAGGAGGTGAGAGGTGTCAGGCTGAGCAGGACCTAAAACATCTGCAAAAATGGTTGAAGCTTTCTGCGCAACTTGGAAACTGGTGGATAGTCAGAACTTTGATGAATACATGAAGGCACTAGGTAGGAATTTGCATTTATTTTCTCCATTGTTTATCATTTTTTTAATTAATGAGATCAAGATTATGTCAAGCATTATGTTATTGTATAAACACACAACATCTCCTTTTTGGCAGGGGTTGGCTTTGCCACAAGAAAAGTGGGCAATGTCACCAAACCAACAGTAGTGATCAGCCAGGATGGGGATAAAGTGGTGGTGAAAACTCAGAGCACATTTAAAAATACAGAAATTTCTGTCAAACTGGGAGAGGAGTTTGATGAGACCACACCTGATGACCGACACGTAAAGGTAAGAAACACAAAACATTTTTTTTTTTTTTTTATGTGTGTTGCTGTTTGGCTGCTGATGTGTTTGATTTTCTCTCTTTCAGTCCACTCTCACCATGGAGGGAAACAAATTAGTGCATCGGCAGAAGTGGGATGGGAAAGAGACCAGTCTTGTTAGAGAAATCAAGGATGGAAAGATGGTGATGGTGAGTTTAACTGACAGTAAATGAACTAATCAGCCCCTCTGCTGGGCATTGATTCTGTTCCCAACTTGGTTTAAAAAAATTGAAACAAGAAGGAGATTTTAACAATATTTTTGGGAAATATAAGAATTAATATTTTGGATGTTTATTCTGAAGTTATTGCACCTAATCCAACTGTGTCTCCAGAAACATAAGAAAAAAAATTTAGTTTAGTAAATGCAGTTGTTTGTGCTTGATGCCAAACTGGCATAGAAAATACCTTTTTTTTATCTCATAAACAGAATCAAGGTTACATAAACCTAAAGCTGAGAGTCCATAGTTGAGATTAGTTAACTCCGGCTTTAACTTGGTGCTGCTAGTAGACCAATTTACCAGGGGAGGGGATGGCAATGTTTTTTTTCATGGGGGAGTCAGAACAAAGGAATGAACCAAAAAAGAAAACAGTGCAACAGAGCGTTATTTGGTATATTAAGTGACCCACGATGCCAAGGTTGATGACTCCTTATCTAGCGGATGAAAACTGTGACCTTATCTTATTACAGCTGAACTATAAACTGACCCAATTTCATTTCTAAATAGCTTTTAAAATAAAATGTAAAGCTATAAAGATTAAATTGGTCTAAGCGACCTATCGTTATAGTTTGTGTCAATGCTTATTATCACAGGAAATTGATTTATTATCATGTATTTTGTACAGGGGCCATAACAAGGACCAGGACCAGTTCTACAGGGAAGCCAGCCCCTGTTAACCCCCATCTAGAGCCACCATGGTTAAACTAGATTAAATATTTCTAGGTTTTAAACTACAAATCATAGAACCCAATTCCAGAACAAATAAAATTATGTTATAGCCCTTCAACCTACCTCATCTAAAATCAGATATCAACTTCATCAGTGATTTTATGATGATGTGAGGCCATCTTGAAAACTACTTATGCATGAAGCAGTGAATCCAAGCCAGTCCAGTTTTTTCTGTTTCTTAGAAAGAAGTTAAAGATATTTATGACTTGAATAAAAAGAACATAGACTTATTTTACCTCTACATAACTAATTGCTTCATCTCTTCTCTTTTTCTAGACATTGACTTTTGAGGGAGTCACAGCAGTCCGAACATATGAGAAGGCCTAACGCCGAGGAAGGAGTACTCCATTCATCCGAACACTGTAAACTATCAACAAAGGGCTTCTACTTGCAACAAGAAATAAGAAATAATTGTTCAGGGTTTTTTTTTACATTCCAAACATTGGTTTGCACTTCTTTTTATTACATAAAGGTAATGGAGGGTTTTTTGTGGTCTTGATGAAGTTCTCATGGTAAGAGGATCACTATTCTTATAAAAAAAAAAAGACAAAGTGGGACAGGTTGCCAACTTCACTTAAACAGTTTTACCTTGATAGTTTGTGCCACTTATTTAGTTTCAACAACATGGCCTTCAAAGCAGATGAGTTATTTCCTCACATGGGGGTAAAATGTAGGAAGTGATCGGTAGTATGCAGCAACCAGTTGGGGAGGGGGATATATCTATTACATTCTCTGATATCTCATTAAAGAGACACTATCTAAAGTTAGGATGGAAAATTCATAGGTTTTGTATCAAGTTTCAAACCTGATCCCGGTGATACACCAAAGCTCATTCTTTTGTAACATCCTCTGTAAGAAACACGGATGATGGGTTTTGTCCCAAACTGTTTCTGTCTAATGTGTTAAAAGTGAAAATATGAAATAAATTGCTAAACTTTGCTAATCTCTCAGACCCTCTATTTGCTTTCTACAACTCCTCCATTCAACATGGTTACTTCTTTATCTCCATGCCTTTATTTGCAACTCTGTGTGCAGCCACAGAGAAATGCTGGTCTGAGTCGTGGGAACAGAGCCGCCCCTGTGTCCCGGCCTGCTCCAGGTGACAGCTGGAGGGTTGCAGTCCGGGCCAGAGCTGACTGTGAAGCGGCCGCAGCGACTCTGACCGCTGAACTCACTGAGGGGAATGTCCCATAGTAACCTCCAGATGGTCTGAGACGGAGAGGAGCTTGGAGGGTGTTGGGGGGTGCTGATGTCACCCGCCTTAGGATAATCCGGTTTAAGTTGTGGTGTCATGACGTAGAGGCATCATTCGATGGTACGTGGGCCAACCCTGAAAAGGCTTTTAGGGATGCGGACAATTCACCCTTTTTTAGATTTCAGCAGTGTTTAAAGCAGGATTTAAAGACCATCCGTTTACTTTTATCCAGCTGAAATCCCTTTATAGTATAATTTAGTTTTAGTATAATTTAAAAGACAGAGTAAGATTGTGACTTATTTTATACTCTTGCCATCTTTCTGGAAGTGACAAACTTTTCCATTTACAGATACTTGCAAAAAAGGGTGGTTATCATTTCTTTTTTTTTTTTTTTTTTACAGTTGGATGTAATCATAGCATTCTTTACATGAGAGAGACAAGAGTGTCTCCTTTGTGAGGAATCGGTGTCCCTGGTGGAAACTGACCTGCGCTAACCCTGATCTCTCCTCATAAGGGAGCATAATGACCTGCCATTGTTTTGTTGTGGAGGCATCTCACCTCTAACACATAAGATCATGAATTATCAATCGGAATGATAAGATAAAATCTGTAATCAGTTTTTACCTTTATGATGTAACCTAGTTACTAATTGTTGAAGAACAGAAAGGTCAGCTCCTACCATCTACAGCAGTTTGATTTGATGAATGGTTTTAAAACACATTTGGATCATGGCTTCACCACTCTTGATTCAAACGTTTTTTTTTTTTTACGTTTTTTTTTCCGCTTGCAAAAACCTGTTGGTATTAGGTGTTGGCATATATAATACACTAACATGAGCATGATTATTTTGCATTTTTCTGCAGAGAGGAAATAATATATGATTTTTTTTTTTACTTTTCACAAAAAACTTTTCAGACCCACTTTGCAGCAATTGCTGGTACAAGTCTACTGCAGCTTTTCATATCCCCTGGAGATTGCTACAAGCCTAACAGCTATCAGAATAAAATACATGTTCATCCGTGAACATGCATTTTCAGGTATTGCTACAGATTCTGTTTTATTTATTTAAGTCTGGATTTTTTATCGGATGATTTTAACACATCTAAAATGCACCTGAATGAGACTGTAAATTATAGAGCAACTCCTTGCTCCTTGTGCAAATTATTTTAAAAACAAATATGCTGTAGGTTTCAGAATATATACTTCATTACATATAGGCGTCACATAAGCTACGCATTCTAGTACCTGCTAGTAATGTAAAATATTCAAATAAAGATTCTCTTTTTTTTTATTTGCTATATTTACCAAGTTGATCAAACATAATATATCAGAACGGTTAGATTTATGCATAAAAGTAATTACTGTTTATCAAAGGATATATTAAGAATGAAAAAATGTTAGTACTAGTAATACGATTAGGAGGTAAATTTCCAAGCCCTTTATTTTCTAAATGTTTCTCTGAAAACTCTTCCTTTTTAAGAACTTGAGAACCATCTGCTTCATCCCTCCCAGTAATTCACAGAAACAAGTCTGACACCCTAACTCATCAAAATTTTGGGTTAAGAAAGGGAGTGTGTTCGTGGTTGTAAAGTGGCAATAAAAATGCTTCTACTTTGAGAAAGGTATTGCTAATAGACTATAGGACACATCAGCTAGAATACTTTATTTATTTTGGGTAGTTTTTGCTCATCATATGTTGTGGCCACCCTAAAACATAGTTTATTGCAGGTGATAGATATGTTGTAACTGGAATACTAAAGAAAAGAAGAAAAACCAACATTTAAAGTGCAATGATTTAATGACAGATTGTTTTTACTGACAAATGTACTGAGGGCATGTCTAACAGGGATGGTTTAAAAATGGTTCCTTTATAATATAAACATTTCTGATTCATTTATTAAACTATTTACATCAAGATTATTTTTGTCACTATGCAATCTGAGATTCTGGCTTCTAAAAACATCGAAGCTTCCATTTTTCCTGCTCTTCATTTAGTTGTGATAAGGAGGAACATATCAAATTGGCTTAACATCTGGGAGCATAAAACACACACTCAACATGCACAGTTTATTTAAAGACTAACAGCTAACTATTCCCTAAAATAAACAGGATTATCAAATGCAAAGTGTTGCACATTCTTCTATAAATATACAGAGACAGGATTGCTAAATATCACTTTGGACACAAAGCAACCGTGTATTTTTTTGTGTATCTTTTCAAACATCCCTATACATATACAGCCTTGATGGATCAGTAAACTGTAGTGCTGCAAGGTGTACCCCTTTCTGTGACCTTTATAGAGCTTTTTCCTACATTCTTCATTAAATGCTGTAGGTTATTTTACATTCGACTCATCATCGGTGCAATAAATCAGGTACTCCTCCTGTCTTCTGCGCAGCATATGCTGCAAAATCTGATGATTCATATTTAGCTGGTGAAGCTCATTCTGAGGATGTTAGAATGTCTGTGTTGCCAGGTATGAGTTGGACCACAGCTCAGGTAATATTTCCAAGTTTCTGCATGGAATCAACCATACTGTCATTAACATTGGATTTCAGAAGCACTGGAAAAGCATATCCCTTTCGTTTTGCATAACTAATGTCAGGATTATCCCCCAATAAACATCCCAATAATAGGATGTTTAGATGAAAGAAATCATGTTAAAGTTATGACACTACTCTCCACTGCTGATATGCAGTTAATAGGCTTGCATTGTTATAAATGCGTAGCATAACACAGACAATGTTGCCTTGTCTTAATCTGAATAAAGTAAATCTAGAGTCTTCCGTGTACACAAAGCCGGTAACGTCATGTGTTTGGTCAGTCAAGGAATTTCAGAGACCAGATGGTAAAAACCATCAGAAAATAAGCCTGAACTCAAACCTGAGAGGTCAGGAAAAGTAGTTGAAACACCAAGTTTTAAACAAACGCTCGGTGCAGATGGTTTTATTAAATAAGACTTGATTGCAGGTATTATCCTGCCAGGACGTCTGGGAACTCTTGGATACAGGGCACGGTCATTCCATTCTATAATGTACATGCTCAATATATAAGATAACTTTGAGTGAATTGCAGTTGCATAAGCTTCAGCGCACACTTACTTTAACTCATTCATAAGTAAATTACACGTGTCACTTTTTACATCTGCACATAAGATATGAAAAAAATATTCAGGTGTTCAAGTTGCAATATTACTGCAGTACAAATTTTTTAGGAAAGAAGCTAAAAAAAAAAAGGAAAAGGAATGCCGCTGTCTTCATGTAATCAAAATCAGAGTTCAACCAGGCCTGGAAACACAAAATAAATAAATAGACACAGTCCATCACATTCTAACCTGATACCCCGCTCTGATCTCTTGTTGGACACAGTGAAAGGGTGCTGCTATATCTCTGCAGCTCAGGGTGTGACAGGATCTTGGCCTTATCAGTAACATAACCTTAGATTAGATACAGACTAGGTTTAAATGTGCAGAGGTGAGAAGGCGTAAAATGGAAACTGAGCCTCATCCTCATCCAGGAAGAAACACTGGAAGTACGGTAGCTCGTCTGTAGAGAAACATACCAGGATGACTGTTATATTATATTTCATATTTTCCTAGCTCAAAGATTGTGTGTATTTTATTCAATAATAAGGCATTTGTGCTTACCATCCATGGGGAAGCTGTCCATGAGCTTCTCTGTTGATAAGAGAGCAAAAGGTCAATCCACAGATTTATACAAAAGTTATTACCTGAAATTGCAGAACTCTTAGGTACCTTCAACCTTCTCCTCTGTGACAGTCTTCTTGACAGGTTTTTCTAGAACAACAGCTTTGTGAATAAATAATGGAAGCCAAACTGGTATGAGCTGTACAGAAGAATATTGATTTAAATCTTTACCTCTCTTTGCCAGCTCCTCTTTATCTTCAAAAACTCTGTCTTCTGAAAATTACAATATGATCAACATACAAATATTTAGAGGCATTGCATATTTACTGGGCACAATTTAGTTAGAGTATATCTGTAACAAGAGTGTCTTTTCACCATACCTTTAACATCGTCTGTAATAGACTTTTTTGCAACAGCTTTCTCTAAAAAACACAATTTGAGCAAAAAAATAGCTAGTTAATTTTGAGTTTTTTTATTGTAAGAAAAACAAAAAAAGTAAAAAGTTTAAGAGATAACTTATTCAATTAGTCCTCCCATAGTTTCTTCAAAACTGAAAGTGATGCTAAATCTAATCTTATGAAATAAAAAGTCTTTGCATATTAGCCACTCTGATACACCATCAACATAATCACATAAGGATAATAATGTAGTGCATGTAAGAGCACTCCTCTACATTTACTTTCATTGTCAAACAAATCCGCAACATATTGCATTTATGTATACTGTATACCTAGAATTTGCTTTAAATTATATTGTAGGAACAAATAGCATGTTGATGAGCGAAAAAAAAAAAATGCAGTTAAACTCCTGGAGTTCAAGCGGCAGTTCATAGGCCTGAGTTTTCCATGTATAAAAACATATGCAAAGTCTATCTAATAACCAGGTGAACATAGGTTTTCATCTCGAAAATGATAAAAGCAGCATGCTGAAGAATTCAGTGTGTTTGCCTTTATGAAGAAGCACAACATATGGTGATTATCAAAATGAGCAAAATACTGTGAGGATAAGCAAATATATAATCAATTACCACCTGAAATGTGATTTATCGAACCTAAACTGATTTCAGAAGCAGTGTCTACATCTATACAGTTTTAATCACCATCTTCAGTTTAAATAGCAAAGTTATTAATCGAAAAGTTATTAATAGAAAATTTATCTTTTTTAATTTTCATTACTCTGTCACAAGTACAGAGCAACTAAATGAACTCTCTGCATTTAACTAATCCCCTTGGGGAGCAGTGGACTGCCATTGTGCGGCACCCGGGGAGCAGTGTGGGGTTAAGGGTCTTTGCTCAGGGACCCAGAGTGGCAGTCTATGGGAGTTGAACTTAAAACCTCAGGATTCCAAGCTCTATGCCCTAACCACTAGGCAACCTCTACCCATTGACCCAGTGATCAAATGCAATTATTATATTACATTATGCAACCAATAGTTTCTCTCTGCATGATGATATTTTATGACTGCTGTTAACACAGCTATGGTGCTAAAAATAACCAGTCTGCTTTGGCTTCTTCACCTGCCTGTGTTATTATGTTATTATCTTTAATGAAAAAAAAAATCTCCATTGATTAAAAATAGCTGCTGAGTGTTTCCAAGATGTCTGAAAAGATAATGGAATGGAGGTTTCTGAGTGACAATGCTTTCAGAAACTGAAATAGTGACACTGACTGGATGCAACAGTGGAAAAATCCACATACCACAGATTATTTTGATGTTTGTTCCTCAAATTAATCTTATAACAGGCCCTGATATAATATATATATATTTTTTTTATATTTCACACAAACAGGGAAGAGTGTTTCTTTTTTCCCACGCCTGCATCTTCTCGACATATTAGATAATCTCATCTGTGTGCAGTTTGTTGCACTTTGTTGCACTTTGCTGCTGCATTTGGGACTTTCAAAATAAATCCTCGTAGTTCAACCAACTCTCCATAGCACATGCTAAATTATCCCCTACATAAATAGAGTCTGCACCTCTTTTGCACTTTTTTTCAATTGTCACTGCTGACTAATTAGGTCATACAGTCTATTTGCCTGACCAAGCTTTTGTTTGCACAAGCAATTTAAAATTTTTTGGGATCTTACTATACTAGGCAGACTATGAGAGTACTGACTGCCATACAGTATATGTGTCAAAGCCATTCTGAATTGGAGAAGAAATAAAAATGTATTCATTATAAAAATGTATTCATTATTATATGCTGATACATAACTGTAAAAACTGAATTCAAAGTTCAGCCCCTGTTGTAATTTGATTATAATCTGTATGGAGCTTGTGATTGACCAGTTGTTTGAATAATAAACAGTAAACCACATCATTACCTGGTAAATGCAGAAGCATACAAATCAATTATTCTTAATTATAAGTCAGTGCAATAAATAAATAAAGCTAAGATACAACAAAACAAACAGGCATTTCATGTTGTTACCTTTCTTCCTTTCAGTAGGTGCTGGTTTGGCCACAACAACAGGTGCTGAAAGACAGAATAAATAATACATTCAGAGCCCTTTTCCATTTCTAAGCACACTTAAGTTTTATGTCCTCGTTTACTATATGGCAAAATGTTAGAAAGGAGATTTGGTACAAGGTTGATATTAACAACAATATAGACATAGAACTCAATTACATAGCTGCATACAAAAAGTATCATCTAACGTGATAAAATCACTGACACAATAGTATAAAACAAACCTTGAGCTGAGATAAATAAAATAAAAAAGTATGAACAATGTGAAATACCTTTTTTGGGAGCGACTGGTTCAACCCTCTTCTTAAGAGCCTCAGCAACTAAAATAAATAATGTCAATTAAAAAAAAAAGATAAGAGCAGGTTTATAATAAATCAAATTGGACCTATAAATATATTTGGATATCAAACAAGAACATTGTTATATACAACTGACTATTACATTTTCAAATATTACCTTTTTTGACTTTTTCTGGTTTGACTGTGTCCTTTAAAACCACTAGAGTATAATAGAAGGAATGTTTTTATTTTCTGGTTTGGAGTTATTAAGACATTCAGCAAAAGTTCAAATATCAACAATGTAAGACTTTTAGCAGGATGTACTATTCTATGTACTATTCTTACATGGTTGAGAAAAAAACCCTGGATTAGGACATTTGTAGTAAGTTAGCTAAAAAGTGGTACCTTTCCTCGGTGGGACAGCCTTCACTTTTGTCTTTGTTAAGGACACATTTCTGTCTGGTATTTCTAGCGCTGTAAGAAAAATAAATGTTAAGCAAAACTAAAAGCTGGACTATGTACTAAGACAGCATTTAAAATCCAAATATGAACATAGCAATTTGTGTCTCTTACTTTTCACCCTTGGCGCCTTTTTTGCAGCGATAGTAGCAGTTTCTACATAAAGACAGTAGTTTCAGCATCCCCAAAGAACATGACAAGAATCTACCCACAAGTCTTAATTTCAGCGTAATAAAATGTTCAGATTTTAACAATAGGTATAGTTTATTCTATTTGCATCAACGTTATATATAGGTTGTATTGTATAAGAGTACTTTTTTGTACGTTTTATATATTAACTGATATAATCAGCAGGACTCCTGAATGAACACTTTTCTATTTCAGTCAACAACAATAAACTTTAACAATAAAAAAATTAAATATTCCTAATAAAATCCACTTGGGTTGTAACCCTTGAGACTGTATATAATAGATACAATAGGTTTACCTCTTCTTGAACGAGCACGCTTTGATTCCTCTTTGGAAACCTCAACACCTGAAAAGGACAAGAAGAAACAACTGATAATGTACTTTAATTTATTTTTTTTCAAGTTTATTAAAAGTTAGCAAGTGTAAAACATTAAGCAACAGGATGAAGATAAATAATAGGATTTGATTTATAATTACAAATAAAAATACATTTTTTTTCACAATGAAATACACAATGAATATTCAGATAATGTGGATATCGTCTCACCAGATTTTGTTACATTAAGATGCTCCTTTCTGAGGACAGATGCAAACTTGATTGTTCTTTTGGTCTTGATCTCTGAAACAACAAAGATAGATGGAAAAAAGGTAAATTACTGGTTATATTATTGGACAGGAAAAAAGGTACACTGGTAGTTACAAGACTTTATAGTCAATCTGCATCTTTAATCATTTATCTTTTCTTTTGACATAGCTGAGAAGCCTATGTAGACCTTGTCCAGCCATTGACTGCTTTAGTTCCTATGCTCCACTTATGTGGAACAAACTTCCAGAAAACTGTAAAAGTGCAGAAAGCCGGAGTTCCTTTAAATCAAGACTAAAAACACATTTATTTAGGATTGCCTTCAACTGTTCTAGTTAAAGAATTTAACTGAAACATCATTAGTTAAACTTTTTTATTTTCTTTAATCCAATTGTTTTTAATGTTCTTTTTTGTTTCTGCATTTTTTATTTTTTTCCCTACTTGCTTTGATTCTGTTTAATTTTCCTATATTTTAATCATGTAAAGCACTTTCCATTGTCTTTGTACTGAATTGTGCTATACAAATAAATTTGCCTTGCCTTGGCTTGCCTTGCCTTGCTTTCTAAAGATGAATGAAGTGTAAAACCCTAATCAAATGCAATGTTTATGACTATTATTAAGATAAAGTGCTAATTTGGATGCCTGTTGATACATTTCAACTATTAACTTAGGTTGGTATTACTGCAAAACAAGCCACAGACCAGTAAACCAGTATTAAAGAAATGAATTTAGGTTTTTCGGATCACTGTATGTTTTTTGTATGCTCATAGTCTAATCTTTCCAAATGCTTACTTTTTTAAAATCTTTTTCGTTAAAAAGCAGCTAAGGTAGAGACAGCTAGCTGTTAAGCAAATGTAATTGATTTGGTAATATTTGCAATTTGGCTCTTGATTTAAAAGACTGAGCTATGATCATCCCCCTGCCACGTTTAATATGGCAGTGTGCTCATGCAAAAACAACCAAAAATAATTTTTTGTATGGGTTATTTAAGAGAAAATTTTTGATAAATATAATGATGTTTCGTGTAAACATAGACACACACTATGTAAAAATCGCTATATAAAGTATATGTCAGATGGGTAGGCTTGACCTTACATTTACTAAACCTTTCCTTCAATGCTATTTTTTCAGAAAAGTATTCTTTGAAAGGAAATTTTTATTTCTTCTCACCTTCTTTAGATGTCCTTACTTCTCTCTTTCCTGTCGGGAGTTTTAGCTCAGATTTTTCTTCTATTGAAAGTTTAGTTTTTGTTTGTTTTTTGAGAATCTTCTTTGCCTCTGTTTCTTCTTTGGAAGGTTTCTTGTCTTTTGTCTTTTCTATGGGAAGTTTCTTGAGTTTTATTTCATATTCAACAAGTTTCTTCACTTGTTCCTTTTCTTTATGGGCCTTCTTGGTCATTTTTTCATCCTTAGGAGACTTATCTACTTTTATTTCTTTGGGGAGCTTAACAATCTTTATTTCTTCCTTGACAGATTTCTTTTCTTTCTTTTCTTTGGCAGGCTCCGTCAACCTTATTTCATCTTTGAGAAGCTTCTCAACCTTAATTTCCTTTATAGGAAGCTCTTGAGTCTTTAATTCTTTTTTGGAAGGCTTCTTGGCTTTTATTTCCTCTTTGGGATGCTTTTCAACCTTTGCTCCCTCTTTGAGATGCTTCTCAACCTGTATTTCCTCTTTGGGAGATTTCTCACCCTTTATTTCATCTTTTGGAGGCATATCAATATTTTTTTCTTCTTTGGAAGCCTTTTTGACCTTTATTTCCTCTTTGGAAGGCTTCTTGACCTTTATCTCATCTTTCAGTGACTTCTCAACCTTTATTTCCATTTTAGGAGTTTTTTTTATCTTTACTTCCTTTATGGGTGGCTTTTCAACCTTTATCTCTTCTTTGGAAGCCTTTTTGGTCTTTATTTCCTCTTTGGGAGACTTCTCAACCTTTATTTCCTTTTTAGGAGATTTCTTGATCTTTACTTCCTCTATGGGTGGCTTTTCAACCTTTATTTCCTCTTTGACAGGTTTTTCATCCTTGATTTCCTCTTTGGGAGGCTTCTTGACCTTTATCTCCTCTTTCAGTGACTTCTTTGCCTTTATTTCATCTTTTGGAGGCTTCTCAACCTTTATTTCCATCTTAGGAGATGTATTGATCTTTACTTCCTTTGTGGGCGGCTTTTCAGCCTTTATTTCCTCTTTGGCAGGCTTCTCAACCTTTATTTCCTCTTTGGGAGATTTCTTATCCTTTATTTCATCTTTTGGAGGCTTCTCAACCTTTATTTCCATTTTAGGAGATTTCTTGATCTTTACTTCCTCTATGGGCGGCTTTTCAGCCGTTATTTCCTCTTTGGCAGGCTTCTTGACCTTTAGTTCCTCTTTTGGTGATTTCTTGGATTTCATTTCCTCTTTGGGAGGCTTTTCAACCTTTGTTTCCTCTTTGACAGGTTTTTCATCCTTGATTTCCTCTTTGGGAGATTTCTTGGACTTTATTTCCTCTTTGGGAGGCTTTTCAACCTTTGTTTCCTTTTTGGGAGTCTTCTTGACTCCTATATCCTCTTTAGATTTCTTGACTTGTATTTCCTCTTTGGGAGGCGTTTCCACCTTTATTTCCTCTTTGGCAGGCTTCTCAACCTTTATTTCCTCTTTGGGAGATTTCTTATCCTTTATTTCATCTTTTGGAGGCTTCTCAACCTTTATTTCCATTTTAGGAGATTTCTTGATCTTTACTTCCTCTATGGGCGGCTTTTCAGCCTTTATTTCCTCTTTGGCAGGCTTCTTGACCTTTAGTTCCTCTTTTGGTGATTTCTTGGACTTTATTTCCTCTTTGGGAGGCTTTTCAACCTTTGTTTCCTTTTTGGGAGTCTTCTTAACCCCTATATCCTCTTTAGATTTCTTGACTTGTATTTCCTCTTTGGGAGGCGTTTCCACCTTTGTTTCCTCTTTGGGAGTCTTCTTGCCCTTTATTTTCTCTTTTAGAGGCATATCAATCTTTATTTCTTCTTTTGGAGATTTCTTGAGCTTTAATTCTTCTTTGAAAGACTTCTTAATCTTTATTTGTTCTTTTTGAGGGTCCTTGACATTTATTTCCTCTTTAAGAGGCTTCTTGATCTTTATTTCCTCTTTGGGAGTCTTTTTGAACTTTATCTCTTCTTTGGAAGTCTTCTTGGTCTTTATTTCCTCTATAGAAGGTGACTCAATCTTTACTTTCTCTTTGGGAGATTTCTTTTCCTTGATTTCCTCTTTGGCAGACTTCTCAAACTTTATTTGCTCTTTTGAAGGCATATCAATATTTATTTCTTCTTTGGAAGGCGTCTTGACCTTTACTTCCTCTTTCTGAGGTGTCTGAATCTTTATTTTCTCTTTGGGAGGCTTTTCTAACTTAATTTCTTCTTTGGGAGATTTCTTGACCTTAATTTCCTCTTTCAAAGGCATGTCAATCTTTATCTCTTCTTTGGAAGGCTTCTTGACCTCTATTTCTTCTTTCAGAGGCTTCTTCACCTTTATTTCCTCTTTAGGAGATTTGTTAACCTTTATTTCTTCTTTGGAAGGCTTCTTGACCTCTATTTCTTCTTTCAGAGGCTTCTTCACCTTTATTTCCTCTTTAGGAGATTTGTTAACCTTTATTTCTTCTTTGGAAGGCTTCTTGACCTCTATTTCTTCTTTCAGAGGCTTCTTGACCTTTATTTCCTCTTTGGGAGACTTCTTAACCTTTATTTCTTCTGTGGATGGCTTCTTGACTTTTATTTCCTCTTTCTGATGTGTTTCAATCTTTATTTTCTCTTTTGGAGGCTTTTCAAACTTTATTTCCTCTTTGGGAGGCTTGTCAACCTTTTCTTTAGGTGTCATTGTGATGTTTATTTCCTTTTTGAGAGCCATTTTAAACCTAATTTCCTTTTCTAAAGTTTGCTTGACTTTTATTTCTTCTTTTGGAGACTTCTTGACCTTTACATCTTCTCTGGGAGGCATACCCACTTTAGCATCCTCTATAGGAGCCTTCTCAGCCTTTAATTTTTCCTGGGAAGGCTTCTCGACTATTAACTCCTTTTCATGAGGCTTCTTTACATCAACATTTTTGCTGGGGGGCTTCTCAACCTTGATTTCATCTTTTGGAGGCTTCTTTACTTTGACATCTTTGCTGGGGGGCTTCTCAACCTTGATTTCATCTTTTGGAGGCTTCTTTACTTTGACATCTTTGCTGGGGGGCTTCTCAACCTTGATTTCATCTTTTGGAGGCTTCTTTAATTTGACATCTTCTTTGGGAGGCTTCTTGGCCTTTATTTCATTTTTCTGAGGTTTCTCAACTTTTACATCTTCTTTGGAAGGCTTCACCACCTTTGTTTCCTCTTTGGGATGCTTTTCGAATGTTAAATCTTCTTTGGGGGGCTTCTCAACCTTTATTTCCCCTTTGGGAGGCTTCTTTACTGTGACATCTTCTTTAGGAGGCTTCTCTGGCTTTATTTCATTTTTCTGAGGTGTCTCAACTTTAACATCTTCTTTGGAAGGCCTCACCACCTTTGTTTCCTTTTTGGGAGGCTTTTTGACTGTTATTTCCTCTTTGAGAGGCTTCTCAACCTTTATTTCCTTTTTGTGAGGTTTCTTCATTTTTACATCTTCTTTAAGAGGCTTGTCAACCTTTATTTCCTCTATGGGAGGCTTCTTGACCTTTAATTCCTTTTGGGGAGGTTTCTCGACTTTTACATCTTCTTTGAGAGAATCGTTGTACTTTAATTCCTCTTTGGGAGGCTTTTTGACCTTTATTTCCTCTTTGGGAAGCTTCTTGACCTTCAAGTCTTTTTTGTGAGGTTTCTCAACTTTTATATCTATTTTCGGAGACTTGTCCACCTTTCTTTTTTCTTTGGAAGGCTTCTTGACCTTTATTTCCTCTCTCGGATGTTTGTCCTCCCTAATTTCTTCTTTATCCTTAATTTCTTCTTTACTGGTTTTCTTTATCTCACCCATCTTCATCTCTTTTTTGTGAGGCACCTTAGATTTGACCTTTTCTTTCGGAGGCTTCTCAATTTTTATTTCTTCTTTATCCTGTTTCTGGATCTTTATTTCCACTTGTTTGGCCTTTTTCACTCTTATTTCTTCTTTGAGAGGCTTTGTAATGTTTTTTTCTTTTTCAGGAGGCTTCTCAACCTTTATTTCTTCCTTAATTGGCTTCTTTTCATCTTTCTTTTCTTTGAGAGGCTTTTGTTCCTTTGTTGCTTCCTTATGTTGCGTATCAACTGGTATTTCCTGTTTTAAAGATATTTCTACCTTTATTTCATCCTTGAGATTTTTTTCCTCTGCTTTCTTTTCTTTTAAGGGCTTCTCAACCCCTTTTCCTTTAATCGGAAGCTTCTCAACCTTTATCTGTTCTTTTTTAGATCTCTCTATCTTTTCTTTTTCTTTAGGGAGATCCTTTTTCTCTTTTATTTCTTTAGGAGGTTTCTTCTTCTCTTTTAATTCTTTGTGTGGTTTCTTTTCTTCATCCCAGTCTTTCTTATCTTTTACTATCTTAATCTTTTGTTTTGGGGGCTCCTTTTCTTGTTTCTCCTCTTTGGGAGTTTTTTCTGATTTTATGTCGTCTTTATTTGATTTCTTTACTTCTTTTTCTGCTTTCAGAGGTTTCCTTGCCTTTATTTCTTTTTTAGTAGGTTTACCTTCCTTCTTGGTTCTGAAAGGTTTTCCCACCTTAGTTGTTTCTCTTGGAAGGTTTTCATTCTCTCTATCATCTTTTACAAGTTTCTTCTCACCTTCTTGAGTTTTATTTGCTTTTGCTTCTTCTTTCTTTAATGTAGAAGGAAGCTCCACATGTATATCTTCTTTGGGATGTTTCCTGTCTTCCTTTTCCTTGGGATGTTTCCTAAACTTTGATTCTTTTTTGGGTGGTTTGTCAACTTTTATTTTGTCTTTGGTAGCCTTCTTTTCTTTGGGTAGTTTCTCATCTTTCTGTTCTTTGGAGGGTTTCTCAACGTGATGTCTCACTTCTCTCTGATCTTTGGGAGGTTTTTCCATACTAGTTTCATCTACTTTTATTTCTTCTGTGGAAGTTTTATTTGCGGCAGGTGGTTTTTCAGTCTTTAGTTTTTCTTCTGGATGTTTCTTTTGTATTTTTGTTTCTTCTTTTTCTGTGCTAATTTCTTCCTTTGGATGTGTCTTTTCCTCATGAGGTTTCTTCTCATATTTCTTTTCTATAGTAGGTTTCTCAATCTTTATTTCTTCTTGAGCAGGTTTTGTATCTTCTTCCTTTACTTTGTGAGATTTCTTCTCCATCTTAACTTTTTGAGCTGTTTCTACCATTTTTTCCTCTTTAGGAAGTTTCCTCTTTACTTTCTTCTCTTCAAAAGTCGTCTCAACTATAACAGACTTATCTGCCTTTATTTTTTCTTTAGATGGGTTCTTAATCTTTAAATCTTCTTTGGGATGTTTCTCCTTCTTTATTTCCTTTTCCAGATGCTTTTTAATTTTGATGTCTTCTTTAGCAAACTTCTTCATCCCTATTTCCTCTTTGGCAGGCTTTTCTAGCTTTATCTCTTCTTTTGGAGGCTTCACAAGCTTTGTTTCCTCTTTAGGAAGCTTGTCCTCCTCATCAGTTTTCTTGTCTTTCTCTATTTTGTGAGGTTTCTCTGCTTCTAGTTTTTCTTTAGTAAGCTCTTTGAGCTTTATTTCTTCTTTATGTGGCTTTTCTTCCTTATTAGTTTTTTTTACTTCTTTTATGATTTTGGGTTTCTCGATTTTCTTTGCTTTTGTATGGGTCTTTTCTGTCTTATTTTTCATAGAAGTTTCAATTTTTACTTCTTTTATATGTTCCTTTTCTTCTGTTTCCTCTTTGGGATATCTTTCTACCTTTGCTTCCTCTTTCTTTACCTTGGAAAGTTTCTTTACCTTTATTTCTTCTTTTGAGGTTTTCTTTTTCTCTTCATCTTTGGGAGATATCTCTGTCTTGGGAGATTTCTTTTTCTGGGGTAATTTATGCTCCTTCTTTTCTTTGGTGGGTCTTTTTACCTCAGTTTTTTCTTTTGGAATATCCTTTTCCTCTTTCTTTTCTTTGATATACTTTTTTGTTCCAATAGTAATGGCTTCCTCTTCCTTGCCTTCCTTTGGAGGCTTCATTATGGCTGTGTCTTCTAAAAAAAAAAAGAGGACAATGATGATTTACTTTTGGACCTGGTCAGGAAAGAGTCTCTGAATCTCATTGACACTTCCAGGTTTAATATATAAAAGTACCAAAGATACAACATTTTATGAAAGTCCTATATTAAAATAAAAACAAACATATACAGGGTAAAATGGATATTTTACACACAGTATAAAGACAAATAACCTTTTTACTTTTCTTTCTTTACAAAAAGTCAGACAATTTTTTCTCTTTTTTTTAGGTTAGTTGGGATAACCATTTTCTATTTCCATTTTGCTAAACACCTTAAAACTTTATATATTTTATCTTATATATTAGTATAAGTTAAGATACTTTTTATTTCATTTGTATATTTTTTCCTTGTAATTTACACATGGATGGATGGATGGATGGATGGATGGATGGATGGATGGATGGATGGATGGATGGATGGATGGATGGATGGATGGATGGATTTTTTCCAGATAGAATTGGTTTAACTGAGTCAGGATTCAATGTTGCTTTGGTTGTTCAGACCTTTTAAGCTATGCTCACATATTTTGGATTTAAGATCAGGGCTTTGGAAATTACTCTCTAAAATATCATTTTATTTTTCATTAACCACTTTATAGGTAGCTGAGCAAATGATTTGGCTCATTCTTCATTGTCTAGCCTCTTTTTTCTACCTGGGCTTTAAACTTCTGCAGTTGTCTGAAATACTCAACATTTAAAATTCTATTTTTTTTCTCCAGGATGTCATATATTCTGTAAATTGCACCAAAAAACAAATGTTTCAATTGCAAGCTTTATCCTATCTCTAAATACATTTTTTATAGATTCTTTGTAGAAAAAAAAATCTCTTAGCAGTGTAATGAAGGATATTGTCCTCTGAAGGCTCTTATGCCACAAGGCTTTGCCCCTGTTCTTTAGGTTGGACTGATCACTCTTTAAATAACATTATAATTCACACTTACATTAGTAAATAACTTTAAAATGGGACTTAAACTTTTACATATTTAAGTGAGGTGGAGGAATCATACATCATTGGGCTAATTGACTGGAAGTCAACAGTGTCAAAAAAGAAACATTTCTGGATGGTTTCTATCTCTCAGTGATGTCAGTAATCTGTGTCACACCAAGCTGGTGTATATCTGACAGGGTGTGTCATTATTTTAGGCCTGAAAAGTGGCTTATTTGCTCTCCACTGCCACAGCTACAGATAAATGTCACCTTTATCAAACCTGACCATTAAAAACTGCATCTTTACTATTAATATCTATCAAGGCTGATGTATCTTCCCATTCTTTTCTCCTGGCTTTGTGACTTAGAAATTAAGATGATAACTTTTGACTTCTGATAAGGGAGATTAGATAAAACATAAGAATTTATACATTATACCATGGGTAGAACAAAAAAAATGTAATTACAAAATCTCATTAGAGATTAATAGTTAATAGAGAAATACACACATCTCATATATTTAACAACCTACGTCTTGGATAGATGATACACAGGAAGTAAAAGTAATTGAAATCCAAATATTCATATTTCCTTTTAAACTGTGAAAAATTTTGCTTTTGTGTCATCTTAGTGTGAAATAATACTTAGTTCATTAGTTATAAATGTTTTTACTAAAATATGAAAGAATTATCTTTGTTAAAGGCATCCCTTGATCAATATTAGCAGAACTTACAACACAGATATATATATACAAGTTAGAAATAAAGATATTCATCCACTGATTTCTTGTTTTATTTTTATTTTTTGATATTTCGCGAAATCTACCTAAGCAATGTAAAAGACAATTTCTTAAATTGTAAGTTTGTCAAATATAACTGAAAACGATATGGCTCTATTTGTCAAGTTAAACCATAACGAATAAATGAAGTTGGGTAAACTTAAGTCCACCATTTTTACCAAGTGAAGCAATTTATTTCAGTGAGAGCTGCAGTTCCTTTCGGCTACAATGTTCTAATTCTTATAAGAGAATTGGAAGAGAGAAAGGCGCAGAATTAAAAATCAGACGTAAATCTTTGTAAATTGTGTGTGGAAAATAGCAAAGAGAGTTTGAATGCCAGGATTGTGTTATTATTGCTAAATATTGCTTTGACAATATCATCTATAATAAATCATATTTTCTGTCTAATCCGTCTCTTATCTTCTGTTCTGCTTCTGTGACCTTTAGCTCGTTAGGCTTTAGTGTCTGTATCATGTTTTTTTTTTTTACTGCTTTGAGACTTTATGTAATAGGCTAGATATTGCATTGACATGCAAAGTGTCCTTTCATTATACTGTAGGGCAGTGCAGGTTTAACCTAAAATTCTTAATTTCACTGAGTTTTTTTTTTTTTTTGTATACAGGTTAAGATTTTTTATATGGGGTTCTGCTGATTGTTTAAAGGATAATTAAGCATAGCTGACAGTCAGATCATTCTCAATTTGGACTGCAAAAAAAGTCTTTCTAATCTCTCATCGATGTTCAGTCCAAAGCTACTTCCATCTGTCTAAAAGACAGCTCCATGTCTGAACATTTATATTGTCATGTGCCCTCTATCCCCGTCTTTTGACAGCCTTAGATAGCTGATAACTTTATCTAGTATTCTTTCCTTATAGACTGCTGAGTCTAAATGTCTCCAGGAAATTATATCCACCAGCAGGAGCTTGTTCAACTTTCCTCTTATTTGATAAGGGTTCATAATCGCTTATGTCATAGAAATCAGGAGGAATTTCAAGGTGTTGCCTTATTGTATATCTCGTACCATGTCTTTTGGTTGTGCTGTTCTTTTTTCATCTCGCTACAGGTGATGAAGCAGACTGAAAATGTTTTGTCATTGTCTCCTTTCTATCTCCTCTTTCTTTCATCTTTTCTCTTTTTTTTCTCTTTTTTTTCCTTTTTCTTCTTCTGTTTTTCTGCTCTACTTACATTGCAGTGTCCATATAAACTGTAAAACTCCCTGCATAATCATAATAAAGCAAGATATATGCATGAAACAAGTGGAGCTATATGGCAATTGCCATACTGCTACACTTGTGAAAGTAAAATCTGTTGGGCTCTTTTTGGCATCAAGACAATTATTCTTATTGCCACATTGCCGGACAGGACACTGTAAAAAAAAAAAAAAAAAAAAAAAAGAAATCAGGAGGAATAAGATAAATAAGGTGAAAGAAAAAGCAGAAAATAAGATTCGATTGAAAAGAGTCTTCGGAAAACAGACTCAGATTTAATTAAAATCCAGATTAGAGCTTTTTTGTTTGCATATTTTTAACAACAGTTAACAATAAAAAGAAATAAGCAGAAAAGTTTTTTATCCTTTTAAGTTGAGGAAAGGTGTTTAGACTGACAATATTGCATATAGTAATTAGGGTTTAAATTCTGAATAAAATTACTGAAAATTTGCTGCAGCTGCAGTAAATGTGTAATTATTTCACGTAATACATTTTGTTTAGTCACCAAGTGTCTGTTTCAGGGCGTTCAAATAAGAGAGTCATAGAACTATAACCAACAGTTCTATAACAGTAATAATTTATTATAACTTGTCACAAAATCACTTTGAGCCTAATGGAAAAATATTATTACAAGAAAGAATAAAGGGATCTTGTTATCCTTTCATTTTACGCTAAGTTGAGAGAGGAGCAAACTATTGTCAGCATTACAAGTCCCACAGAATCATTAACAAAACACAACAAAGCATTAGCAGCCACCTACTTTCTTTAGAGCCTATAATTGGTTATGATTTACAGTCTTTGGGGTTGTGTTGGTTTTTATTTAGATTTTTTATTCCCATGTCGGTGCAGACTGCTCAAACAAAATGTTTATGTTATAAGTCTTTATATTTATTCTAACTTTACCTGACTGTATTTATGCATTCGGGTAAATGCTGAGCTGTGTTATTGTGAATGTTGTGCTTGGAGAAGAAAATAATAATTAACCCTGTTATATATCCTGTGAGGTTAAATATGGAAAGGGGCCATAGAGGAATGTAACAAGGAAATGAGTGAAAAATAATGGTCAAAATTAAATTTAACTAAAAATAGTCCCGTTTGTGCAGAAACCCTGTTCACAGTGGAATAATACAAGCAGCCTTAACCAGCCAATTTCAGATTCCACATATAATGGGGTTGCATTTTTTTTGTACATTTTTTTTTTGTCTTTTTTGTCTTTATCATACTATTACTAAAACTCTTTATCTGCCAAGTTACCATTTCTGGATATAAACCACTTTGCAGCAAAAGAAGCAACATTGTTAGGTTGTATGTGGTCTGCAGGGTCCCCCTGCGTCTTGAGGCTGAGTGTAACTGCTTAATAAAATAATAATAGTAACCTAATGTTGCCTACTGTGTGTGATATGTTACCCACTATAAAGTAAGCAAAAAATAAGATTAATAATTCAAGTTAACTGCATAAAAAAGTTAATAAGCTTAACTATAAACTTAAAGGTATAGTGGAGGATTTTAGCAAATTTCTGAAAATATCCACCCTTTCCACTTAAAAAAAAAAGAACATGCACAACCCTGTACCCACTCCCTAGAGGGAACGCCTATTAAACGTGTGCGAGAGCATGCAGGAGCCCATTTCTCCTCGTGCACGCTGTTTAAAAGTTGCTGTTTGCATCGCTCATACAAGCTTACTTTCCAAAAGAAGATTTGCAATTTTTCCACAATGTCAGACTCACCAAAGGTAAGTGAAAATGGGGACGAGCACATAGGACAGGCTAAGGTAAACATATCACCAGAATGATTTACAATTAGGAGGACCACTTATTTAGATGATCACCCCAGAAAAAGAACAACCTCCACTGTACCTTTAACTAATAAGTTAAACTATAAAATGAAAAACAGTTTCAACTGTTTAACAGATACAGTAGCTGTTGTAAGAAAATAAGCCCAACACCTTTTCCATATCAAATGTGGATATTTTGCTTTAAACATTCAGCTGAAAACTAAAGCTCTATTAAAAAAACAAAGGTGTAATAGGTGACAAAGCCTGGATTAAACTAAAACTTTCTTCAATCATATATGTATTAAACTTTTACATTCTATATTCTTCTCTTTTGTCCCAATCTTCCATTGATCATAGCTCCCTGTTATACAATGCAGCAGTTCTTTAAATATCTATATTGTGGATATATCTACTATCTCTCTCGCCTAGCCAAAACATATACAATCATATTCAATGAATAAGAATATCTGTTCTATGTGAATTAATCAGATTAAAATGACCTTTTGAAAACACCCTTTAAGTGGGCATTTAAAATATTTAATTAAGCCCAAATTTATCTTGGTGTTATTAAGGTTTATCTAAAAATATTTTACTTTTTAAAGGGTTTAAGCTCATGTTTGATGGCAAGTGTTTATGATGAATGTTCAATATGACATTAAATATAATAGCAATAGCAAAAAATGCATAAACTAGTCATTTAATATGGTTAATGCAGGGAATGTTTTTACATATTCCAACACCTTAATGGAAAATTGAGTATTTTTGATGGTTGTACCTGTCTTATAGCGGTCGATGTGTTCTTTTTGTGACGCTTTTGGCTTTTTAGTCTCGTTGTTGCTGTTATTTTCACCATGATCGTGTTTTAGTTCACTATAATTAAATGCTGGAGATAATCCAGATTTTTCCATGTTGGATTCACCAGTTTCGGGTACAACACTGTCATTAACAGGAGTTTGAGGCAGAAGAGGTTTGAGCTGTTTTTCCAAACCTTCATGCTGAGTTCTGTCATCTTTCCCCTCTTCGTCATTGAATTCCTCATTGGTGGTGGATTCCTCCTCTTCCTCCTGATCTAGTGCTGTGCCTTCAGTTTTTATCTTCTCTGGTTTTTCCTTCTTCTCTGTTACCCCACCCTCTTGCAAGTCTTTAGTTTCAAGCTCCCCCTCTTCTTCCTCTCCTTTCTCATCTAATCTTGCTTCGATTTTGGGTTTCTCTTCTTGATCATCTATCCCGCCCTCTCTTGTTAATCTGTCTTCTTCTCCGTCTTTTGCCAAGATGTCCTCTGTTTTATTGTCTTCCTCATTTTGTTCCTGTCCCATTTCTAATTTATCTTCCTCCTCCTCTTGCCCTTCAAACACTCCATCTCCTTCTTCAACCAAGATATCCTCTGTTTTATCTTGTTCATGTCCTGTTTTTAATTTCTCATCTTTGTCTTCTTTGTCTTCCTCATGCACCAGTTGTGTGGAAACTTCCAGTGATGTAATATCATCTACAGTCTCTTCTTCCTTTACAGTTCTGTCTTCCTTAGTTCCAACGTTTATGACCCCTTCCTTCAGTGAAGGCTTATGTTGCTTTTCTTCCACGTGTTTCACTAATAATGTGATAGTATCAAATTAGGCAGCTCAATTTCAGCTTGCTGAATGTGACTGAATAAAAAAAAAAGAAGAATGAATACCCTCGTCTTCCTCTTCTATGGTCACTCCAGAGTCACCAGTAGCTCCAGTTGCTTCTTCAACCTCCGCCTGCTCTGCAGCAGAGATGGCTTCACCTTCGCCCGCATGCATCACTTCTGCAACTGTATCAGGATCGTATCATCACCACTAAACTCTGATCCAATAATCTACATAAAAATGCAGCTTAACTTGGTCTTTAGATCAAATTTTAAGTGTGAAAATGACAGAAAATGTAAAAATGAATGTCAAACTTCTTTGATTTCATGCATATGTCAAAACAAACACAACAACAACAACAAAAACAGTTAATACAATTGCATATTAAAAAAAAACAGTATAGGTTGAAAATATTTGCACACTGGCACTATTCAGATGAATCAATTACCTAATAAATATTTTTTTCCTAACCTTCAGTCAGGAAAATTTCTAACCAATTTATTTTCAGTAAAAGCAAGAAACTTTGGTCTGAACTTCAATCTGAAACAATCTCTGGATAAAAAATTCACATCTAAAAACATAATCATTGGAAGACCTTCAATAAGTAAATACAAAATGCAGTTTTCAGTTGTTTTTTCATTAAAAAAGGACAAAAGAATTTCAACATCAACCTGACTCTATGGGAAAAAAAACAGTTGTTACCTTTGTCAAATCATAAATAAATTGAATATAATAATAAAGTAATTAACTAATGAACAATATTCCCTTTTTTTTTAGGAAAGCTAAGTTCTGTTTCAAAAGCCATTCTTGATGTCAGAAAGCACAAACTTTCTCACAACATAAAATAGGCTAAAAAATCCCATTATGCCCTGAACAGATTAGAAAGTCACTGACATGGATCAGTGTGTTATAAGCAATCGTCACCTCACCTCTAATCAACTAGAATTAGTGATTAAATCTCTTCCAGGAAGTCACTAAACAGCTAATATGGAGCACTGCAGGATATGTATATGTCTGTATGATCCAAAATCCTAGTGCATTTAGAGGATTAAAGTTGTGTGAGAATGGGAGAATTTTAAGGTCACTGCAGACAAAGAGAACACAAAGATCCTTTCCAAATTCTCTTTCCTGACCTAGATCACACACAAATGGACTGAACCCTGAATTCTGCTCTATATCACAAAATCCTGAAAGAAAATATGCCCCACTATCAGTTTAGAATTTAAGCAAACTTTGGTTGTGTAGAAGACAATGATCTGGAGATTGAAAGCAAGTCCAACCTGATTGGCCCAAAAATCTATGGCAGAATAAAGGCTTTGAATCTTAAATACCAGTAGGTAATTTATACTTGATACGCTTTATAACTGACCAAATAAAAAAAACACCTCAATATTAGTGAGCCAAACTTTCCACATGACATACAATCAGTGTGTTCTGAACAATTTGTTAGGTTTCAGTGCCTATTATTTTTCCCATAAGGCCAGGCCTTATAAAAGCCTTTCTTCCCTGTATACATGAAATCATGATTTTAAAACTGCATTTTGTACCGACCAAAGTGATGCTGCTGAACATTCTCAGTGATTCTCACCTGGATACTGATCAAGGATATATTTGCATTATGCTGAAGTATTTAAGTATGAAAAAAAGCAAATGAATGAGAAAATAGTGTTCGCATACAGTTTACATTCAGTCACAAAGCAAAATGCTCAAAACAGAAAAGTGCAACATTATGGCATGTTTTTTTATGGTCCCATATGCATACATACACCTTTTATTAACAGGATGAACACAATGCAGTTTTGTGAAAGAATACAACAACAAATGTTGATAACATAGAAAAGAGCCAGTAAAACTGTAACAACTGGTTGTTTAAAGTATTTATTATGAGACAAAATAACACACATTTAGTCATGCCACGGTAAGAAAAAACAAAGGCCAACTGTGTTAAAATGTTGGCAAATGTATCACATTAAGACGTTGGATAAGAAACATCACTTCATAAACCTAATTATGGGAAATGCAGTTAAATGCCAAAATGCAAGGGATGTTTTTAGAGGAAAACATTCACCCAATCCATTCACTTCATTTATTTGCAACACACCTGCTTGTGTTAAATAAAGTAATATCTTCACTGCATGATGGCTTTTTCTTACCTTTTTCAAGTGGAGGTAAAAATTCCCCTACAGTGCAGATATGTAGCTGTTTTAATGAATAAATGTCTGGCTTTTTTCCAACAACACACAGTAAAATATTGCTGCTCCTACCTTTCTTTCTCACCAGGTGAATATCAGATGGAGAAACAACAGCTTCATCTAAAAAAAAAAAAAAAAAAGGTTCTTGTTTTATAACACTTTCTTTACTGAAAAAAAACACAAGGCTTCGTGCTCTGCCCTAAACTTTTCTCATATCTTTATCAACATTTATGAAATGAATTTGCTGACAACATATTTAGTCATGCATTACAGCATTAATCAAAAAGTCAAACCTTTTTCAGTGACAACATTTACAGCCAGAGGAATGGCAGGCTCACCTAAAACAGAGCAAAGAAGCATTTATGAGATCTCAAAGTATATTTCATGATTAACGGATATTGCTTACACTCCTACCTTGATCCCCACCCAGCACGCTTGACATGTAACCCAAGAACAACTCCTTCTTGCTGCTAAATTCCAACACTGCATCCTCGACAACCTTCATTGGGTCAACAGACACTTCTGGGGTGATGTCTGAAACCCACAGCATGTTTTTGTAATGAATGCGAGGAATGTTATTAAATATATGAAATTAATACTTTACATCAGGATAGTTTATGGCACACCTTGTTCACGCATCAGCATTGTGGAGAAAAAGCCCATAATTGTGGTTATCTGTTCTTTGACGAATTCTACAATTGTTTTCAGAGCTGATAAGGGGCTGAATCCCACGGCCTCCTGTATGTCTGAGCAGCAGAAAAAAATTGCAAAAGCTTTAAATAAATTGTAATAAACTGTGTAACTGAGATAAAAGTCAATCAATCTGACTGTTACTGTACCATTTAACGTATCCAATACTACGCCCAAGGCAGCACAGAGCCAGTTCTGGATGTATCCTGTGATATCACTTACAAATTCATTCAAAATATGGAAAACATTTCTGCCAATGACAACGGGGTCAACAAAGCTGGTGTCAATTGTTCCTGTGAAAAGCACAGAATTGGAAGGACAAGAGTCGTTTATTAGGATTAATAATTATGCATAATTAATTAACATTTCAACACTAAAGAGAATCACAATAAGCATTTCTTAGAACACAAAAATACAAATAAACACCTACATTGAAAGTTAGCTGATAGTAAACGTAATCTCACCCAACATGTAAGTTCAGTTTAAATAAAACTTCTGGATTTTTAATTTTAAATCTAAACCACGTAGACTTTTAGCAATTTTTACAGACATTTTAAACTGTCTTTAAACATTGTGAAAATCAGTAAAGCAAATTAAAGGATATACAAAAGATTTCCTTGTTTAAGTTTATTTAGGATGAAAATCTAACAGTTAAAATGTAAAATTGTTCATGCATTTACTATTTAAAAGGAAAAAAAAAACATTTAAACTATAAAAATAGTAAAACATTTTTCCTCGAATACAAAATAGTTTTCTTTTCTGGTATGATTACAAAATAAAAAGAAGAAAGCAGGGAGGCCGTACCTTTAAAGATATCCAGTAAGGTATCTATTATTGCACAAAGTATGTCCTGAATGTAGCCCACTAATCCACTCACAGCATCATTTGTGATGTGGAAGAAATTCCTGCCAAGGACCACCGGGTCGGCATAGCTGACATCTGTTGTTCCTAAGAGCAAAACAGGAAGAGCTTCAGGGAATTAAGGGTACATCAATTAAGTGTTACTGTATCGGGCGCTGCAACACCACTGTCAATAAAAGACTTGTTGGTTAATAAATAAATAATGAGACATGTTATTAAAGAAATGTACTTGAATTTCTCTTATCTGAAAAATTATATTGTGGGCTAATATGTGAAGCAGAGTTTCTGCTGGATTTTTTTGTGTGTGAAAAATTGCACTCAAAAACACAAATTTGTTTTTTAAAATCACTGAAATGTTAATTCAAACGTTTAAAATAGATATCTTATTTTGAATAAAACATGAGTTTTCCATTTGTACTATAAGCTCAGTCTTTGCTGCTTTTTTCATAGTCTTTTTCATAGAAAGCCCCTCCCCAAATGTGGTATTTCAGTTTTTTTTTTATCTGCTTTGAATTATTAAATTTTCAGTTTCAAAAATGTATTTCCTACTGAGACATTTTTTTGCTGTTGAAAGTGAGTTATTTAGTTCCACTGTTGCCACATGCTTTTTGTTCACTTTAACAACAGTGGCTTTAAAACGATACACCAGCTGATTTGACGGCATCAAATTTTATCTTTGGAATCTTAATTATTCATTTATCTAAATGAGATGTACTACCTTTAGTTATATCCAGTACAGTGTCTATGATGGCACAGAGTGTGTCCTGGATGTAGCCTGTTATTCCACCAACAGCATCATTTATAACGTTAAAAAAATTCCTGCCCAGTAGCACAGGATCGAGGAAGCTAATGTCAGTGGTTCCTGAAAAACACAAATGTGATCTAATAAAAAAAAAAAATCCTGATACAAAATGTAGTCCAAACTGTGTGAACAAAACAGTCATGTGAAGAATTAGGACACCCCACAAATTGAATCTCCATGATATCTATTTTTAGATTCATTTCTGGAAAAGAAAAAGATTTATTTGCAGGGTAAAGTTCTGCTCCATTATCAATATAATTTCAGGTGGTCTAACATTTCCTCCAAACAGGTTGTGATACCTAACAGAAATATTGTTGACTTCTATGATGGTATACTCTAATAATGTCAAACATTTATTAAATTTTTTTTTTTTTGCAGCTATGGTTTTCTCACAAAGCAAGTGAATCCTCCTCGCACACCTCTCGGGCAAAGTAAAACATTTGCTATCTCTTTCAGAATACAGAGGCATGCACTTTCATATCAACAGTAGGCAGACCCTGCACTAGATCATTCTAGTAATTTTACAGACTTATTTCAGCTTATCTAATTTAAGCTTTTGTTCTTGTCTGTAGTCATTATTTTATCTCTGACCAAACCACTAATCTACTTTCCTAAGGCCTAAAGGAGCTTTCTTGGTGTCACTAAAGTGCTCCCTCTGACTTTCATGTTGGAATAAATGTAAAAATGTTGCAATTTATGCCAGTGTTAATAAAGTGTTGTCATAGGGTGCCCTAATTGACCTGATATGACTTGAAGTTGTTCTCAGATGGCATTCACGTGTAGGTAGATACCTTTCACTACATCCAATATAGAGTCCACTAGGAGGCAGAGCACAGTCTGGATGAAGCCCACCACTTCAGACATGAAGTTATTAGTAACCCTGAACAACCCTCTGCCTATTATCACAGGGTCAATATAGCTCAGATCAATTTTTCCTGAGGAGAAGGCAACAGCATTTTGGAGGAACATTTTCATAATTAGTTCAAGCTGCCGGTTTGAACAGGAATCTCTAGAGAAATTAGAAGTAGGAATTCAAACTGAAGATGCACCTTCTTTTAGATCCAAAACTGTGTCCTTGACAGTATCCACAATGGCACACAGTACGTCCCTGAAGCAGCCAATCACTCCATACACAAAGTCATTGGTTGAATGGAAAGCTCTTCTTCCAATGACTACAGGATCGATGTAGCTGAGGTAGAAGGTTCCTGTAGTTCAGATACAGTCACATTAAATGTCACCTTTTTTTCCCATCTGTTTTGTTGGATAAATGTACATTGTCGTACCTTCTTCATCAGAAAAATACTGAACAAATGCATGTTTAGCTTCTGTAACTTCTTCAACGACATAAGATGCAAGAGATGAGGGGTTACTTAAATCAGGAGCACATTCTGAAAAGAGAACCAAGCCAGTTCAGTTCCAATGCTGCTTTGCATATTTATGATGAAGCATTTCTCCCACTTGTACCTTGGAACTTATTGAACAGACTGGACACCTCATCTACAGCATCGTTTACAGCTTGAACTGGGTCCGTAATGATTTGGTGAACATCTGGGGACATTAAGGACAAAAAAAAGTAATGTTCAGAAATCTGTGTAATATGTGTCAACACAATTCTAAGCGTTTGGGACTCACCTGGAACTGCTTTGTACTCTACAAAGTCAAACATCACCACACCCACAACTATCCAGGACAAGAGAGCAGCTAGTGCAATCAGCAGTTCAACAGATACTTTCACCTTTCTGAAGAGCTCGACACCTTTGGATCTGAGAGAGCTTGTTTGTGCGACTTTGCTGGAGCCCCCGGCTGCACCCACCGAGGGGGGGCTGGATCCTGTGAGTACGATATACAAGATAATTGGATGGTCAAGCTGCATCAGTAGCAAGCTGTTTATTTGTAGAAGGAATCAAAAGTGATGAGACTTAATTATAGAGTTTGTTTCACCAGGGGGCATTAATACCTTATGGTTTTCATATGTAAAATGTTTTATTCTTTTTTTTCCTCCAGAGTTTTTCATTGTCATTACACTGTCACAAGTACAGAGCAACGAAATTAACTCTCTGCATTTAAGCCTTGGGGAGCAGTGGGCTGCCATTGTGCGGCGCCCGGGGGGCAGTGTGGGGTTAAAGGGTCTTGCTCATAGACCCAGAGCGGCAGTCCATGGGAGTGGTGCTTATACTCAGAGCCTCAGGATTCCAGCCCTAACCATTGGGCCACCAATCCCCAAAGCATGCATTAGTGTGAATGGTCTTGCCTTAGGACCCACACTGACAGCTCCTTCCCCTCAGCTGGGATGCAAACCCAGACCTCCTTTTTGCAGGAGCGGTGAATTACCACTTGAGCTAGCTTTTAGAAGCCTCTGATAAAAAGGAAATGTGATTAATCAGAGGCTTTTAGTAAACTCTGTTTAAAAAAAACAATAAAAAACTCTACCCATTAAATAATAAGTCTTTTAAAATAAAATTTGTCTCTAAAAAAAACATAAATCAAAACAGAAACAGTTTAATCTTGGCTGTATGTAAGAAATGACTTAAATGCTTCTGTTGTATAAAGATGACTTTATTCATGATCCGACACTGCCTTGCAACAATCTTCATATATCTTAACATTGTATATTTTCTTGGAATTAGTTTTATGATAGCGCAATGAAGATTTGAAGAACTGCACATAAATAAGTAGAAGACAAAATGATACATGTATTTTGCAGCATTTCTCTTGTGCAGCATTTTCTATCTCATATGTTGTAGTCTAATGTTTGCTTTTGCTGTAGTTTTTGTATACGTAAACTTTTATTTAGCTCCATGATGCTTTAACCAGGACTGCCACTCATGCCAGTGAAATCATGCCCACTGCATCATGCTGCTGCCATGTCTGATGATAGGCGGTCCGGTTGGATCTATACTGAAATCAGAACATGGATGGGCCCTGTTTACTTAATTAGACAGCTTTTAGCATCAGCTGGTTTCACTCAGTCATATGTAGGGGTATAAGCAGGTCACATTTTACATATTTTTATATAAAAAAAACTCAGCATCAATTTATATCTATGTGTGCTTCCCTTTTGACTTTACAAACAAGCACTAAATTGTGTTTATTCTATCATAAGAGTCCTAATAATGTCCAATTCAGTTTGTATTTTTTATTTTTTGCTGTAACTTGACCAAATGTTCAAGGGCTAAGAATACTTTCACAATGCTCAGTAAATGCAAATACACCCAGGACTCCAAGGAATAAACAGCAGCTATCGACCTGGGAACTATAGAAAAACTGGAAGTGATTCAATCTGGGATAGAAAAAAAAACAACTTTAATCAGAAAAGCCCAACTTTCTTTTCTCACCACAGTTGTTCAAACCTAAAGTCAGCAGCAGCAGCTGAAGTCATGTCTGTCATATGAGAGCAATGCCAATTCTATTGCAACATGATATCTAGTATTTATAGCAACCATTTCAGCACATACTCTAAAGAAGAAGCTGTTTATCAAAACATCCCTGTTTATGTATTAAAAGAGCAGATATCCTTCAGGATTTGATTTATTAGATAATTAATCCTGATTATTGCTATAGCTGTCCTACCTTCAGCCATGGTGATATGGTGACTATCTCAGAGAGATGAACCAAACCTCTTCATTTAGAACGGACTGGGGATTGCTTCAATATATCCAATCCAACTTATAGCACATCAACTTATTTAAAGAAAAATAAATCCTAGTTCCACATAGTAAATTATTCCATTTTCAATTCTTCTTCTTTGATCCTCCAGTTATCCGAAGTGACGTGGTGAAAAAAAAATGGAATGGGAAATGAAATAAAAAAATAATAATTGTTACAGGGTAAAGTGAAAGCTTGGAGGGAAATTTGGAGCTGCCAGTGTGGCAGCTAAGAGGCAGGACTGGGGACAGTGGGGGACCAGCAGAGCAAGGAGGGAAGGGGCCAAGCAAAGCAAAGTTCTGGATGGGGTTAGGGGAACAGACAGACGATCCCACCCAGTGTTATTGGTGCCTCACATGGGTATTGGTCAGCAAAGAGACCAGATGGATTTAGGATAACTTTAACCCCCCTCTCGCAACCCCAACTCAGAAAGTTCAGGTTATTCTTAGCCAAAGGTCTACTCACCACCTGCTCTATCAGAGCCTTTTTTGGCATTTGTGGGGGGGTGCAAGGTCAGATCAGCTGGTTGAATGAGGAACTCTTATTGGCTGCAACTAAGATCAGCTTCATAAACAACAAACTATCTTCCCCAAATATGGAATAAACAAAACATATGGGAGATTTGTCTTTATATAATGATTCCATTCTGCATAAGTAAGGTTCCCTGTGTATATTAGGACACTTTCTACTCTCCTATATGTTGAAATACGTTTTAATGACAATGTGACTCAATCACCCTTGATTTTTTAGCATGATGCTACCCAGGTTATATTCAGTATCTCCGTGGGGGTGTTGCTGTCTTCCCTAGGTACAGGTCAACACCAAAAGCAGGAAGGCCAGCTCTGTGACTGGATGCCCTCTGGACTCAGTGCAGTAGGTGGAAAACAAAAGGATCCTAACTAAATTAACATCTCTGTTGGATAATGTCTCCCACCCCATGCATGAAGCTGTTGCTGAACTGGAGAGCTCCTTCAGTAACAGACTGCTGCACCCTAAATGCACCAGGGAGCGTTATCACAGATGCTTCCTCCCAGCAGCTGTAAGACTCTATAACTATCACTTTTCCCAACAACCTCAATAAGTTGTTACATTCAAGGCTGATTTTACACAGTTTCTACCTTAGTCAGTTAAATAACATGCAGCTGTCATTTTGCACATCTCTCATATTGCTGCTATTTTCAAATATCCATTACTGTAACAATGTCCGCAGCTGTATATTGGTTATTTATTCTCCAGGTGCACAGTATTTATATTGTGAAAACACTTTGCAGTACAGTATTTTATTTGCTTATCTTTTAACCCTTCCCTTTTATGTTATTCTTATAAATTTTTCTAAGGTGCACATTTGTGTGACAATTTTTCCTATAATCTTTTTGCTGCTGTAAAGACCAAAATTTCCCCATTGTGAGACAATAAAGGGATTTTCTAATCTATTCCACTCCGAAAACACAGATGTATGTCTAGCTGGGTAATCTAGAATAACCCAAGGATTTATTTTCAGTGGGATTGTTTATGTTTGTGATTTAACAGTAATCTGTCTTCATAGTGCCTTCATTTTCCATAAAAAACTAAGATAAACTAAGATCTCTGATTGTTTGTCTGTAAAACATTCTGTGAAAAAAAGAAGTTGAGCTATTAATTTATCCCTAGCTTTGATTCCATACTAATTTCATAAAACTAGAAAGAATAATAAATGTTTGGGATGCTGCTGTGGTGTTAGACATATAGCACATGACCCATACACTTGCCTCTCTATTCAATCCCACTTTTCTGTCTGTATACTAATAATAATTTAACCAGAAATACATGTTTTCTAAGCCAAAACAATTGTTGGGCTACTAAATAAGGTTTGAATGCAACACTATTTCTGAAATTTTGAATTGAAGGCAAAAAATCAAACTAAAAGTCTTCAGCCTCATGCCTCATCCAATCACCTGCTGATACAAAACTAACAGCCTAGGTGCCACACCTCCACTGGGGCTAATCATAAACCACGACTCTGCTTTAAAGCCTCTTCAACCTCGTTTCTTTCTATTTATAATGGAGCTACCCTACGCCATCTCCACCATCATCCTCATTTTAATCTGGGTCCCTTCCTCCTTTAGCCTCCATTCATCCGATACAGTTCCAGTTCAAATTTCTCTCTAAAAAGGGGGCGTTTGCATTGTGTGACTGCTAGTCGTCAGAACAACTTTAGAAACAGAAATCTGATCATTAAAAGATTGTTTATTTCAAAACCAGCTGTGCACAAATAACAGACAGACAATAAATAATAGCGACAGCAAAACCAAAAAAAACATTTGTATGCCTAATAAATTAGGAAAAAAACAAAAAGTGAAAAATTATTGTTCTCTTTTACCACCCATGGAAAGCAACATAAATACACACAGGGATGGCGCTTTGTCCTGGATCATCTCCAGAGGCAGGTTTGACACTTCCGTTATAAAAAAAATTAACATGTAACATATAACACTGGTAGAACATAAAAACATGTTATTTCAAAATACACGTAATGCAGAGACAAATACTAGTACACATCCTTCATTCTCAGCATGTCAAAGCTAAAAAAAAAAAAAAAAAAAAAAGGAGAGATCTTATGCAGCCTGCCGCCATATGTCAGCGCAACATACATCATCGGTATAATAAGCAATCCCCTAAATAATGTTGCAGCTTTTCAACTACAAAAAGCTAAACTAAAGAATACAATAAGCTGAGCTAAGACTTGTTGCCTTAAGCCGAAATGCTATGGATGCACTAGGTATCAGTGCCAGAGCCCAGCAGGTGGGGCTTTATAGGACAAGTCCATGATGCAGGTTAGTGTTTATAAAGCGTGAAGGCATTCCTTTGCGTTATAAGATTACTAAAGATGAAAAGGCAAAAACTGGTTTAATAGTACATCTGAGTTTTCTTGAGAAGAGACTTCTTGTTAAATTAGCATCATAAAAAAATTGTTGCAAGAAAATGTTTGATACTGCTTAGTACTACGCACTAAGCAGTTATTGTTCTACTGAAGGTTGAAGTAACCGAGTGCCATACACTGCTCCAAGAAATGCAATCTGAAAGCGTTTTTTGACCTTGGATTAAAAAAAAAAGAAAAGAAAAAAATCCACAGGCTCCCAAATTATCAAAAGTAATATAAAATGAAACAACAAAAAAGTTAGGTAAACGAGCATTTTCTATTTACAATACATACAAAGTACACAAGTCATGTTGCTCATTTATGAAAGTTATTTACTTCTGGCCCCCATCAGCTTCCTTGGAGCTGATGGTCTGTTCATCTGCCGTTTCCATTAAAATGTGGAAGAAGTCATTTAAAAAGAAAAAGCTTTTCTATGATGACCGAAAAATTAGGTACATGGCTCCCTCTGGTGGAAAGTTTGTGAAATGACATGAAATGAGGGCGGAGGCGCTTCAGAGATTATCCCCCGGCTGGTACTGAGGCTCAGTGGCTGTGAAGTAGTCCTCCAAAAAGGCTTGCAGATACTCAAAGGTGGGCCTCTCCTCTGGGTCCTTCTTCCAGCACTGCACCATGAGCTCGTGCAGGGAGATGGGGCAGTCCTGTGGGCACGGCATGCGGTAACCTCGCTCCACCTGCTCCAGCACCTCGCGGTTGTTCATGCCTGGGGAAAAGAAAACGGTGCAATCCACTCTCACTGACCTCATCCAAAGCTTAAATAGCAACAAGCAGCTCCATAAATCTATGAGTTTGTGATATACTGCTTGATTTAAGTTTAATATTTATGTGTTTTAATAAAGTGAAATAATATATGACGTTAAATATGATTTGACATATGATTTTTTCATTTAATGTTTTTATCTTTATTTTTGAAGACTAAAGCAGATTAGAATATGTGTAACTTAGTGGGGTTCTATGTTACAGAACAGCATCAAATGGTGCAAAGTAGTGATGCGGTAGGAGAAGGATTCATGGTTTAAATATAAAAAACTGAAATCTGAAAAACCTTGCTTGATGCTTGGTCTGAAACACGCTATCCTCCTGTATTTAGCTTAATCCATCCTGTGATTAACCCAAATCAGGATTCTTGTCCAGGCATCCCCACAGCATGAGGCTACCACCACCATGTTCCCCACTAGCTGTTGAGTTCAGCTAAGACCCTAACCTAAACTGAACCTACAGGCAGCTCTAATTGAACGTAAAAGACACACAAAGCTCCACTATCTTTTTTCTGATTCACTCTTACCTGGATAGGGCACCCTACCCTTGGTCACCAGCTCAGTGAGAAGGATGCCGAACGACCAAACGTCTGACTTGATGGTGAATTTACCGTACAGGGCAGCCTCTGGAGCCGTCCACTTAATCGGAAACTTGGCCCCTGAAACGGCAAAGATGTAAGATTTATGCGGAATACTCGTCTCTCCAGCTGCTGCAACATGTTCATTACATCACTTTTGTAGATCCTAAACAAATATTTCAGTATTAAGTAGGTCAGGCTTCATCTGTGGTTTCAAATCATATCAATCCACTGAGAAAATCATGGAACAGTTCTGTTATCCTCCTCCGTCTCGGTTAAACAATCAAACGTTTTGAAGCCGTTGTCCAGTGAGCAGCTGGCCATGTTGACACAGTGGCTAATGGAGCTTGGCAGTTCACTCTGAATAGTTTATGTCCAACCTTTGGATGAAAAACAGCTGAACTAGACGTAGTCTTCTGGCTTCAGTTATGCCCCCTTCCTTTGTATATATTCAGTTGCTTTTCAACCATGTTCCAACCACATCCTTCTGTTTTTTCAAAGACTGCATTAGAACCAATTCTAGATGTTTACCGATCTCATTTTCCATCTACTAAACCACCAACCTTTTCCTTTAACTACAAGGATTTTTAAACATCGTGTGGCGAAAGACAACTGCTGAAGGAAAACTACAAGAAGACATGAAATGTGTGCAAAGATCAGACTTTAAACTTCAACCTCATCAAGTTATGTCCTTTTCTACACTGTAAATGTCTGGTATCTATTTTCAAAGGGCTTCAATTGAGCTTTTGTTATCAGCCACTATTTTACCTGCAAATGACAGAAGTCTGTAACAACTCCTAGTTGCTCCTAAACATATAAACTAAATTAATAAATAAACTTGTAAACAAGATTTTTGATGTGAGTAAAATGCCTTACACAATATGTTTTGCAGAAAAGAATAGTGTTTGTGATTAAGATCTGTTCTTATAAAGTAAATACAGTTAAAAATACAGACTTTGAAACTGTTGTTATGGTTTGGATTCACCAGAAATAAAAATAGCCAATAAGAAAGAGCTTTACCAATCCTGTGCACAGCTTCACTAACCATTATTTCCCAAAGCAATGTTTTTCTTTTACAAAGCTTGCATTTAAA